CTACCTACGTCAAAGGGCTGGTGTGCAAGCTAAAAGAGAGCATTTGCATAAAGTGCACATCACTGTGCCTCACGCAGTTGGTTTCAACAATATTCATTTCCCTTCTCCTCTTAAGTCACTTAAATGTAAATGTGTTGTGACCCAAATACCATCTGCTGCCTTCTTGCCTCTTTGACAGCAATGTATAAACAGCTCAGTTCCCTGCCAATTCCATGGACTGTGAAAGTCCAAGCCCCCCTTGCAAATTTTGCTAATTCCTGGGAGTTGGTTCATGCTCTGATCCCTCTATTCTTCTGCAGTCTCTATGCCCCGCATCAATTTGGATGTAAAATCCAGCAACTTTGCTAGCTTGCATAAAACATCCATTCACAAGAAGCAAATTCACAAATGTAGTAGGCTTGATTGCCAATTCGGGGGACTTGAAGAAGGGTCACATCCAGGCATACACAGCTTTCTCAGTGTGTCCCTCTCATCTGGGGGCCTCAAGTATGATGTCTGCATCAGCATCACCTGGAGGGTTTGTGAGAACGCAAATCCCAGAGTTTCTGATACAGTAAATCTGGGGTGAGGCCCAATAATGTGTTTTTTAGTAGAGACGGGGTTTGAACATGTTGGCCAAGCTGGTCTCGAACTCCTGGCCTCGAGTGATTCACCTGCCTCAGCCGCCCAAAGTGCTAGGATTACAGGCATGAGGCACTGTGCCCAGCCAAGAATGTGAATTTCTACAAGTTCCCAGGTGGTTCTGATACTGCCGGTCTAGGGATCACCCTTTGAGAACCACTCCTCTAATCTCCCTTCTGCTGTTTCTTGCTCCTCACTTGCTGCCCCCTGGATTGCCCTGGAGATCCAAAATCTCACCCTCTCTATTATGCAAAGCTCTCCCCAGATGCTATCTGCAACCTCTCTACCCAGATCAAGCCTGGACCCTTCATGTACTAGGATTCAGCCTTTTGAGAGGGCAGTTGGGGTTTTAAGCACAGGAGATGTCCTTGCGTGTGTTTGTTTCAGTGTGGGAGAATCCCTGTCCTCTAGCTGCTCACTCTCTGCAGTGGTCTCTGCGCGAAGCTGAGCAGTCAGAACTCTTGTTTGGGTTCAGTGTGGGTGAAGTGAGTTTCCAGTGAACTCCAGCCAGGGCTGACGATCTGTGTGCAGACTCAGCCGAGACCCAGGTCTACACAAAGGCATGCTTCTTGGTGGTGGTGGTGGGGAGGGTGTGGAAGGAGGGAGTGTGTGGCTGGGGCTAATCAGCAGCAAATTCTGGGGTGGGAATGGGAGTGAGGGTTGGGGGCTGGGATCTGGGGGCTGGGCTGTTGGGCCGCAGCTGTGGCTCCAAATTGCTCTGAGGCCCGCTGCCTGGTCGGTGCTCCAGCAGAAACTGACATCAAACAAATGGGCTCTGATGCATTAAGTGGGGAGGTGGATGCTGAAATGGGTCCCCCTCCCCCGCCTTTCTCCACCTAAAATAATGTTGGACAGGAGAGACCTCCTTGATGAGAAAAGCTGTAATGAATTCCCAGATTCCAGCCCTTTGTGGGCAGCTGGGCAGAAGGGGGCACAGCCTTCACTCTTAATAAAGATGGGAAGATGGCCTGTGCCCTCCCCACTGGGTCTGCTAATCCCACTCCAAGCTGGAGATTAGCATTTCTAATGGGCTGGGAGGTGCAGCCTTCAGGAGACTCAGGGATGACAGATACTCTGGTGGGTCCCTGGGGCTCTGAAGAGAGGCGGGCGCTTTGTCTGGCCTCAGTTGCATCGAGGTTGGCTTTCTTCAAACAACACGCTTGCCTTATCTCTCCACTTCCGCTCCATCGAGTGGAGGTGCCTATTCTAGAAACTGAGCCGATGGATTGCCCCCACGTGTCATATCCAAGAATCCAGTATCCAAAGAGGATGATATGAAAAGCTTGAATTCACCCGGCCAGTATTTTTCAAAGGAATGTTGTCTCACTCATGTATTCATATTCATTCATTTTGTCCCTCAGTTGGCACTTGCTACGCGCCGAGCACTTAACTGTGGATGCAGGTGAAAAACTCTTTTGTACTGGGGATGTTCACAGTTTAGTGAAAGAAAGATAATGAGGCCGGGTGCAGTGGCTCACATCTGTAATCTCAGGGCTTTGGGAGGCCGAGGTGGCAGGATTGCTTGAGGCCAGGTATTCAAGACCAGCCTGGGCAACATAGTGATACCCCATCTCTATAGAAAATAAAATAAATTAGCCGAGCATAAGTGGCAGTGCCTGTAGTTCCAGCTACGTGGGAGGCTGAGATGGAAGAATTGCTTGAGCTGAGGAGTTTGAGGCTGCAGAGAGCTGTAATAGTACCACTGCACTCCAGCCCTGGGTAACAGATGAGACCTTATCATTAAAAAAAAAAAAAAAAAAGAAAAAGACAATGAACGTCGTATCCCAGACCCCATTAGACATAAAATAGGTGCTCTAGGGGCACAGTGAGGGGGTCTAAACCAGACTGCAAATGTGTGTGTGTGTGTATGTGTGTGTGTGCAGGGCTGTTAGGGCAGACAGTGTTCCCTGAGCTGCCTTCAAGGAGTCTCGGAGGAACGGCCTATAAGGAGAAAAGGGCCTAGAGGGGCTTGGAATGGGGAAGAGAAAGGAGAAGAAGAGGAGGAAGAACTCAGAAGGATTGGGGAGTGGTGTGGAAGGTCAAGAGAAGAGTGTGTCAGGCAGACCCACCTTTGGACCATAATTTATCCATTGAGCCCATATTTATTGAGCCCTTTGCCCAAGACACTCTAATGTTGCTTTTGTTTACTTGACTTTCTCTCATGACAGTCTGGGATTTCTACTTATCTTATGCTGTTAATTGGCACAGAGTAGGTTGTTAATACATACTTTTGAATTGAATCGAAAACCCTGGGAAGTGTGAGAATTTTTTGCTGTCAGGGAAAGCTGGAAATAGTTGGAATGGATAGAATTTGGGGTACTTGTGGGGAGTGGTGAAAAAATGAGGATGGAGAGGTGAGGGTCAGATCACCAAAGGTCTAACATGCCAAATCATGGAGTTTAGATTTTATCTAGTGTAGCTAATGAAGGTTTCAAGTAAAGGAATGACATGATCTGATTTGTATTTTAGAAGCTCCCTCTGGCTACAGTTTCGTGAGGGAGTAGGCAACACAGGAAGCAGGAACACTCAATTCAGGCCACGAGAGCTTGGACTAAGGGTGAGACAGTGCATATGGATGTGAGGAACAAATTTCAAAGACAGCGTGTGAACTTGAGAATGATGAGAAAGGATATTCCTGCCAGGCGCGGTGGTTCAGGCCTGTAATCCCAGCACTTTAGCAGGCTAAGGCAGGGTAGATGGCTTCAGCCCAGGAGTTTGAGACCAGCCTAGGCAACATAGTGAGACCCTGTCTCTAGAAAAAATACAAAAAAAAATTAACTGGACATGGTGGTGGGTGCCTATAATCCCAGCTACTCGGGAGGCTGAGGTGGGAGGATAGCTTGAGCCTGGGAGGTCGAGGCTGCAGTGAGCCGTGATTGCACCACTGCACTCCAGCCTATGTGACAGAGGAAGACCCTGTCTCAAAACAAACAAACAAAAAACCCCTCAGAAACAAAAGAGAGAGAGAAAGATTCTTTCTCATATTTCAAGGAGTAAAGAGGGAGGTTCAGAGGTGTGTGACTTCCCCGAGTTACCCAACAATTCAGGAAGAGCTGGACCTGGAAATAAGGTCCCATTTTAGCCTAAGCAATAATCCCTCAAGTCAATGATCCGTTCTGAGGACATTTTTTTTTTCTTTTTTGCACCCATCTTGTCAGTTCTGAGGACTTTGAAGGAAGAGTAAACACAGGTGGGTTGGACAGTTACTCGGTGGTTCTTTGTCAGAGACTTGGGTTTGCATTTTTAGGGGAATTCATTTGCCCTTATTCCCCATTATAGCCTATTCCTACAAACTATCCGTTAACTTTCTACAAGAGCAGAACCACCTCTTAGTGCTCACTCCAACCTCCACACCACCCCAAGGAAAGGGAGGGCGGAGGTTACAATGTCTGGGGGTCCCTCATGTCTTATCCTGCCTGGGTGAGGCTCTTTGGCCACTCCTCAGTGAGAACCAGCACACCTACGGATATGTTGTGGTGCTATCCAGGGGACATGGAGAGAGCCAGGCACTGCCTCTCAATCAGCACGGCCCCCTCTGTCTCTTTTCCTTTTTTTCGTTTTTGAGATGGAGTCTCACTTTGTTGCTCAGGCTGGAGAGTAGTGTCACGATCTTAGCTCACTGCAACCTCCGCCTCTTGGGTTCAAGTGATTCTCCTGCCTCAGCCTCCAGAGTAGCTGGGACTACAGGCATGTGCCACATCACCCAGCTAATTTTTTTTTTTTTTTTGTATTTTTAGTAGAGATGGGGTTTCACCATGTTGGTCGGGCTGATCTCGAACTTCTGACCTCAAATGATCCACCCACCTCAGCCTCCCAAAGTGCTGGGATTACAAGTGTGAGCCACCGTGCCAGGCCCCTATTTGGTTGCTGGTCAAGATTCCTTTGAGTCTACTGAGAGGAGTTTTTGGTTTGTAGTAAGCTGTTTTATTTATTCTTTCAACAATATGAAATGTCTACCTTCTGCCAGGCACAATGCTGGGCATACGCTGACATTCGATCTAAGGGCAAGCGGTGCAGAAGGATAGAAGACGGGGCATCATGGCAGATTTCTCTCATTCTCCTAGCTTCCCTAGCATGGCACTTGTTCAATGGTGGATGTGCACACTCATCACGTTGAGTCAGAGGGTGTCTCCACGACTGTACACATTACAGATTCCTATATCAGTCACACTATGTTTAAAACACAAATTGTGCAAGTGAGTCTTCCAGAGTAAGGACAACTTCTAGAGGGGGGATGGTATGGTAGAATTCTGGAAGAGTGTGCTGTCTGGCACCCATGAAAAACCCTTTGATCCACTTTTGCCATCAGCCCTTTGACATCCCTCTTCTATCCACTAACAAGAACAAATCAAGAAAATGAGCAAATCACACGGCAAGAGTACATTTTGAACAACTTTTATTATACGTTTAGTGTTCTCTATACAAAAGAAATCAGTTTTTTTACAGTGATTCAAAAAAAAATTCAGAATAATTTGGCCTTTTCATTGCTCATGCAGTCAGTTTGTAAGTCCATGTATTAGACGGTCCTCCATGGCCCAGAAGTCTTCCCTGCTGAAGGTCGTGCGTGACACCCTCAGATACGCATCTGTCACTGACAAAGTTGGTTAATGCAAAATAACTCGCAAAAAAGGAAAGAACATGATGTGAGAGGGGTTAAAACAAGGTCTGGCATGGAGTTAAATGTTTAACCAATGGAAAAAAGATCAGACCAATTTGTGCGTGTGTGGATATGAAGGAATGGATGGAGACGTTGGGGAAAAAAATTCCCCACGGGAAAGAACAAATTGGAATGGTGGGGGATATGGGTGTGTGGTAGGGGCAGGGCAGGAGGTCCTCCGGGGTCCAGCATGGGTCGGGAGTGGGAGCAGGACAGAAGGTGGCCACGTCACAGGTGACTGATGCTCAGCTCAAGGGGAGTGTGAAGAGGTTGGCAAAGAGCTGGGGAGCCGGGCAGAGGGACAACACTGACTGAGGACACTGCAGTGGGGAATCAGAAAAAAAGGGGCAGCTCAGGGACATCTGATCTGCCTCATTTTTGAAAAAGAAACAGAGTAGTGCACAAAATTCTGGATATCTTCTCCCAGAGTTTTGTGTTTATTGCTTCACCGAAGTCTTTACATCTGTTGAACTCCAGCCCAGCAAATCCCAGGGTGGCAGCTTGCATGGGCCCTGCTGCCTCTCTGCACCCTCTGGCCATGGGCAGAATGGACAGAGATGCCCTCACTTCTGAGGAATACAGCACGCTGAAGGCCCGATGTGTTACAAAGCAAGAGACACCATTCTAGGGGGTACAGTCTAGGGTTCACAGTAACAAACACCAATCAGCTATTCTATTCCACTGGCCCAGGTCTGCCCTTAATTGCATGGCTGGGTGAACCACAGACTGATCAACAGACAGACTGATCTTGGTCTAAGAAAAAATCCTGTTCATCTTTCATTTTGGGGGCATGTAGGGGATGTGGGAGAGGCAGTAAAGAGGTATGAGAGGGTGAACCAGAAGGACAGATCTTAATACCTCTGTTTCAAAGGAGGCAGCTGTGGTGAGATGAAAGAACACTGGACAAGGAGTCAGAAGGCCCAAGTTCAAGCCCTAACCTTACCTTAGTTTACCAGCTATGTGATCTTGAGCAAAAATCCCTTCACTTCTGTGGATTTGCATATCCTTGTCTGTACAATAAATCATTTCAATGAGATCAGCTCTGGGATTCCTTCACATGCTGAAATCCGATTCTGGTCCTAAGCTAGATGCCTTTGTACGTATTTCATTTCCATTCTTCTCATTATGGAACACCCATTTAATACTAGTATGCTGACAGGAGGAACAGCAGTTTCAGGTGAGGCTTGAGACACTGTTTGGTGGGTGCTTGTGGCTCTCCTGGATGGTTCTCCTTTCTCTCTGATCCCTCTCTGAATGTGTCTCAGGAAGGCCCATTATTAGTAAGGAAGGGAAAGAAAGGACACTTCCCTGGGCTTGGGCTGTGCAGGCTGGGGACAGCCACAAAGTCTGGCTTGAACTCACATGGGGTAGCCCCTGTCTAGGTTAAGGGAGGGGAATGCTAGGAGATGGTCAAGGGAGGGCGCTGGTCTGACTCTGCCCGGCTTGCCTATGCCTCCCAGGGCCTTGGTCTCCTCCTGACACATCAAGCTCTTTGTTTCATTGTTTTGAGGCCTTTTTTTTTTTTTTTTAAAACAATCAGGGCCCTCCTCAATGCTACTCCTCAGCTACTACGCAGAGCTCAAGCAGGATCCTTTGCCAACTAACGGGATAGACCCAACCGCAACCATGAGCTTGTGTGTGTTTGGCGGGGCTGGCCGGAGTGGTGACTGGGCAGGAAGTCAGTCTGCACCAAGGTGTCAGGAGCGGGGAGCGGTGCCCTGTGCCGGCCTCCCAGGAACCTGCTGCCCTCCCACTGAGAAGGGATTCTCTGGCACCAGCCCCAGCCCACGGAAAGCCTGAGAGGCTTCCTCTCCTCAGAGAGTTAGCAAAGCAGCCTCACAAAGACAGACAAAAATGTGCTACGTCCCTGCTCCTTCCATCAAATGGGCTGTTCGTGATGCCCTAAGACTTGGCCCTGCTCCAGCACAGGGCGCCAGAAAGAGACCGCAGCCCGTGCCATTGCTGGGGCAGAGTTTCCCACTCCTTTGGCTCAGATGCTCTCTCTAGGTGCTGCCAACAGGAATTACCTAAATAGGTCCCAACCCTGGTGGCCTCTCCCGCTCCTCTAACTTGCATTCCTCACCCACACAGAGCCCTTTGCATCTCATCTCATGCAACCTGGATGTGGACTAACCCTTTGCCCCAAGAGGCAGAGCAAAGAGGCTCAGGAAGCAGGACTGTTTTTCAAGCCACACCATGGTTCTTGACTGCTTTGTCCTGCCCAGCCTTGGTGACCAGATGGACCAAGTTCTCCCTCAGAATCCCTCTCTTCAAGCTCATAGCCATCAGTGGCTTAAGCAATAGAGGGAAGAATGTTCCCAACTCAATGGCCACTGTGTCCCAGCACTTGATTTCAGGGCTGTCAGCCCCATGAGGGCAGGGACCACATCTAACTCACGCGCCATGGCATCCACAGCTCAGGCCTTAGTTCAGACTGGATTTCAGAGTATTTGCTGAATGAATGAATGAATGAATGAATGAATGAATGAATGGACAAATGACAGCACAGGAAACTACAGCTCTTAGGGCTGAGCACACAGGTGGGATTGCAGCCCAGTCAAAGGAACTTCTAGAGTTACTGTAAGATGCCCAGCACTTTCCTCCCAGCCAGCCAAACTGGAGTGCCGATGGTAATGGTGCTGTCCTGGCTTCATTGTTGGTATGTCTTGGGGTAGTTGCTTGGGAGACCCAGCTGGCAGGGAGTGCTGGGCAATTCTGCTTTCGTGCTGAGCTGGGCTGGACTCTGACACGGGCTCCATGGAAAACGCACTCTCCTCTTCCCCAAAGGGGCTGCCTCCTGCATCCTGCAATCCCCACGCCAGCAGCGTTTGATCTCTCTGACCACCTGCCTTCCTTGCTTGGGGAAAACTTAATTCTTCAGCCTCAGATTTGCTTCTGCTCAGACGGGTGTGATTGCTTGGTGATGGGGGGTAGCTCTCAGCACCCACAGAACAGTAGCCTGAGAGAGGGCTAATAGCATTTTCTTCATACACAAAGGACAGTGCAGAGCCTGGCAGGACACTGGAACGAGGTGCAGAGGCAGGCTGTGGGCTTACTTCTCCCCAAGACCCTTACGAGGGAAGCAGCCTTCCCAGTCACCAGGTGGTGTGGCAGACTTGCTCACCGTCCCTTCCTGCCCTAAGAGCCTGCTTTCAGTGCAGTGAGTTCACTGGCATGTACGGTGCAGTATGGAATGAGCGTCTGAGAAACTGACTACTCTGCTCAGATCCCAAGCGTTTTCTGGAAAGGCCAGTCCTTTAATTCAGCTCACAGGCACACTTCCCTGACATTCCCTTCAGGGACAGTGGGCCTAGTATCCAAGCAGGTGTTGGAGGAAAGCTAGGGGAGGGGCCCTCCAAGCTCACGCCCCACCCCCTGCTGTTTACCCTGTCCCCTTGCACTGTGATAAGCTGCCCCTCAGGCGTCCAGGCAGCAGCCCTGGCTGAGGCTTGGCCCAAATGACCATCACACACTCTCAGGTTCAAACAGCCTTATTGGCTCAGTTCTGGGCTATGATTTCTTACCAGCAGACAGAGAGTGTGTGTCTATGGGCTTGACCTTCAACTGAATGATTACTAATGATGCAAGCATTGCTAATACCTTTGCGGCTTAAACATGTGGCAAATGATGCTTTAATAAAGTCACTGAAGGACAGAGCCCTGGTCCGGCCCAGGCCCCCTGGCTAGCAGCTGGAGGCTCAAATCAGAGGCTGTGCCCATGGCAGCTGATTCGTTCCTGGGGATCAGCTTCACCCTCCTGAAACTGACTGGAGCTACAGAAACAGCTAAAGGGTTCCTCTTAGACTCAAGATCTCCCCCTCTCCTTCTCTGTCTCTGAGGCTAGGTACCTTTGGTTTCAAAAATGCATTAGGTGGGGAGGATGAAGGCAGCACCTTCGGTCTGACAACTGCAGGTCTGCGAGTGTCTCCATTTGGGGTGACTGGTGAGGACGTGTGTTGGGTGGCCGCTTCTGGTCCTGCCGGAACACTTGCATGGGCTGCCCTGCTCTCCTGGACACGGACATCGCTGGAGGCTTCAAGGCTTGCAGGGAGGGGCTGGGAACCTGGGAACTCCAGGGGCAGATCAGCGCTGCATAAGGCATACAAAGAGCATTGAGTCCTCCCCAGGTGGGGGCATCACAGCACTGAGTACGGTGCCACCACAGGTCCCCTGATATGTATACACCCCAATGAAAGGGCAGACTGGCTCAGTCTTGGGGCAAGTCCCCATCCACATACCATGTCAAACAAAAGCCTCAGTGTCCTACAGAATTGGCTGAGAAGATGATATCTATCTGCTAGAGGTGGAAGGGGAGCAGCGCCTTATGCCCCAAACGCACCAGCAAAGCTTTTGCATCACAGCATTCCATCTCCTCCAGGGTGGCAGCGTGGGCCCCAGCCACATGGACAGGTGCCCTCTGGGACAGAGTGGGTGTGGCCCTCTATCTACATCCTGGGTTTCACCAGTGAGGAGGAAGGAAGTCCAAACCCAGCCTTTTTCTTCTCTCTAGAGGTAAGCAGAGTTCCCCCAAGACCAGACACCTGATTTTCTTCTGCTTGAGGTACACAGTCACTGGCGTTGAAGTCCTTCCTATCAGTGCTCACTCCTGTTCCTCAAACTTCTTCAGAGTCAGTGCAGCTCACATCTTACATACTCCAGAGAAAAGGGCAGGGGGGGAATGAGGAGCAAGAGGTAAACACACCTCCCAACCGAACCAGAGAGCAGCAAGGAGGCCTGCACACCCTCTCCCTGCCAAAAATACTGTCATTTTCCAGAAAAGAGCCAAGCCCAGCTCAGCAACTGACAAGGCCGAGGCAGAGGGGTTGGGAGCCAGGGGAGGCATATGGCGAGAAAGGCATCCTTCGGAAATGCATTGGCCCAGAGGTGGTTTGAATATTACAGCCTGTCTACATGTTCTGGTACGGATTCAATCCTTTTTGCCTATCTTTGTGGTCTCCTGGGGGAGAATCTACTTTTTCTTTCTTTTCCAGGAACACTTTTTCAAAAGGAAAAGAAAACGGAGACATCGGGTCTGGAGGGGAAGATGCACAAAGCAAAATTAAGACAATGAGAAGTCCTGTAACCAACAGAAACGGTGAGCATGTGCCGAGGCCAAGGGCGGGCAGTGTGGTGGAACGCTCGGGGGTGGCTGTGAGACTGGGCAAGGGGCCAGGCTCCCTCTAGCTGAGCTCAGCCACGGCTCCAGCTCTCCCACACTGGTGGCACCCGGGGCTGAAGGGGGGTCATTGGGAGGGGGCTTATGGGTGGCTTGGTGGTCACTGATCCTCACAGCTTGGCAGACCCCCATATCGTACCCTTGTTACTGAAGGTGGTGGTGGCTTTGTGGTAGGTCTGCAGTGGTTTAGTTTCCCCCTCTCCCCTCCTCCCACTTGCAAAGTGGTGGCTGTGCCTGGGTGGGCTCTGTTAGGCCAGAGAGTAGATAGCATTGACAGGTGACGTGGCCTCTGAGCTTTCGTTGCCCTCTGTTTCCTCCTTGTCCTTTTTGACGGTGTACTGGCCGATGAAGGAGCCGTCTTCATTGAACTGGCCCTCGCCACCCTCGCCATAGTCCACCAGGCTGTCGTCACTCTCCTGCTGCTTGATGGTGCCGTCCAGAGATGTCTGACTGCCCTGCAGAGGCTTGTTGTCCTCATCACTGGCCAAAGAGAGACAGAGAATCTCAGGTGGTGTGGGATGGGGCAGCCGGCCTCCTGCCAACACATGTCCTACACAGCTCAGAGAGGATGGGACCCAGGAGACCACCCAGTCCAGCCCCCGCTTCACCCTCCCCTGTCCAGTCTGCTCTACAAAAGGGAAATGGAGGCCTAGAGAGGACAAGCACCTTTTCTAAGGTGAGGTTGCAAGTCAGGTAGGGCAGGGAGTGGAGCCCATGCTTTTGGGCTCCTGGTCCAGGTCCCTTCCATGAGACTGGGTCCCTGTCTGTGGTGGGAGTGGATAGAGGATGGCCACCCCATGGTGAGGGAGAGCCACTGCTTGTGAGACCATATGGGATGGTTCTAGTCCCGAGTGTGTCACTGTGTGGTTTTGTGACCTAAGCCTCAGTCATCAAGAGGGGCTGGCCCAGCTTTGATCTCCCAGGACCTATGACTCTGTAGGGATACACTCTCACCTTGACAAAAAGCAAGGCTTTTAAAGGAAGAAACCTCTCCCCTGCCTCTCTGCTTCTCTGTCTTAGTGTGTTTCGCTGAGCTATCTGGTTGATCTATAAAAAGATGTTATTACTTTGGACCTAGCAAGTACAGGTGTGCAAGAGTAGTGGGAGGGAGGCGCACACAGGTAAGCAGGTGATGCCAGCAAATGTGAGAAGATAGCAAGGCTCAGAGGATCATGCCTAGCCCCTCTGAGGCCTACAAGCCCTGGCCCTAAGCTCCCCTTGTGCAGGGAGAGCTGGGAGGCTGCCAAATAAAGCTGCATGGGCCGCTGGGAACAGCTGCCCAGTCAGGATGTCTGCTGCACTCCCAAGGAGGCGTGGGCTGCTCCCTGAGCCAGCGTCTGTTCAGGCACCATGTCCCTTCCCTTGGCTGAAAAGGCTCAGAGCAGGCACCAGGTGGTGCTGGCTGCACTTCAGAGGTGAGCCCAGTTCCTGGGCAGGAGCAGCTCAGGATGAGCAGTGGGAGTCTGGGTCTCAGGGACCATAGCGGTGCCAGGCGGTCTGAGTAGACACACACCACACCCTTCCTTGCCCCCAGCTCCCCACCCACCCCCAGTCCTTCCTGGACATGGGGAAGACAACCAGCTGAGTTGCCATTACAGTGGGCAGTGCGTTCTCACTTCTAATAGCAGTGTCGGGCAAAGACAGCTGTCAGAAGAGGGCAGCGAGCCAGGGCCGGGGCTGTGTTAGAAGACGGAAAGCTATTAGCTCACTCCCTGCAGTGCTGCCCCATGAATACAGCCTAACTGTATTCTGGGACAGCCGTGCATTGGGAGATGTTGTGAGGGAGGCAGCTCTCTGGGGCCGTGCTGAGTTTGTGCAGGAAGTGGAAGTCACTGTTTGCCAACTGAAGGAGGGGAATTGCCAGGCTCCTCACCCCACTTGCAGGTCTTGTTCGCATGCACTCCTTCCCAGGGCCCTCCACCCCATGTGCAGGGGCATGAGGACTGTGCTATGTGATTTGTGGGAATTCCTCCTCTGGTTCCAGGCAGCTAAGCTAAGTGCAGCCACTGGACAGTGACAGCCCAGCCAGTGGGAGGGGTAGGGGGAGAGGTCTGTAGCATGCCAGGCTGTTGAGGGAACAGGGGATCTAGGTCTAAAAAGAACAGACCGAATAGACCTCTCCTAATGGAAGCTTGAAAGAAACCAGAATGACTAAGGGTGGCCTTGGTCTGGCCACCTGTTGGCCTCGCTTCTGAGACATCTTCAAGGTCCAGGTGGATGGACATGGAGGAGAAAAACAAAGGACGCCCCATGGGAAAGGTGGTCAGTCACTTAGCCACAGACTGGAGTGAGAGGAACAGTACTCCTCGCCCCCAGGCCTATCCCCCCTGGAAACTTAGTTCTTCCTCTGATGTATTCATTTCAGCCTTTTCCCAGGTTAGGGCTCTTAGACTCATCCAAGAGAGGACTCTAGGACAGATGCTGCAGACCTTCCAGAGCCAAAGCGGAGGGGTGTGTGTGTGTAGGGGTGCAGGCCTAGGCATGCCCCTGTGTGTGTAGACTCAGCCTCAGTGTCTGTGGGGAGGAGGCAGGGGTTTTTGCCCGACAGCTTTGGTGTCTGGGGCAGGAGAGGTGCACGAGGAACCATCTCCTCACAGTGCAGGCTGCTCAGCCCCGTATTGGAGGAGGTCCACGCTCCTCCTCTCTGGCTGTACCGAGAGTCTGGGGGAGGAGAAGCCCCGTGGCTTTTGGAACAAAAAGCCAAGGAAGTCTCAGCCCACAGGGAAGCTGGGCCCTGCCAGGGAAGATGGGAAGGGGGCTCTTGTGACTGCCCTTTCAGGGGGCTTGTGGGGATGTTGGGACTAGATGGACAGTTATGGCCCATAAGCCTACAGACAGGCTCCTGTGTGGGCAGTGGCTCCACCACCCATTGATCTGATTATGCTTGCCAGGCTGACGGGCAGAGTGGCAGAGGCCCAGGACAGGAAAAGGAGACCGCAGCAGAGGACAAGGGCCTGGGCCCAGGCAGTAACTGGGTGGCGTGGGCAGGCAGGGCTCTGATCAGACATTCCCTCCATAGCACTTGGTCTGAGAATGACACTCCACAGCCCACTCTGCATCATCCCTCAGCTCAGAACATATTCGTGATCTCCATGGACAAACAACGACATTGTTAAGCCCAGATACGAAGATGCATCCAGGTAGGACAGGAGCACGGGTACAGAAGTATAGAATAGCAGCACCAGCAGCACCAGCCGGCCCCGGACTTTCCAGCTTTGCCACTAACTCACTGGGTGGGGAGCAAGGAAGAGTTTTAGGCAATACGCTTCCCGGTTTGGGCCTCAGTCCTCTCATCTGGGGCATAGGGCACTGGACCTAGATACCTTTCCAAGGCCCATTCCGGTCTAGAGCCCAAAGATATCGCCACGTTCAAGGAGAAACGACCTGGAATCAGCCCACCTTCATTCCTTGAGGCTTTAAGACATCACAGCCTCCCAGGGTCATTATCTTCAGGGTTAGGAGTAGAGTGTGGGCAGAGAATCAGCCTGAGGGCTGAGCTCATCTCACAGCAAGAGGGTCCTGGGGCTCGTGTTCAGAGTGAAAAGGTGGAAAGATATAAATAGCAAGCTTGATACATTTGAGTTGTGCGGTTGAATGAATGAAATGCTGTTCGTCAAACTAATGCATGCATGTGTCAGGCAGTGTCTCCTGGGGGAGCAGCCTCATCTGGCACTCTTAGGATGAGAAGCCTCTGAGTAAACTCAGCAGCACGCACTCTCCACCACAGCGCCGCCAGAGAGGCAGGGTGACGGCCCAAGGGGCAAGGACGGCTACTCATGGCCTCTCAGCCAAGTGGAGCTGCTCTGAGGTGAGGGTGGTGCCTCAGGGACATGGAGGACAGCCTGCCTGAGAGAGGAGGAGGGAGATCACGCACCTATAGTCAAACGAGCCATCCTCTTCCTTGGGGTCTTCAGGGCCAAGGGGAACATCCTTCTTTTCTCGTACTTGGTCAACAAGAGAAGCAAAGACACAGACACGATGATTAAGTACATGCCCCTGTTCTCCAGGGCTCCACTGACTGCAGGGCCAGAAGGCACCGCCCTGGGCTCACGGACACTCTTTTTTAACAAGGCACCATCCACGCCTCCCTTGTTTTTGCTTCCTGTACTCAATCAGTTGCCAAGTTGACTCTGCCGCCTCCCTCTCAGCCCCAGAGGTCTCTTTACATCTCCACTGACAACTGAAATCCCCTCCTACCAAGCTCCCCCAACCACATCTCCATGAAGTCTCCCCAAAAGATCAAACAGATGTGATCCTTTCCTCTGCCAAAGGCAAACACTCCACTGTTTGCACCTTTCTTATTCTGCTCTGTGGTGTAACTATTTGTGCACGTTTCTCATGCCTATCACAGAAGGCTAGTTCTTTCCTCAAGGGTGGGGGTCTGTGTGCTTCTTCACAGTTCCTAGCAGAGTGCCCTGAGCAGAGAAGACACGCCAGACACACCTATGGGATGGAAAGTGTTTCTTCTCTGTGACTCCCCCTTGTTGGCGTGCCCCCTTTCCTCCACGTCCTCTGTGACGTGTGAGCATTCAGCCGAGGCCCTGTCTTGTGCTGTGCTCATTCTTTCGGTGTCAGCTACGGTGCCCTTGAGGAGAGATCATTTTTCCTCCAGTATTGCTAGTGCACAGCACAGAGGTGGATGCACAGCGGGCACTTACATGAAAGCCTCTTTATGTATCTTTTTTTTTTGCAGTGGTGCTATCTTTGCTCACTGCAACCTCTGCCTCCCGGGTTCAAGCGATTCTCATGCCTCACCCTCCCAAATAGCTGGGTTTACAGGCGCCTGCCACCAGGCCTGGCTAATTTTTGTATTTTTAGTAGAGGCAGGGTTTCACCATCTTGGCCAGGCTGGTCTCGAACTCCTGACCTCAAGTGATCCACCCACCACGGCCTCCCAAAGTGCTGGGATTACAGGCGTGAGCCACCGCACCCGACCTATGTGTCCTTTTTGAGATACAAGGCGGATAATCAGCCTCATTTTAGATGAGGGAAACTGAACCCTTGAGAGGTGAAGAGTATATCACGTAACTAATTAGTGACTGAATGAAGACCGGAGGGAAGACTAGCACCCAGGCCTTGTGGCTCCTGGTTCACTCATCTTTTTAAGGGACCAGGGGCTTACCCTGTAGCTGGAGGGCAAGAGATTAGTTTTGAAGAACTGTTTGGAATGAGATACTTTCTGAAAGGGCAAAGGACGGCTCAGAGTTGATCTGCTGGGTTCTTCTGGTATTCCACTTCCACCTGGAACGGGCGTGAACTCAGTCCACCCAAGTCTTACTGTCAGATGGAGGAGGCAGCCTTTTCCCTAACTGAGGCTTTCTCTCTTACAGAATCAGATAAGCCCAGCACAGCAGAAGAGAGTGAAAGCAAACATCGCTCACCAGTAAGGAATGATCATTTCCTGCCCTCCCTCACTTAAGGCACAGTTCTTCAGAGTCCTAGTCTGTGGGTACTTGGGCATGGGGAAGGAAAAAGAATCGAGTCTCCTCTCCCTTCTATTTCCTTTGTGTTGAGTTTTAGGGGGATCCTGGGGGAGGACCTGTTCTAAGACATGGGGAGAAGGAAGCATTTGGGGAGCGTGGGGTATGTCTGGTGATGGGGCTTTCTGGGGCAGGGAGAAATTTCATTCTGTAGTCCAGCCAGATTTTTGCTTTCAGGGTCATCCATTATCCTGTCTCCTGTCACCCTACCCACCCCATCACAGACAGATGGCTCTCTTGTTCCTGTGTAAAAAACAATCAATATTTCCAGAAACAAGAATGCCAGAGGTCCTTGTCCTTGACCTTGGTATGTCTGGGCTGCAGGATCTTTTTTCCCCGACTTTTTTGAGACGGAGTCTCATTCCATCACCTAGGCTGGAGTGCAGTGGCACGATTTCGGCTCACTGCAACCTCTCCCTCCCAGGTTCAAGCAATTTTCCTGCCTCAGCCTCCTGAGTAGCTGGGATTATAGGCACGTGCCACCATACCCAGCTAATTTTTTGTATTTTTGGTAGAGACAGGGTTTCACCATGTTGGCCAGGCTGGTCTTGAACTCCTGACCTCAAGTGATCTGCCTGCCTTGGCCTCCCAAAGTGCTGGGATTACAGGTGTGAGCCACCGTGCCCAGCCTGGAGGATCTTTAAAAATTTTTTATTTATTTATTTGAGACAGGGTCTAACTCTGTTCCTCAGGCTGGAGTGCAGTGGCACGATCATGGCTCATGGCAGCCTTGACCTCCCCAGGCTCAGGTAATCCTCCCACCTCAGCCTCTTGAATAGCTCGGACCTCAGACACCTGCCACCATGCCCAGCTAATTTTTGTATATTTAGTAGAGACGGAGTTTCGTCATGTTGGTTGGGCTGGCCTCAAACTCCTGACCTTAAGTGACCTACTCGCTTTGGCCTCTCAAAGTGCTGGGATTACAGGTGTGAGTCACTGTGCCTAGCCAGGGGCTGAAGGATCTTGAGGTCTCCTTGGGACTTTAGGGAAGCCCAAAGTGCTTTAGGACCACGGGGGCCCCTACCAATGCCACCCGTCTTCAGCCTCTCCCTGCTCCTCGCATCGGAGCTTCTGACCCTTGCTAGTGGTATTGGTGGTTACACCATCATCCTGTTGAGTGCCCACCTCTGGAACTCTCTCATGGGTGTGCTGCTTCTGCCCAGACCCCTCCTCTCCCCATTCTCTGGGACACGGTTAGAGAAAATGCCTCTCTTCCTTTCTCCTTCCCCGGGACCCAGGATCCTAATGAGATTCAGGCTGAAAAAAAGCCAATTTATAGAGCAGATGGGTGGTGAGTCAAGGGGAGGAAAGGTCATTCTTTTTTTTTTTTTTTTTTTTTTGAGACGGAGTCTCGCTCTGTGGCCCAGGCTGGAGTGCAGTGGCCAGATCTCAGCTCACTGCAAGCTCCGCCTCCCGGGTTCACGCCATTCTCCTGCCTCAGCCTCCCGAGCAGCTGGGACTACAGGCGCCCGCCACCTCGCCCGGCTAGTTTTTTTTTTTTTTTTTTTTGTATTTTTTAGTAGAGACGGGGTTTCACTGGGTTAGCCAGGATGGTCTCGATCTCCTGACCTCGTGATCCGCCCGTCTCGGCCTCCCAAAGTGCTGGGATTACAGGCTTGAGCCACCGCACCCGGCCGGAAAGGTCATTCTTAACAGGAGCCAGGGTTCCTTCCATCCCCTCTCTGAGGCTGCCTGGACTGTGCCATCCGTCCAACTCAGGCGAACTTAATTAACTCAAGTGCTTGCTGGCAGCCCGAAGATGCACAGGCAAGAGGATTGTATTTCCAAGCCGGGCAAGGGCTGGCTTCACTGAGAGAACACAGTCCCCGGATCTGGCTGGAGACCTGGAGACTCACGGGAAAGCGGACATGCCCCGCCCTGCAAGCCCACGCCTCTCGCACGGCTCACCTGGGTACTTGCCGCCGCGACTCCTCTTGATGAAACAGACGATGAGCAGGATCAGCACCAGGAGGGCGATGGCGCACATAAGCCCAATGAACCAGCCCTGGGTGGCGATGTCCGCTTGGTTGTTGGTGTAAGCTGGCGGGGAGGGCCGGAAGCAAACCCGTGAATGATTTCATGGGGGAGACGGTGAGGAGGGAGATGGAGGGAAGAACTTCAGCTATTTCACATGGATGTTTCTCCTGGAGCCTAACGCTACCACCTAGCAGCCCCCCGGCCCAAACTACCCCGCTAAAGGACAAAAAGAAAATAATTAAAGAGCCAAGGTCAAAAGATCAGAAAAGAGGCAAAGGAAAGGGGTACAAGGAGCAAATAAGAAGCAGAAGGCTGAACAGGTCGTTTAGGAAGGGAAAGTATCCTAGGAACGAAGCACGGCATTCTTGGAAACCAGAGGGCTGGTCACAGCCTAGTGGGGACTGAGGGATGGCCACGGATTGGCCATGGAAGTATGATTCCCCATGGATGAGTCCAGGGTGGAGAAATGGGAGCCGGCAAGCTACCCTCAGGGAGTGTAGGCCGTGGCCATGTTGCAAAAACCCGCTATGAGAACACCTTCGCAGGCCTGCACAGGCGCACAGCAGCATCCCTGCCCACCAGCATGGCTCTGAAGCCATCCAGCCTTCCTGAGGGTGGGGACTGGACCAAGTGGAGGCCCAGGATGCCCTGTCTTTTCACATCTCTCTAGTGGATCATGTGCTTCCTGACAGCAAAGGCAATCCTGGTGTGGGCACCCCTAGCCAGGCCAGCAGCGACGTGGGGCTGGGGCTGTGCCTTCTGCTCACTCCATGACACTTCCAGACTACTCCACACAGGGTGACCCCCCGATGGTCTGTGACAAGCCGATGTGCCCCCTCCTCCAACCCCTGTGACAGTGAGTCCCTCTCTGTCCATGCCCAGCATATGTGGAGACCTGTTTCAAAGTGGGCAGATCCCTTTGTGATTTGAAAGGCCTGCAGGAGGCCCTGAAGAACAGGTGCTCAGGAGTCATCTGAGGGTGTCCTTGATGGCCCAGTGGCTGGGTTTGGGTTCGGGAGGGGGGTGTGGTCAGTACCAACTCGCCCTTCTCCCTTCTACTGGCTGGAGAACAAAAGCGACCCCTCTTGAAATGCAGCCTGTCACAGAACGTGAGACTCTGTGACAGAAGGGAAGGATCAAAGGAACTTAATACACCCAAAGTAACCCTGGAACCAGCCAGCCCACAGACACCTGGGGAGAGGCACACAACAGCAGACACCCCAAGAACCATGGAGCTGGCGCCAAGGCACTGAGCCTCCTTCTAGGAGCACGGGGAACAGCATGAAGGCCACAGCACGTGCGCCCCCAGGTCTTCAGCACATGCCACTTGTGGGGACATTATCTGGGTGCAAGCCCACCCTTTGCTCCTCTTGGGGGCAGAAACTATTTTTACAGGCTTCCCAGTGCCCAGGCAATGGCATTGCACCAAGAAAGTTCTCAATACAGGGTGAAGACTGATGAACAAGTGTCCTCTGCACTCTGGTTGCCCAGGGCAGCCCCAGGCTGCAAAGCAGGAGAGGCCTGTGAGAACAAGGCTTGTGAGTACCATGATGTAGGTAGGCTGCAGAGAACAGTCCCATCCCTGCTTCCACTCCTGCTCCCAGCAGGCCCCCGCCACAGTGTCAGAGTGATCTTTCCAACCCCCCACGTAGGACTGAATCACTTTCTTGCTTTAACCCTCCAAAGCTTCTCATTGTTATTGAAGAAAACTCTTCATTCCTTATCCTGAGCTGTCAGACTCCATCAGAGCAGGCCCTGGCCGTCTCTCTAGTCCTACCTCCCACCACCCTGTCCTCATGCTTTATACCCCAGCCATGCTGGCCGCTCTCATTCTAGTGCAGGGCCTTGGCATCTGCTGCTTTTTCTTCTAATGGCTGCCCTGGCAACTGGTACCTCCTCAGAGAGGTCCTCCTGAACCTTCCCAGTTTAAACGAAGTCCCTTTCCTCAACTCCCACCCAGCCACTATCTCTATTTCATAGCATTTATAACCATTTAATATATATAGATCTGTCATTATCTATTTAATCCTTCCTTCCTTCCTTTCTTCCTTCCTTCCTTCTTTCCTTCCTTCCTTCCTTCCTTCCTTCCTTCCTTCCTTCCTTCCTTCCTTCCTTCCTTCCCTCCCTCCCTCCCTCACTCCCTCCTTTTCTTTTTTCTCTTCCCCTACAACTCTCTCCCCTTCTCCTCCCCTTCCCTGCTCTCCCCTCCCCTTCCGTCCTCTTCTCTTCTCTTTTTGAGACAGGGCCTCACTCTGTTGCCCAGGCTGTAGTGCAGTGGTGTTATCATAGCTCATTGCAACCACAATCTCCTGGGCTTAAGTGATCCTCCTATCTCAGCCTCCCAAGTAGCTGGGACTACAAGTGCATGTCACCACGCTTAGCTAATTTTTTTTTATTTTTAGTAAAGACAGGATCTTGCTATGTTGCATAGGCTGGTCTCAAAGTCCTAAGTGTTCCTGTGTCTTAAAACAAAAACCCTTGAGGAACTTACCAGAATTTTCAGCTCCAGTTCACATGCTGCCCTCTTATTGGTACACTCTATACTCTTCCGCCCCCTCCAGTTCCTGCCAACTCCTCTGCACCCCCAGCAAGCTGACTTTAAGCCCCTCTGTTCTTAGCGTTTCAGCTGTTACCACTGAGTGGGCCTCTCCCAGGCTGATCTCCACCTCCTTGATTCTCATCATCACCAGTGATCCTTTATTCATCCCCATCATCCCTCCAGCCACCTCCACAACCGTAAGCCTCCTCCTCCAGCTCTCCTTGGATGTGTGTGCTTAAAATTCAACCTGCATCTTCCTGCCCCCTGCCTTGGTTCTCCCAGCTCTCCTGCTGCTGCCAGAGGCCTCACCACTGTGCCCATCTCTAAGAGCTGCCACATCTTCCAAAACGCCTCCCATATTCCCCTCACTGTTCCATTCTATTCCAGGGGTCCCCTCATGTGTGCCTGTCAGTTCCTGTGGATACAATGAGACATCCTGTTACCACCTTCCTAGGAGACTTCCAATGATGCCACCTTTCCTTACTCCCCACTGTGTGGGCTCAGCTTCTGAGCCTGGCCTTCCAGGAGCGCCAGTCTCCTTTCCGTGCATCCTGCCCCTCCTGCCCAAGAAAGCCCAGGCTGTCGCCCTCCTAGCTCACTGCCACCTTTGCACACTCTACCGCTCCTCCCTGAATCTCCCCTTGCTCCAACTCATACCATCTCCGAACTCCGATTTCACCCTCAGCTGCTCCATGCAGTGGAACATTTAATTGTTCTATTTCCTGGGTCCTGGTTTCCAATTATACTATTAAAGTCTTGAGAATGGGGGATCTCTTTTAGCCTCGTAGTACTTGGCACAATGCTGGTCACATAACAAGTAGTCAGTGACTATTTATTGATTAATGGGTCAATTTAATCTTACTATAATACAGTTAACCTGGCATACTGATTTAGGTTTTTCCCCTGATATTAGCTAGGGGTCATAGGGATACTGGCTTGCCCATGTGCGGGACCTGGGCACTGGGATGAAGGAATTACTTCAACATGTGTTTGGATAGTTGTACCCACCTTTTGCAAGGAGGTTGGTTTGTGTGTCTGCAACGACCTAGTCAACGGCCTAGTTGCACCACCATCTTCCTAGTGCTTGTTCTGATGCACCTGACAGCTCTCTCCACAAGACTTCCTTCCTCTTGGGAAAGAAAGTCATCATTCCAGGAGAAAGGGGCCACATGAGCAATTAGGAAGCAAATACGGCTTTTCATTCCTGATGTACCAGGTGAAGTTCAAATGTTACCTTCCATCTTTACTGAAAAGGCCAAAGAATTTCCTGTGAAGTTTGGACACAGAAGGCTGTTCACAATCAAGTGGGATCTGGGATAAGGTGGGTTCGACCACATCCCATCAAAGTGATTTAGTTTCTCAAGGACCAAAAGAAATTGAGGACATAATGATCACACTTATAATGGGACCCCATGACCTGGACTCCGAGAGGAAGGCATTTTAGCAAGTCCTCAGAGCAATTATATTTGACTGTCAACACCATACTCAATGGGTCTGTTAAACTTGTTTCAAGATTCCTAACGGATCCAGTAATATCAGTGTGCAAAGACCAGGGTGCATTTACACTCGCCACTCTCAGCTGTAACTGACCAGAGCCAGAAGAGCATCCTCTCGTCCAGGCCACACACCTCTTACACTGGACTAGAAGACATGTTTTGTGTGCCTTCCACACCTCCCCCTGCAACACCCACTCAGAAACGGGCAATACACCTGCAAAGCAGACAGCTCTCATGACTCCTAATTCTAACTGAGAGGAATTGGGTTTGGCCAGGGAAGAAAGGCCAGTCACTCAAAGTCTGCAGAAGAATTATGTCCTAGAAATAGGGATAGATGAACAAATATAACGGAGATAGATTTTCCCCAAATACAGTTTGGCTTGGCTGTTCTCACTTAAGCACCGTTTGACACCTCTCCACACCTTGCCCCATCCTGGTCGACCGAAGAGATGCTTCTTCCAAACACAGCAGAGGCTGACTGCATTCAGGTCCCCTGAGGCCCTGCTCCCTGTTCTCCTGAGGTCCGAGGCAGGCTGCTATCTGACTGCTGGCCCACTCTCAGCATCCGCCATCCTCCCGCCTTTCCCAATCCCGCACCCAGTACAGAAGGGCTGATGGGCCTCTTGGAGTCCAGGGTTATGTGTTTGTAGCCCCTCAGGTCTCTTTGGCTTCAAACACTTGAAGGAGGTGATTAACTTCCCATTGGGATTTTTTGGTGAGGGTCAGAGAGGCTGTCAGCCTTTCCAGTGGTTTCCTTCCATTTCCTTCCTGAACTGCTATAGTGCATTCAAGTCTGCTGACTAAAGTGACAGCCTGTGGTTGTCTAAACGACCAGTGGTCAGGGCCCAGAGATGCTCATGAGTTCTTGCTTTAATGAAACACAGGGATCTGTGGGTTGCATGGACTTGGCTCTGGAGTCCATCCACAGGAAAGACAATGTGTATTTTTGAAGGATATGGACACACACTCACAGACTTCAGAAAGTGAAAATATTTCCTTTCCCTATGTGGTCTGCAGACAGTAATTTCCAGTCAGCCTGTGAGAGAAGTGGACGATATGTACTCAGAGCTGGGCTCATCAACCTGCCCACTCCAGCTCTCACTGGGAGGAGCCTGGGAAGACTTGCCAGGGCTGATTGTTTCATCACTGTAAAGCAAGCTATCAAAATGAGCCTGTCCACCAAGCACAGGAAAAGAGAAACAAGTATTTAGGTTCAGAAGCATACCCGGTATCAATCGGTTTTCTATGGTGTGCTTAATATCCCAAATCAGATTAGGACATCCCTGAGGGCAGGGCCTGAACCCTCACCCACAGCCCTAGGGCTTAGCACCTGGAGAAGTCAAACTCTCAAAGCAGGCTGTCCTGGTTTTGGCAGTCTTCCCTAGGATGGAACCCTATTTTCAAATATCATCTTTGCTTTTTGCTGCTGTGCTGGACTCAAGTATGTAATGAAGCAAAATCAAATGCACATACCAGTGAGCAACAGCTTGGGACCTCATCTGAGCTACACAGAGTCCAGCCACTTGCTCTGCTCGGTCCACTGTCCAGTTGCCTGGCCTGGCTCCCCTTGTTACAGGACAGGCTGGCCACTCACTCAGACATCCTGCCTGAGTCGGCCTGGCTAGCCTCAATCAGGGAGCCCGACTCTCAGACCCTCTGAGCCTTGATGGCATGCAAATGCGCAGGACAGGCAGAGACACAAGGAGGAAGACAGGATGCCAGACCAGGAGGGACTAGGAAAGAAGGGGTTGGGTGAGACGTTTACACAGATGGGCAGGGACTCCCGAGATGCAAGCTACCAGGATCAGCCTCGCCAGGCCAGGTGCAGGAGGAGTAATGAATATTTAAGTCAACATTCAGAAGTTCATATAAATCACTGTGTTTTTTCCCCTCCCCTATCCTGTGTATCTAATGACCCGCATCTGATTAGGATATCCCTTGGGGGCAAGGTACTGATCCTTTTCTCTCTCAATCTCTTTCCCTACCCTTACCCTTAGCCCCGGGGCTTAGCATACAGGCCACTTGGCAGCCTGCTCGGCTGAGTTTAAAGCTACACACACACAGACCAGAGAGTGCCCTGTAAGTATCCGGACTGCCAGCTACCCTACCAGCACAGAGACTGCTGAACCTTGTACCCTTTGCTGAGCCCCAGTTGGCCTGTTCATTTGGCACAAGGAAGACGTTTCTTCATCCACAGCTGAAGCCACTATAGAGCCAGACCATTCCAGTTCTGGAGAGCTTCTTCCCCTCTCCCTGCATGCCAAAAAGTTGCCCACTTTTAGGCCAAGACAAACTTGGGACAAAAACAAAGCCCCAAACAAGCTGTGTCACTCACTTTGAAATTTTGAACAATAGATGATGGTGGCAAGGGAGTAACAAATGCACTGATCTCCTGGAGCGACTTCTAGATCAAGGCCCTGTGATGGCCCTATCCCCTGACCCTGCATGAAGGGAGCCAGCCCATGTGCACACAGGCCAGGTTGCACTACTCTCCTGCAGCCCGCAGACCCACAGACAGTGACCAAATGTGCACACACACCAGGCAGAGCAGGGGGCTAAGTGTTCTCTGTTGTCGTTAAACAACCCTTTGTTTCCTTCTGACCCCACCGGGCCACAATCACTGTTTCCTGTCTACCACGCATGCACACTGGGCTCCTCTAGGCTTCCTGAGAGCCTTCAGCTGATGCATAATAAGAGCTGAGACACGCCATGCAAGGTGGGGAATGGGGTGGGGATGAGTCTTCTTTCCGAGGAGAGAGGCAAGCAGGAAGCTGAGGATGAGAATGAAATGTCCCATGCTCGCAGGGGATGGCCAGGCCAGGTCCCCTCTCACCTGTACTGGTCATAAAGGTGATGACGGTACTGCTGATGCCCTCGTTGTCCCGGGAATAAACCCGCAACGTGTATGTCATCCCGGGATAGAGGTCTGTCAGCTGTATAGGCTGAGCCTGGGCCTTAACTGGGACAGTTTTTTTCGTATGGTTGCCTGGGGAACAGAAACCTCAATCAGCCTAGAGCCAGGCACCAGGAGCTGGAGAGCCAGTGCTTAGGTCCTGGTCACCTGTCAAAGGTAGAAAGTGTGGGGGAAGGGACCAGAGAACCGCGGGTCCAGTCCATCGTACAGACCGGGAGGTTTCCAGGCAGCTTCCCCAGGCCTGTCCATGCAATACTAACTCTTTTAAACAGCCCTTCAGCTGGGGACACCGTTCCTTCTCCTGAAGTTCTCTTTCCTCACCAGTCTTCACACTAGACATATTATAACCTACTTCCTTACACTCTTAGCTTGTCAGCAGATGCTCTGTTGCCCTAGAAGCGATTGACTTTTCACATGGATCTGGCTGGTGAGGGCCAGAAAGCCAGTTAGCATCCCTCATGAAAACAAGATGAGCTGGGACTCTGACTCTTGGCTCTCATTCCTAGCTTCACCTCTCATTTCTCACCATGTGGTGAATTCCCACGTCAGGAAAAGCGTGTGCCTGTGCATGTACGCTGTAGGGTGAATAGGGGTGGTAGGAGGCTGAAAAAGTATGGACAAAAGTATGGACCAAACTATGGAGTCCAGGTGCCGTGGATGTGAACTCCTCCTCCAACCAGAGAGAACTAAGTCAGCTTTGCTCTCTCCTGAGAGCTCTTTGGGTAGGCTATCCCAGGTGGATTGGCTGGCTGGGTTAGTTGGCTTAATTGTTTAGAGCACATACTAAAGAGGCCAGGATGGTGGGTTTGACCCACAGGGTCCTTCACTCAGGGGCCACACTCTGCAGTCCAACGAATCTGTACCCTTGGTCCCAAGCTCCAGTAAAGGGTGAGCAACTCAGCTCAAGCCACCAGCTGGGACAAATGGCTCTGGTCTGTGGCTCTGACTAGGGGCCGCTGGCATTCCTTTTGGAGCAAAGCAGGGTTGTAGCCCAAGTCTGTGAACTGGCCCACCCAGTCTAGTGGAACCTGAATTAAGGAGATCAATGCAGAGATTTGGCTCATTTGGGGGCTATTCAGAACCCTCATCCTGGGCAGGAAATGAATGAAGGACCCCTTTACACAGGTCCTCCACAGACATGCAACCCTAGACTTCCACTAATGGCTTGAGAAACCCCCTTCCTTCTCCTTGAGTCTGTTCCTCCCACCTCTCTGCTGCCTGAGTGCATATCGATTTCATTAAGCCATAATTAAGCCAGGCTAAAAGGCCTCTCTGAGCCTGGGGGAGTTCACAGGATCTCTTTAATGGCATCTACCGCTACCCGCCGCTGCTGCCGACGCCGCTGCCGCCACCACCACCCCGCACAGCAATGCTTACTGTCGATGTACTCAACCACAAAGTCAGTTCCGGGCCCGAAATTGTGCTTCCAGGTGATGTTGGCCCATTTACTGTTGGGGAGCACCGTGACGTTCCATATGGACTGCTCATCGGGGGCTGGTGGACGGGTTAGAAGAGGAGTTAGTGATGAGGAGGGAGTGGCACCAGAGACATGGAGACACACACATACACACAAGCGTGTGCATGCACGCACATGCCCACGCTCGCGCACGCACACACGTACACACAGTCATCTAGGAAAGGGGAGAGTCAGAAATGGCTGTGCACAGGGCCTGACAGAGCTCCAAGCTGCAGCCTTGGTGGCCAGGCCAGAGGTCACTGTCCAGGGACAAGCAGGTGCAGTCGGGAGGACTTCTGAGGGAGAGCTGGAAACTGACTGTGTCCACATAGGTAGGGTTAGAAATGAAAGAGTGTTTTTTTTTGTTTTTGTTTTTTGTTTTTTGAGACGGAGTATTGTTCTGTTGCCCAAGCTGGAGTACAGTGGCATGATTTCGACTCACTGCAACCTCCACCTCCCAGGTTCAAGCGATTCTCCTGCCTCAGCCTCCCAAGTAGCTGAGATTACAGGCGCCCGCCACCACACCCGGCTAATTTTTGTAGAAAGAGTGGGTTTTGATCTGTGCCATTTGAGGCTCTAACCTGGACTTATTCCCTTTTCAGATCCCTTGTCATGTCAACAGTGTAAGGAAAGGGCCCAGGAAAAAGGCCGTGTGTCCAGGAGCAGGAGGCCACACAGAGGAGATGTGTGCCAGCCCCCTGCCCTTCAAGCAGAGAAGTGCTGCAGGAAGGAGAGGGTAATCTTTAAGAGCCAAGAGTCTTGATGAAATTTGCAGGAAGGACGTACTTTTGAAGCTGGAGGAGAATGGTGATCCAGACAGGTGAGGCTGGTCTAGGGAGCCTCTTGGGTTGTTCTTGGTCAGAGAGAGCCTGACTGATGTGTCTAACAGCCTCAGATTGTCTAAAGCCTAGAATCTCAGGGGCCTGAGAAAGGCAGTGTGAACGCTTCCTCTCCCTCACGTGAACTAGGTGGGACCAAGAGAAGATAACTCCTTGACAACCAGCCCTCAGTGGTCCAGATACCAAAGAATCCTGTTCTGTTGGCTTCTCAGCACCACCAAGTTTTTGATGCCTGATCTCTATGCAACACAGAGGACATTAATTATCAAGTTCTTATGAGCTGGGAGCCACTTTATCAAAGCCGTGGTGCTGTCTGAAACCATAGCCTGTGTACAGGAGAAGGGCACTAATCTTCAAACGTAATCATTTTTCAAGAGTCCCAGCAGTCTGGTTACCCCATTTTCCAGCAAAGATTTAATAGTGGAGTACTCACATGAAGCCTTGTATTTCAAAGACTTTACAAGTGTGGCTCCTGTATATTTTATTAGCATGCAAGGGGGCACTGTCACCAACTCACTTGTCAAAAATAAATGAATAGAGTACATTGGTGATGCATTTATTCATTATCTATTTGACATGTGACTGAGCCTGCAGGGCTGGGGAAGTGATAAAAGATCTCCTGGTTTTCACTTCAAAGAGGTGCCTTCTGCACTACAACCTTGTCAGGCGTTGGTTGCCCCAGGTGGATATGATTCATATTAAGTGAGGGGCCAAGAAAGTGATTCCATTGATGGCACCATGGGGAGGGCAGAAGGTAGGCTCCCTTGCCTGTCTGCCAGATGCTTCAATTGTACTGGCCGCTTGAAGCCATCCCAAATTCTAGCTCCTTAGAATTTCATGGCTCTTGCTGGTGAGAATGAATTGTGATTAGTCATGATTTGGGGACTTGAGTTTCCTTCTCCTCAGCTCTAAGCCCTGTAAATAGCTAGAGAATTTGTGTTTAAACAGTTTGGCCACCAATATGAAATTGACTCAAATCTGGCTGTTTTAAAGGCAATGAAGATTGGGGTTCTTTTAGAAAAGGCTAGGCAATGGGAAGCCAAGATGATTTAGAAGTGGGAGCTGGAGGAAGGCATTGCCACAGAGAGATCAGGATCATGACCTGGAAGCACTAAAAAGTTCAAAGAGAAGGACCAAGCATGTGAGATATCAACACCTAGAAACACAAAAAGGGTCAGGGAGGGGAAGCATGGATTGTCTGACTCCTGGAATGTAAGAATTAGGGAATCTCCCTTGAAATCTGAAAAAGACAGGCTAAGGACAAATAAAAAGGCCTATTTCACCCTGAGAAGAGTAAACTTATGAAACATGTTTTCCCAAGATGTAAGGCACGAAAAAGGTAAACATTCATTTTTAAAGTCCTAGACAGCCATTCTGCTACATTAAGGAGGTGAGGATGGTTGAGGAGTGTTCCCAAGGTCTAGATAAGATCAAGGCCATGGCCAGGTCCTCTACAGTGTCTCACAGAACTTGAGGAGTGCTGCGGGGGCTGGTCCTACGTGGCAACAAGGCCTATATTTCAGAAGGCAAGTAACTCTTTGCTGGGGAGCAAGAGCCACTTCCTTTCTTCATTTTTGATTCATCTTTTCTCCAAACTCAAAGCACTTGTAGGACAAAGAGCCCCACTTCAATGAAAAAGATGCCTCGCCGTGGCCCCAAAGGACATCAGTCACCAACCCGCTGGTGGCAGCTTCTAATACCCCAGCAGGTTCCTCCTCAGCCAACTTTTTCCTAAAGTGCCTGTTAACTTCTAGATGGTACCTGTCAAGCAAACCAGCATTTTCAGGGTCTCAGGAGCTCACGGCAGCTGTGCCTCTCATCTGCCCTGACAGCTCACTTAACTCCATGTCATTGAGCTAAAAACAAAATCCTCTCATGTCTATTAAGCCTCCATCCTCATTCAGGAGGCCGAGAAAAGTGGAGCAGGATGGGAGAAAGGAGGCCTTGGAAGGTAAAGGACTTGCCCAGGAGACAAAGGGGTGCCCACTGGGGCCTACAATTCTACAACTGTGGCAGAAGAGTTCTGGATGCTTCCTGCCAGCCCTGCTGGCTGCCTCACACTGATTTTAGAGCTGGCCTGTGGGCTCAGGAAGCTACAAACCTTCCCCTTGTTGGTAATAAAAGACTGATGCTCAGTGCTTGGAAGCATCGCTGAATTCCCCTGGGGTCTCCCCGAACTGGAAGAACAGAGCTTCCTGGCCTAGTTGCATGATACAGGAACAGTGCATTCTCCTGGCTCAGTATACCAGCCCTGGGATCGATTCTTACCAGGGGCCCTGAGAATGCCTGTAATTTTCCCTCCATGCCTGCATTTGAGGGCTTGGGGAACGTGAGTGGGCATTAAGGGACTCCTTGGCAATACAGTTTCCTGGAAGCTCTGACTTTGTAAAAGAAAAGTCTGTTAAGTGTTCCTTGTGGGAGGAGAGGCAAGGAAGGACCAGGGGTTCTGGGAACAGAGCTGCCTGGCACAGCCACTCCCTGCTGCTCAGCCTCTAGGCCAGATGCAGATGTGGCCAGGGCAGGAAACTCCCTCAGGCCAGTCGTGCAGTGGCTGGTCCTTTTCCCCTCCTCACACAGTCTTCCTTCCAGAGTGCTCGGCCCTGAGCTGACTGCCTGACATGTAGCTGGAGGCAGTCCTGACATCTGGAACCTGGGGGCCCTGCCCAAGGAGCTTGGCCATCTGTTAAGGAACAGGGATCTGAGGCTAGAATGGGGGGTACTGAGTGGTGGAGGACCACCCAAGGAGTTTGTGTGTGTCAGGGCCAGGCTGGGGGAGATCTGGACCTCCAGGCTATGGGACTGAGCATCTAGTCACGGGTGAGTTTCCAAAGGAAACACAAAAGGAGGTGGTGGTAAACACCATCCCAGACCCCACCTCCTAGCTGGGGGAGCCTGTGGGTTCGTCTGGAGACCACTGGGGAGGCGGGCCAGGAGGGGATGGGGAGCATGGGCGATGCGCAGTACCGGATTCGTGTATCTTAGTCCCGGAGGTGGTGGTGGGAGGACTCTCCGTGGTGGTGGTGGCAGCAGTGGCTGTAGTAGTTGTGGCGACGGTGGTGGTGGCGATGGTGGTAGGTGCGACAGTTGGGATGATGGGGACTGTTGTGGCTTCGGTGGTGGCAGCAATGGCAGTAGCATCGGTACTGCTCACAGCGCCCGTCGCACCCACGGTAGTCGGGGGCAATGTGGGAGGAGCTGAGAGGGAAATGTAAAACACCCGAGTCTGGTTGGTTTGGCTGTGCCCAGCCTGGACACACGGCCCCCGCGTGCAAGGCAGGCAGCCCGGTGAGGAGATGGGGCTTAGTCATCAGGAGCCTCCCCAGGCATAACGGGCTGGGTCAGACAGGTCGCAGCAACAGAAGACACAACCATGGGAGAGGAAGAGAATGAAGCCCTGTGTGTGTTTCATTTTCTTCTCATGGTCTGCGTGGCTTGAAGCACCCAGCATGCACCCAGCCAAGGATGCACGAGGATGAGACGGGAAAGGGGCACGCGCTGAATCGCTCAGACCCCAGGGATGGCATGGAGCCCTAGGCCAAACACTGGCCAGATGCCACCCAGACACAGGCCCAAGCAGCACCAGTTGGATCCAGCCCTGGAGCCCCAGCCTAGAGGTGGGCAGGAGGCGGGGCCCTGTCCAGCAGAGGCTTAGGGCGGCCTGCCATTCCCAACCATTCACTCCAAAATCACCCTTTGTCATGCCTGCGTGAGCCCAAACAGCCACCCGAACCTAATGACAGAGAGGGAACAGTCTCCGCTCTGCGCGGGCAAGCCTCGCACCGCGTTCTGCCTACCCTTGCCCTCCTCCAGTCTTGGCTCTCCTCAGTCATTCCTCTGCCTCTCCTCCCTCTCTTTCCCTTCTCTGCTCAATGGTGGCCCTTCCTGCAACCACCCTAATCCAAAGTGACTTCTTATAAATGCCTTTCTCTCTAGGAAATTTGGGTGCAGGTACAAGTGCTTTCTGTTCACACGAGAACATGGGAAGAGGGAGCTAATGGAATGACAGTATGACCCACACTCAGCAGCACCACCTTCCCAGCCCACAGTAGACAGAGTCGTCCCAGGCACAGCGAGGCACATGCTGGACTTCTTTTCTGCATACATCTTCATGGGGCACAGAATCATTCAGATCTGGGCTAACCCTCTCATGACACCCATCTCCCACCCAAAGTGATCCTTGGATATTGGTCAGCTTGGGAGGACTAAGCTTATGTATGTGACAACTTTTTCACAGGTCTTCTTTCCTGATACAGAAGGTCATGGAAAGGGCTGCCCTATCCTTCCCTGCAGATCTAATTTTTGCTAAAGCCGAGAGTATGAGAATAATGAGGCCAAGCAGAGAGAGACAGAGCCACCTCTCCTCCTTGCACTCGATCTCCTGTGATCTGACGGCAGTTCACTTTCTAGAGTTGATGCTAATGTGGCAGTAGGCAGGGACTTTTTTTTTTTTTTGAGACGGAGTCTTGCTCTGTTGCCCGGGCTGGAGTGCAATGGCCGGATCTCAGCTCACTGCAAGCTCCGCCTCCCGGGTTTACGCCATTCTCCTGCCTCAGCCTCCTAAGTGACTGGGACTACAGGCACCCGCCACCACGCCCGGCTAATTTTTTGTATTTTTTAGTAGAGACAGGGTTTCACCGTGTTAGCCAGGTTGGTCTCGATCTCCTGACCTCGTGATCCACCCGTCTCGGCCTCCCAAAGTGCTGGGATTACAGGCTTGAGCCACCGCGCCCGGCCAGTAGGCAGGGACTTTAAAACAAAGGCAGCTAACTCTCACTCCCAAGGAATCCCACCCAGCCTCAGATCTCTCAGGAAAATCATATCCCCAAGAAAGGGGCTAGGGCAGGGAGGGATGCCAGAAAAAGAATTGCCAGAGAGCTTTTTAAAGGGAGAGTGAAGCGATCCTAAGCCTTCCCAGCCAGAGCCTGCCCAACAAAAGCCAGTTCATTCCCTTGGGTCTCCAATATTACAAGTCCTTCTTTGGAGAAGGAGGCAATGCTCCTGCTTCCCTACTAATAAGATCAGAGGTACTACTGTGCCCCAAGGGTGCTGGCCACCCAAGTCACACTGGGCAGCTGACTATGCCCCATATGTTCCAGAGGTTCCTGGGCAAGTTCAAAGCTCACAATGCTATATTCCCCAAACCCTGGTCAACCCACAGACATCAGGGTGGTGTGGGGGGGGGTGAGCGGCGGGGCAACTCTCCCTCTCAGATTCTTTATTCAGGGCCATGCTCAGTCCAGGATGGCCTCAGGCCTGGAATACAAGCTTAGCACTATAAACACTCAACATGAGGGATTCACTTATCCCCACCCACCGACACGTGTGCGCGCGCACACACACACACACTGTGTACACATACATGGGAAAGCCTGAGAGACCCATGCGGCAAAGGTCAGTTCTCTCCCAGGCCTGCTCCCTGCAGCTCTCATGGCCATGGACACACATGGGCTCTTCCTGCTGCTCTGTGCTGCTGGGATGGACCTGGAGAAATTATTTGGTCTACTTGGGCAGGACTGCTCTGATTTTTTTTTTTTTTTTTTTTTTTAAATTGAGACAGGATCTTGCTCTGTTACCCAGGCTGGAGTGTAATGGTGTGATCATGGCTCATTGTAGCCTCGACCTCCCAGGCTCAAGCCATCCTCCCACCTCAGCCTCCCAAGCAGCTGGGACTATAGGTCCAGCTACAGGTCCACCATGCCTGGCTAATTTGTGTATTTTTTGTAGAGATGGGGTTTTGTCATGGAACCCAGGCTGGTCTTGAACTACCAGGCTCAAGCAATTCTCTGGCCTCAGCCTCCCAAAGTGCTGCACCTGCCGGAGTTCTTTATAAATAGTATGTTTTCTAATAATTTCTGACAAATCAAATGCTCACAAGGTAGCCCTTCTCATGACTATCTAAAAGGCATCGTTGGAAAACACTCCCTTCAGGGGAGGTTGCAGTGAGCCAAGATCGCACCACCGCACTCTAGCCTGGGCAACAGAGCAAGACTCCGCCTCAAAAAAACAAAACAAAAAAGCAAACACTCCCTTTTCATCACACTGTGATGATTCACCTGAATCTGCGTAGTGCAGGGGCCTGGGCTCCCTTCCTACAGGTGCAGTGGCTACTACATTCCCCAGGCCCCAGAAACTAAGTCAATCTTCCCCAAAGCTTTACACTCTCTCATGTGGCCCCGTGGCCCTCAGACACACAGAGACACACACACACTCATACCCCAACACGGCCATAGCTGGGGGCACACACTTCCCCCAGGATGTTCCAGTGAGTAGCTGGAGGACAGGGATGTCAAAAGAGCCCAGGTGACAGCATTTTCCTCACCGGCCCTGCTGGGCAGAGGCAAGGATAAGAGATGGCTCTGAAGATGTTCCTACACTGCATTGTCCCCTCCCCTGATGGCCACTTCGCCAAGTGTGGCAGAAAGGAAGCATTTTTCTCTGATGATGGCTACCTAGCTGCTTCCTCTCTGGCTCAGGCTTAGTAAGAGGGAGCGAGAGATGTCACAGAGAAAAGGGGTCACTTTCTGGCAGCCTCCCCAGGGCTCCCACCATCGAAGTTACCATAGAGGATACAACCTCAGCGGGCTGAGGTCACTGCTGGCACATCTCCGACCCACTCATTAGCTGTGTCTATTGTCCCAAGGCAGGACAGGGCCCCCAGGGAGCTAGGGAGGGTGGAGGAAAGAAGAAAAGCCTCTGAGGGAAGGTGCAGAAGAGCCAGGCAGTGAGCTGTCAGGGGGCTAGTACAGGTGGAACAAAGGGGCAAGTGTTCCATGGGGAAAACCTTCTACGGCTCAGGTCCAAGGAGATTCAGATTATTTCATCCCCTGGGGCTGAGGTTGGGGAGAGAATAGAAGAGTGATCTTTTCAAAAGAAAACCAAGAAGTAGGGCTTACCAACAGAGTGGCACCAGGCTGGGAAGACATATGACTGGGCTAAGATGTCATTTCCTGCCACAATAGGAGCTACAGGTTTGGAAGCAATCCTGGCCAGTGCTCAGTGGAGACCATCAGCCTGGCGACCAAGGAGAAGGGGCAGCAGAGACCCTCTGTTAGCTAAGGGGGGATCCTGAGTGGGCTAGAGCTGGAAGCACAAGGTCCCTCCTAGACAGCAGCATCAACCTCACAGGTTTGTCACCTAATGCGCACTGGAAGGCACCCTGGCCACAACCAAGGGTTTTCCAGGAGGGTTTCAGGGAGCACCATGCATGAGATGGAGAACACTGAGGAGAGATGACATGTGTCATTCATCTTTCTGTCCCAGAACCTGCCACGGAACAGGGCACCTATCAAGAGCCCACCAAACATCTGCAGACCTAAGCTGGGTCAAAGAAGAGGACAGCACTTCCTAGACATTCCAAGGTGGAAGGTTTAGTCCAAAAATGTCCACATGGCATGTTGACTACCCCGGCCAAATCACAGATTGTCAGACAGATGGGCAGCAATCCTAAGAGACTGCAGATACAGGTGGATGAGAGGGATTATCTTCACTGGGTGAGAGATGAACAGAGCAGTTTGGGGAAACAGTGCCCAGGTTTGGAGAGGACGAGAGGGAAGACAGCAGTGGGCCGGACGCCAGGTCCACGTCAAAAACATGGAACCCGAGTTTTGTTGCTTGGCACCTGCTCATTGTGCAGAAGGTTCTTACGCATTTAAAGCTGAGAACAGCTGATGTTATCAGCACATCTCATTTCCCAAAAAGTGCAATCTGCCTCCACTGCCATGTCACGTGGAAGCCGGAGCCCAGGAAACATTTGATTGAGACCATGAGCTCATGCTGCCTGAGTGTAGATCTTCTCTAAGTGGGAAGTAGGAAGCAGGGTGATTGCAAAGATACCTCTCACCCACTCAGTAGAGGGGCAGCACAGGCCAGCACAGATGCCCACTGAACAAGACAGACTGCCTGGCACCAGGCCCACCTGCCTTGGGTCCTAGGGTGCCAGAATGGGGGAGGTGGACGGGGAGCTGCTTCTCCAATGAGCTTGCAGCTGATTCGCCTGATGCCCTCCCTGCGTTTCCTCTTCGTCATGGGAGAGACTTATGTAAACTTCAAGCAGGAAGTCAGGGAGGCCCCAGTGTGGCAAGGATGGCTCTCACCCTGGTCCCCAGGCTTAGGATCACCTCTCTGCCTCACATCTTCACAGGGGTGTTCAGACTTTGTGGGGAGGCACTGGGGTGGTGGTGATTGTGAGGACTGAGGGAGAGAGGGAAGGATGATGGCAGCTCACCATCCACAGATCTGACCACAAAACATACACAAACTGAAGGAAGCAGCTGTGCAACAGAAATAGAATCAACATAGGATGGGGGTGCGGATGAATAAGCAAAGGCGAGGAGGAAATCAAATCGGGCAAGGTGGCATCCCCTTCATAAGCCAACCCTCAGATTCCTGGCCCGGTCCTCAGTTCTCCCTCCACTGCCTGGCATGTAAGGAGGCTCTGGTGAGCGCTTGCTCGTAGCCTTTGCTCTGCCAGGGTGAATCCTGTTCCCATTTCCCATCTATGTAATTCAGGCTCAGAGGAGGGCCTGGAAAGGAACCCTGGGGTCCCCTGCCTCGTTTCTCCAGCCTGGGGACTGGCCTCCTGTGATGAAGAGCCCTTTGATGGCCCTCAAACCCATGACATGAGGACTAGAGAGGAGTAACTTGATTAGCAGGTCCTAAGCCCAGAGCTGCCCAGCACCTCAGTCCACTGTAGATCTACCTCCCACACCCCGAGAGTGGAGACTGTTCTTAATGCTAAAGACTTGGAAACGCTGGGTTTCTGAAGGGTGAGGAGATAATCAGCCCACAGTGCCTGCTGAGACTCCAGGAACTGGAGCACCTGGCCCTATCCATGGACGTGCTTGCTTGTTCTCACTGAGCAGAGCCCGTGGTGGCTGGCAGAGCCGGTGCCAGGCCCCCATGCAGCATGCAAAGCCGGCATGCACACCGCGCTCACCCTTTCAGGAGACGGCAGCCCCACAAGGAGCCAGCTGTCCCTGCTCCTGCTGCAGCACGCCTTCTAGAGCCACAGCTGGGGACACTGCTCTGAGCTGTCAAGTCCAGGCAAGGGCTCAGGTGGTTAACGGGAAGTAATCTACTCAGTGTCAGAATCAAACTGCAGCTCCAGAGAGCAGGTCAGGGCCCGTGTGTGTGGGACCCCTGCTGAGCCATTCTCTTTCTCAGCAGGGGGCAAATAGTTTGGGAAGGGGGGAAAGCGGGCTTGCTCTCCTCTGGTCCCATCCTCCACACACATCCCGCTTGACAATCTGGCTTCCCAGCCACTGAAAGGGTGAGTCTGGAGCATGCTTTCAGCCTCAGCCTCTCCCTCCTTGTCCACCCTGGCTGGGCTCCGCCTGCATTGCCCCATGCCATGCCCATTACCTCCGATGCTGGTACGGTACCTGCGGTTGGAGTAGCTTCAGAACACAGCGCCCAAGATGGCCAGACAGAGGGAGAAAGGATGGAAAAGGGAAGAGAAAACAGAGCACAAGTGAAACCACAGGACAAGCAAGCAGAGAAGGTTCCAGCCCAAACCTTATGCAGACGGCATGGCCAGGTGCTGGCTGCTGGCCTGAGGATGCCAACTGGTATTCAGGGTTCACGGTCAACTCCACCTGAGTCAGGCATGTTCCTACAGAAACCTTTCCACCTGGGCCTTGGAGACCTTTCTAACACGCTGTTTCTACCTCGACTCAAGGACTGGACATCTAAGAGGTGGCTGCAGAGACAGTCCACTCAGAGGATTATGTTCCCAGTTCTGTCCTCAATAGCGTATCCTGCTCTGGCTAGGTTGGCATGACCTTTGAGCAGGCTGGGTGACCCTCCATGATGCCAGCGGTTGAGGGGATAAGGAGTAGGTGGTGTGGGAGGAAATCAACTCCAGTCAAAAGGATGGTTTCTGTCTTCAGGGGAAGATGCTGAATAGTGGGATGGATACGAGAGAGGGAGCGTGTTCAGCTGCACCCACTCCACACCATCGCAACCTTGGAAGGCAGGAACTTTGAAGGACGGAGCCTGGAGCCCCTCTCCTGGTATTCCGTCCCTCCAATTCTTCCCTTCCAGTTGGACTTTATGAAGTTAGAAACCCAAGTTTGGACTGAGAGCCCTAAGTGAAATTCTTGAATTTTCTGCAAAGCCCTAAGTTAAGAACAAAGTCTCTCTTTGTCCTCTTGTCCCCCGGGGCTGCAGAACATTCTCTGTGGTGGTTACTGGGGCTGGACAATGGGGCTTTGTTTATCTGATGTTCTGTATTGGGGTGCACATAGGGAGGGAAGAAGGGGCTCTCTATCTATCTACTTGCAGAATTGAGTAATCAAGAAAGTGCATCACAGCCTGGCCTGGCCTTTGGTAACAGACACACATCAGTCACTAACCTAAGTCCTCTTGCCCTAATAAATTTCCCGAGTGCCCAGGGGCTTGGGAGAGTGCAGAAGAGCACAGTGGCAGGGAGAGCTGGTTGTGTGACTCACTCCTGGTTTCTGAGCCCGGAGAGGGATGCAGAGAGGGCTGTCAGCCTTTCTCTGCTTCTGCCTGGCCCCTCTTCTCCCGCCTCAGCGCTGGTGTGCTGGCTAGAGTGGTGGGGCTGGGGAAGGATGTGGGCAACTTGTGAAGCTGCCTGGGAGCCCGGGGTGACGCAGCAGGCCTGGTAGCCCCAGAGAAGGCAGCACTGATGCTCTCCTGGAATGCAGGTGGGGGTGGCACTCAGGAGACCCCTGTCTGGGCCTGGGCCAGGCGGCAGGACCTGACCCTTCTGTGGAAAGCACTAGACACAATGACTTCTCAGATTCCAGGGTGCCCACTCACATCACCTCTTCTCTGGAGTTTTCCCATGAAGACTGAATCCCCCACTCTGCCCAGGCACTGCGCCCCCTCATTTAGACATGCAATTAGATATTCTTATAGATGGCTCCCCCTCTAGATGGTGTGAGCTTCTTATTACCTTTATATATCCCTTGTGTGTGGCAGTGTTTGGCACCTCACATTGTGGGCGCTCAAGAAATGGCTGTTGAATTGACCGTTGTATCTCTGGAGACACACAGGGGTCCCCAGCCTTTCCTAGGGGTGAGCCAGCATTGAGGTTTTTGCAGCCTTGCCTCCTCCAGAGGTCCCAGGCTGCACATTCCGCCTGACGCCAGCGTATGTGCGGGTGAGCCTGGAGCCCCCTCTAGTGGAGTCCTCAGGCAGGTGCAGCTCCGGTGGGGGATGAAATGCTGCCAGATGACGCCTGGACCCAGGAGATGAAGAACTCATTTGCTCTTTGTGAAGCTGGCTTGGCAAACGGCTGTTTCCTAACTCCTCCTCCTCTCTGCAGCCTGACAACGCATCCGATTCAGGCTGCAAGGAGGGACCACATTCTCTGGTCTACTCACGATGCCAGTAAGCAGCGTCATCATGATGGTTTCCCTTACCTCCTTGAACCCATGTGCCTTCGAAGAAAGAAGGTTGTCCCCAGAGCCCTCATGGGGCACTCACAATCATATTCCTGCCTCCCTCAAGAGGTGAACACTCACTGTTCTTTGGAGTTCATTATGCTTTCTCTCATTTCTCAACTCATGCTCTCTTCCTTATTCCTCTACAAGAAGGAAAGATGATAGATGTCAAGTGACTCAGCAAGTCAGGGCAAGTGGGGACCCAGGTGTGATCACAGAGGTCCAAGGACAGCTGGGCTCCAGATCCAACACCAGCACCTACCTCTCACACATTAAGATGGGTTCTCACCTACCAAGGGCTTGAGGACTTGCAAGCCCCATTTCCTCTCCATCCCAGGCAGCCAGCTACAGACCTCAGTGTGTTTCTCTAGGCCTCTGAACTAGCCAGGACCTTTTACCCCAGGGGCTGCCGCCATGCACCTACCTTCATTCGGGGGTGCTGGTGACTCCTCCGTGACGGCTTCCCCAGAGCCCACCTGCGTCCTGGCGCTGAGGGTAAAGCGGTAGCGTGATACGGGGTCCGTTCTTTGCACTGTGAACTTGGTCTGATTGGGAGAGAAGTTTTCCACTATCTGCTTTCCTACTTTGGTCCCGTTAACTGGGGAAACAGAGGTAAGTGGAATTAAACTTTAGCAACGTTTATTGATGGGTTATATAATCTGCAAGCTGGAGGGAGAACACCTTCCTGACTTTGCTGGAAAGGGAAATGATAGCACCTGCCTGGTGATCTTAAAGGCTTGGTTCAAAGGCAGAGCGCTGGGCGAGAACTCCCTCTGGGCTCTTTGATGACACCCAGGGTTAATCCTTCTTCACTGATCCTGTTGTCTCTAGCTCACTGAAGAGTTATGTGGCTGATTCAGAAAGATTCCGTTTATATTCTTAAGCCCTTTCAACAAGGACAAAACTCTTCACTTTCTTTCTTCCTTTCAAACAGAACTAGGGCAACGCCACTAGGCCTTTTGATTTTTAATGTCTCCTTTGTAAAATGCCTATTCAATGGACCTCAAAGGGTGAAAGGGTCTGGTCCAGAGATCAATGCCGAACAGCATACAAGCACACAGTTGGCTATTAAAATTGCTAACACCACATCATTTGGCTCTTTGAGTTTCCCAACGAGGTATGTTACCTACTTTTGAAGGCCTAACGTGTTTCAAATGTAATGGTACTCCTGTCCCTGCATGGTGATGCTGAGCTCTTGAGGTGGGGTCTTTCCAACCCAGGCTCCCAATTCGGGTCACCCCACAGTCACCAGGCAGCTCTACATGCAACTGCCTTATCATAAATGACACCTTGTCAAGGGGTGTCCTGACTGTCTGTGGACTCCTGTGAGTATACTGTCTACCCCATCAGGTGGAAGCTCCAGAGGCTGAGGAACTCTCTCTCCTAGACTCTGTACGTGTTGGAGACTACGAAAGATCCCTAAAGGCCATGGCTGTCTCCCTCATTAGACTGGAGTTCCCTTTGTCTCATCAGTGAGACTAGAAGCTCCCTGCAGGCAGAACTATGCAAGGAGAGCAGGGATTGAGTCCCACCTGCCTCCCCTAATCCTATTGGGAACTGTTTCGTTGGTCCCTCCATCCCTCCACAATGCCATCTGCACCCACAGGCTATCTACCTTGAGTACTTAGGAAAAGTGGTGAGAATGGGGTTTCTGGTTCCTAGATTATCTAAGAGAAAGGGAAGGGCAGAACGTACAGGCCACGTATTTGAGAGTGTATCCAGTCATGATCCCATTTGGATGCTCTGGATGATCCCATTCCAGGTTGATTGTCTCCAGGTTAGGCTGCCGGACTCGGAAACGCCTGGGGGCACTGGGTACTTGGGGAAGGAGGAGAGAGCAGGGGAGATGAGGGGGAGGGGGCAGGGAGGATGAGGAAAACACAAAAAAAACAAAGCACAAGTATGAAGGCATTGACCTCTGGACAACCCCCATGCTGGACACTGCTAAACTGAAGCCAGGGAGAACCATGAGACGACTGGAGCCCATTGCCCCATCCAGGATGCCATTTCCTCCAGGTCTGAAGACAAACATAGCTCAGACTCTGCTTTTTAAGAGAGGAAGAGGTAAATCAGGTTTTCTTCTAGCAACTACCGTGGATTAAGCACACATTAGGCTCTGATTCTGCAAAGACACCTCTAAATTGGGCAGAACCATTCCTTGGTAGACAACCACTTACAGCTGTTTTGTACAGAGGCTGCAGTTCCCTATCCTCAGACAAGGATTCTCATCACTGGGTCCAGGCAGCAGGCCCAGGCTTCTGAGCTGAGAATGTTGGGTTCAGGGTTAAGGAGACAGAAACCCAGGGTGGAACATCCAGAAGAGGTGGGAGGGCGGGAGTGTTAGGGAGAGGCCAATGATGAAAACCAAACCAAGGCAAGGGAAAGACAAGGATAAAGAGAACAAGAGGGAAGAACAGAGGACAGGAGGAAGAGAAGAGGAAAAATGGGGAAAATAAAAATTAAAGGAGGAGGGAGGAGAAATGGAGGAGGACGAAACAGATGCAAAGCAGATAAAAGAAGACTGGCAAGAACAGGGAAATGAACCAGGAACTTTGCAGTCATCTCTTAATTCATGAACTTGAATTTATGTGAAACAAAAAACAGGGGTTTTGACTCCAGGGCCTTGTGAAACCATGGGCCTGCAGAAGGCGGGGCTACACTTGGGTATCCCTCTGCAGAGCCACCGCACACACACACTATCTCAGTGACAGCTTCTTGAGAACATGTGGGGAGAACCGTGAAGGCCTTGGGTGCTGGCAAACAAATCAGATGGCTCCTGGCAGTCAGGATGGACGGCTGCCGGCTGCCTTCTGCCTCGGAAGGTGGTGGGGCGGCCCAGGCGCCCGCCGTGCCCTTGGGGATCAGTCTGCATAGTCCATCTGGAATTATGTCAGCAGACCTCACAGGTCTTCTCTTGAGATACAACCTCCTGGCAGGGCAGGTCACCTTGGTGATGGTGCTCTGGGAATGGCTGTAGAGGCTCAGCTTGCAGGTCATCTGCCCCTGGAGGCCTCGAAGAAGTCGCCTTGTGCCATCCATGCCGAGCCACGCTGGAGTTTCTCCAGGCCCGAGGTGTGTGCCACCCTTCTCCTGCCCCACCCTGAAGAGCTGCAGGCCAGACCTACCTCCTTCCGGGGTGGTGAACTCCTTGGTCTCACTGCGAGGCCCATCACCTCTCCCATTGACCACAACCATCTCCAGCTTGTAGTTACTGTAGGGGAAGAGGCGGGACACCACGCCACGGAGGCGGTCACCAGGGAAGCTGGCTTGCTGTCTCTTCTGAGACACCCACAGGTTCTTCAGCAAGCTGCTCTCCCTCCAGTAGTAGGCCTTCGGGACAGAGGCAGGCTGGTGAGGGGTCAGGCAGGCAGGGCCAGGTTAGTTGTTAGTGGTGGTGGTAGTGACCGGTCTTTCCTTTGCTTGCTACAGCCTCCAAGTCCCAAATGACCTCATCAGTCCTATCCAGGCTGAGGAAGCAGCCTTTTAATCCCCACTCATCAGCCACTCATGAACATGAATTTATATTAAACAAGAAATAAGGGTTTTGGTTCCAATTATTTTCTGATCCATGCCACGTCTTTGGGGAAAGAGCAAGTTGGCCAAACTTACATCTGAGCTGCTCCATCATGAGACTGATTTCCAAGGTGGGTACCAGGTTGCTCAGGGAGTCCGTGCCAGAACCAAAAATAGTGAGCCAAGGGTCCAGGCATGGAAAGCTCCACTCTGTGCTCAAAGACCACATCACCTTGAATTGGATTAGTATGGTTTAGATTGACGGCAGGCAGCAGTTGAAAGGTAACAAGTTACCCCCGGAAGTCTGAACATGAGAAAGGTTGATTTAATCCTTTGAAGTAAAATGATTTCTTTTCATATTGTTGAAAGACCTTTAGGGATGAGACAGTCACATGTCCAAGTCAGTGGGATGCCAGGCTGCATGGTAGCAGAGCTTGGATGGGAAGGGACAGCTATGGAAGATGGTAGTGTTGGAGGGGACAGTGGAATGAGTTTGGGCAACATGAGGTCTTTAATTAGCAGTGGGTAAGAAGCCATAGGTCAGGTGGCCACGCCAGTGTCTCCCAGGCTGCCCGTGGCAAGGTAGGAAGGAGTCCAGACTTAGAGGGGGACCCATGGGGAGCTTTAGCCAGAAAAATCTCTAAGCAAGTAGGTTAAGGGTACAAGTCAACTGTGGGGAAGAGCTCATTCAAGTGTACACATCACATTGCCTTCTTTCCCCTACTGGCCAAATTCATTTCCCAGGAAGAGACTAGCCTCTCTTGCTCTGCCTCCAACTGTCCATCAGCCAACTCTTGATGGCCTCTGAGGCCACAGAAACTGCATTAATCACAGTTACTGCCTCCCTCCCTCACTTTCCAGCCAACTTTTAATTAGTGCTACTCAGAAGGGAGCGCCGTGTATACCCTGGGTGCTCTCTCTCTTCTTCCCATCTGAGCTCACCCTTTTGAAGAGGATGGACGATTGAGCAGAAACTGCTCTCAGGCAGGGAGAAGCCAAGGGCCTTGAAATTCCATATACTGGGTTATCTGGAGTTGGCTGCGACAACAGGGAGGGCATTTGCACGCTTTCAGTGGCTTTGCCTGTTAGTTGTGGCTTAGGAGATAAGGAGCCCAGTAGGGGCCATTGGGATAGGGGAGGGGTGTAGCTCAGCGGTGCCTCAACACTGCTCTGAAGATACATTTTTGCCCACTCATGCATGTATTCCAAACGCAATGTGCTACGCAACACCAACCCCAACCCACCGCCTTTCACGTGATTTTCTGCTGAGCAGAATCTCTCAGCATATCTGCTGGACACATCTGTGTGTGTGTGTGTGTATATATATATTATACATATATAATATATATAATATGCAACTTTTAAAATTTAAATTTAGTGGGTTTTAATTTTAAATCCAGATGTGTGTATATATAAAATATATCATGTATATAATTTTTTTTTCTAGGTATATTTTTGAACATCTAACTCTAGACATTATCTTTTTAAGTCAACCTTGGATTCAATAAATATCCCTAGGATTTCTTTCCAATATCTTATGCCCCGCATTTGCTACCCCTGGCCCTGGTTAGTGAGCTGGGTGGTTAGGTGAGTCCAGAGCTGGCTTCCTCACTCGGTACTCTCTGAGCTGGCCCTGGACCGTGTCGGGGTAGACGCGGTTCCACTGAAGGCTGATGGCTGTGCTGTTCATGACTCGGACTTTAACTTCAGTGGGCGCAGCCCTGGGATCTGCAATGTGTCGGGACAGAGAGTTGGTTATACAGGCAGGACTCTAGGGTTGCTTCTGACTTTTTCTCTGCTGGCCTGGACCTGCACTCCACTCAACACTGAGCATTCCATGAGGGCAGGGGCCATGTCTCCTCCATCAGACAGTACTTGAAAAGGTGGTGGGGAAGGCTCAGGACAAAAGGGTGGCAGTCCAGGTGGAAGCGACTCTGCCTACATGTTTAGAGGGCAGTCATTTGCCCCCTCCTGTGCTGGGTAGTTTCCATCTGCCCCTTCATTTCATCCTCCACCCTTCTTCACCCTGCTCCGTGTCCTGGGAGGTTGCCCTCGCTGGACCTTATCAGTGGGGCTCCCATGTTCTCAGGCTGCCAGATGGGTTTAACCAATAGCAGGTGCCAACAGGAGGGCCCCAGGGCAGGAGGAGAGGAAGGGTGGGTACCAATTCCCCTGGGTTCCTCTTTCCTGGGCTACAGGTTGACAGCCTTGTACTCTTCTACCTAAGGCCATGGCTCCTGAGGGTGGTCCTTGCAAGGCTGTGGACTCATCTATCCCCGTCCATGGAGGCTCAGAGTGGTATAATGGCTTCCTACTGCTGCCAGCCTTTAAGGTGGATCACATATCTTGCCATTTTCCCTCTAACTCTGTCCACACGTGATAAATAGTACCTTCTGAGAGTGCATCTGTTTCCTGGCAGGAAACATTACCCACAGGTTGAAGATGCCCTAATCTAGTTCAGGAAGTGATTCTGACCCTGCGACTCCCTGGAAAGGGAAGCCCTCTCCCTCCCCTATAACTGATTCTTGTCCCTGTTTTCTCCACTCTGCTGCAAAAGCAGCTCTGCCTCGTCCCCTCTAATCCATCAGAGCATGGGCCGCAGGGTAGGAGCATGCAATGGAAACTGTGGGCTGGTCCATGGAATCCATGACCAGATGCCACCCTTTCTGCACTTACCATCCAGTAGTACCACTGGGCTCCTGTCTGAAGTGCCCGCCACCATGGAGGTGAGGAGTGGGATGGACAGAGGACCTGCTGACCCTCTTTGCTCATCTCCCTTATGAGTCCAATCCATAATCACCTCTGGGAAAGTGGGGCCCAGGGCCCACCCCTGCCTTCTTCCATCTCACTGTTAGGAACGCCACGGGCCCTACTCTTGACGGCTCCTTCTAAATTCCCCCCACCCAAGACTGTCCCTCCTCCCTTCCTTCTGCCCACTCCATCCACCTACATGATCTCTTCTTCCATCAGACCCAGACCCAACAGGGCGCAAAGGCCCTCAGCCAGGAGGGGACTCCCTGACATCCCTGCTTTGTTTAGCAGCCTACGGGACTGATGTGCTGGGGACAGCGAGGCCACCATTGTCTGGGAAGCCAGGCATATATGTCCCTGTATATGACCAGAATCTTGTTGTTTTACCAGAGGCCAGCCCCCAAAGACCTTCTCTTTCTGTGCTCAGTTCCCAGGGCTGGGAGCCGCAGCGGGAGCACCAGCAGGGGCTGGTTGGGGCGCTCCTGTCTGGTGCTGAGGAGGCCTCCCAATCCCTCAAGCCTTCCCTGGGGGAACCTCTGGCCTGCTGCCCTGCTTCCTGTGGAGGTGTCTAATCATACCTCTTTAGGATGGGTAGTCTTGACGTTTTTCTTGGTACTAGCATGGCTCAGCAGTAAGGCACACTGCCAGGGGATTGGAAGACCTGAGCTCTGTTCTCAAGACAGATGTTGACGACTATGGAACACTGCTGAGGGTTTTCCATTTTCTGGGCCTCAGTTTTCACATCTGTGAAATGACAGCTCTGGACTGGGTGATGACATTCAGTAATTCCAACTATGTTCGGATGATGATATTTCCACGCCTGACATGACTGGGTGCCTGTCTGCTCTAGGTCACTACAGGACATTTCTCCTTCCCGAGAACTGGCTGTCTTCCCATACCCACCCCAGGTTTCTTGGCCTGTCAGCATGGCCTCGTGCGACCTAGCCACAAGGGTCCTGGCAGGGGGATGGGGAGGAGACTACTCACAATCTTCTCCGGAGTAACCGATGACAGATTCTGGCTCCGGACCCTTCCCGAAGTCATTTTCAGCCTGGACTCGGATCTCATAAGGTACGTAGACCGGGGTCTGCCCCACCACGTAGCGAGAGCCCCACACTGTGACGTTGTTCCAGGCCTCTCGAGTCTCTCTCCGCCTCCACTTGACAATGTAGCGTAGGTTGGGGCCAAAGGCCGAGGTGGCATTCATGGGCTGGGCAGAGGGACAGACAGGCTGGGGAGGCTGCCGGAGAGGGGCCCAGATCCACCCACAGCTTGTCCTCTCTTGCTGTGCCAGGCATCCCTTCCAGATATGCCCAACACTGGCCCGCCCCCTTGCAGGGTAGGGGAGACCACATCCCCCACCCCAGTGAGTCCCCCAAAAGGCGAAGGTCCTGTGAACCCAGCAGCATGCAGATTTTCTGTGACAAAGGCTTCGCCTGAGACCCAGTTACTCTGACTCTGAGAGCCACCCACATTTGCAGGTGCAAAGGTTTTATTTTCAACAAAACACCTTCCTGTGACAGGAGCAACAATAAATCAAAATATAGACAATAAGGTAAACTTCTCCAAAGTCAGAGGAAATGAGTTGTGATTAACCACAGCATGGCTCCTGCTAATGAACTCAAAATTCCAGAATGGATTTTAGTTCTACCAAATTTGTGTGTGTCTGTCCTGTCCTTCCCAAGAGGTCAGAGTTCTTTAAGCATGAGTGTGATTCTGCTCTTTATTTTCTAAGGGCCTGTCCCAGGAGTCAGTCCCTTGGGAGCCTGCTATACAGAGCCATAGACCAGGGTCCTGCATCTGGGCTCAGTCCAGCTGCTGTTGCCCTGTTTGGCCAAGGCTGCCGTGGGAGCAGCCTTCAGAAAGACAGGGAAGGTCATGATCCCAAACACTGCATCTCCCTGTTTCCATTACTTGTGGCAGAAGTTCAGAAATGTTAATATTTCAGTGGCTGTGTTTGCATTCTCAGACTGGGAAGTGGTTTGGGAAAAAAGTCGTTTTGAGACCACGTACTCCAACTTCGGTTTGGAAAATGTAGTCAGTGAGCCGGCATAAAGATGGGATTTTATAAGACCTGAGGGAGTCTTTGGAATGACCCACTCCATTCTCTGACCAAAAGAAAGCCTGTACTGGACACATCTCAGATGTTGGTCTCTCCTCAGCTCCCACAAATCTCCAGTGAAAGGGCCCTAGAACACACCAAAACTTGGTTTGGTGTTGTGCTTAGATGTTTTCTAAAGTCTAACCCCAGTCCCTCCTCCTTCAAGAGAAGTCCGCTTGATTTTGCTGCATCCTCTAGGCGTTTGGCTAGACTGGCAGTCGGTGGACCCTGGTCCCCTCTGCTCTCGTCTCCTCTCTGAAATCTTATGCTTAGACATTTGTCCTGTTTGGTTTCTAGATGCCCAACTCAGAGAGGAGCTTGGTTTCTCAAAGAAGAATGGCCACCAAGACCAGCCAGAGAGTCTGAACCGCATCGTGGCCTCGTAGTGTTGGGGCATCAAGGCAGAGGGGCTCCTGGTGCCTGCGGCAAGGGGAGCTGCTCCATCGGGGCTGGGAGGGCCTCTTACCGTCCATGTGATCTCCATGTTGTTCTTTCTGGTCCCCTCTCCCTTCACGTCACCAGGATTGGACTCGGGGGCTGGAACCCAAACGGACACAGGTTCAAGTCCAATTTGTGCCTTACCAGGGCAAGGTAAGGAACCTTCCTCCGTCCCACCTGATGGGTCTGTTCTACGCTCCGAGTTTCTTCAGCATCTATGTACACGCTGGGTCTAGTGTGTAAATGAACTTACTCTGTGCATGATGTGCCTTCTGAGCTGAGATTTAAACTCCCAGAGCAGGGCTAATTTCTTGTGAATTTTAATCCTCTACCAGACAGCATTTATCATAAGGCTTTCCACACTGTGGGTGGTCAGTAAGCCAACTCAGTGTGGATTAGCTCCTTTGTGGATTATCCACTAAATGTGTTTCATACCAGACTGGCTTATCCCTGGCATTTAACATTTTTTTGGGGGGCAGCATCTCCACCCCCTATGAGCTGGTGTGATTTCAGAAATCCAAATACTACCCAAGAGTGTTAGGAAAAGAAATCTGATGTAATACCAATTTATATATTTCTCACACTGAATTATGTATTTCTGCTGTACCTCTTTGCCATAGCTCTCCCCTTTAAAGCAGATAATCAAGAATTACTAATAATAAAACTGGAAGTTAGCATTTATCATGTGCTTACTACATGCCAGGCATCATGGTAAGTACCTGAAACACATTCTCACATGTTCACAACAGCTCTGTGATGTAGGTGTTAGTACTCTCTGCTTTACAGATGAGGAGGCCAGGCCTTGGAGAAGTAACCTAAGCTCACATGGCTGGGGATGGGGGGAACTCAGTGTGAGTTTGGGGTGCAGAGTTTTGGAGCCTCCTCTGGCAGCCCTGGGGTACTCACGTGCTCCACTGGTTCGGTAGCGCTCGGACGGGAGGCTGGGGTGGCTGCTCCCAACCTCGTTGACGGCAATGACACGGAACTGGTAGTTGACATACGGGGACAGCCGGAGGACGGCTGAGTTAACGCTGCCGGGGTACTTGGAATGGTCATGCCAGACCCCGGGTTGGAACTGGTCTTCTTCAAACTGGACAACGTAGTCTGAGTGGGCAAGGAAAACAGAGCTGTTTCGGGAGCTCAGTTAGGAGTGGTCTTCTTTAAAAGCACTTCCTCCTTGGCTTCCGTTGATCTTTATAATCTCTCTCGCACAAAGGCACAGGGAGAATTCTTCCCAAGGCTCAGGAAGAGACACCAAGGCCTCTGTACATTCTGAGGATAGCCCAGGGCACACATCAAGTGAGGCAGAAGTGGGACTGGAAACCAGGAAAGGCCTTCGGTTTAAGGGCGTTACCATCCCTCTTTTCCAGCTTTGGAGCACAGGGCCCCTGAGCTACCTGTGATGGGGCTGTTGTTATCGTCCCCAGGGATCCAGGTCAGCCGCACGCTCCTCTCGGCCAGGTCGGTCAGCTCCAGGTCCCGGGGCCGGTCTGGCCGTCCTGGTGGCAGAAGAAGACACCACGCAGGGCTCCTGAGTTAGAGCGGGTCCACCCTTGTGACGGCCCTAGCCCTGGACAGCTCCCTGATGGGTTTAGGTCTACGCTACCAGCCGGATCCAACCCCAGCCTGCCCTGAGGGGTGAACACCGGGACCACTCCCTTCCCACAGGGGCCCAAGGAAAAACAAAGAGGAGACTCCTGAAATCCCAGCTCCCCAAGAAGAATATCAATGGGTGTGGAACAAGGAATAAAGGGGATTATGCAGGGCACAGAGAGAACTGGGACCAATGCCATCCCGTCTCGGTGGATCTTCTGAGAGTGCAAGCATTCAGGAATGCCACCCATCATCAGACCCACGCTCACAGCACTTAGGAAGGCTGATGAGGGAGTGTGGGATTCTGTCCCATTTTCTCACAATAATTGGCCTCTACTCTGTGTGCCAACGCTCTGAGTAGATGGGGGCCCAGGAGAGGGCTTAGCCTGCTGAACAGGGCAGATAGGTTAGAGGAGTGGGGGCAACAAAGAGAGGGGACCAGACCAGGGAGGAGATGGAGACTTGGTCTCAGAATTTCCCCGATGGACAGCAGGACAGAGGGGCCCAGCAGGTTTGCAAACAGGGGTGAGGGCAGCACCTTTTTGGGGGCACGAATCTCACTGGGACTGCTTTAGTGGGTTTAAGTGCCATCCTGGCCTGGGATAAAGACATCCGGTGACTGAGTGGTAGGGATAGGCAAGATTTTCTCTCCATCTTGACTCCCTGAACCAGATTTCTATCTTTCAGATGGTCACTATAAGGACCTGGAAGGCAAGTCCCACAGGCCCACGTTCGTGTGTGTGTGGCATGTGTGCGTAGATTATAAATGGATAGAAAGCAGCAGATGCAGGGAGGCTGAACAACGAGTTTCCAGGTGATGTGAAGGGAGCAGGCTTTCGCATTCCCTGCAAACAGGACCTGAAAGACTGCTGGGAGGACAGGCCACCCTGAGGGAGCAGTGAGTGTGGCTAGAGGCAAGGGATGGGGTGAAACAGCAGCCGAGAACTTCCGAGCTCACCCTGTAGGGAGCAGGAAGCCCAGCATAGGGCTGTGCCCTGGGCTTGGGGAGGTGGATGTGGGCAACTGAAAGGAGGTCCCATGTAGCCAGGAGTGCTGCCCACAAACCTATACACTGTCACCCTTTCCCAAAGCGGCTTCCTTCTCCTAGATTCCACACCCGGGGTGCCAAGAGAGGGCACTGGCAGGGGACTGTGATTAGTGGGAATTACCTTTGGGCAGGGCAGCCAAACGGTTAGTTGGAGTGGCCTGATCAGCTGCAAAGGTAAGACGGGTTATCCAGGTTAGCAGGTTATCCAGGGTTAAAGGTGTTCTAGAAGGATGGGGGTAGGCAGCTGAGGCTTAGACAGCTGCCCCTGGGCTGAGGTGTTCTAGGCAGGGCTTTCCCCGTCCTTCCATGGGGAATCCCCTACCCTTATAGAGGCCATCTGTGTTTCCTCCACATCTGGGGGCTGCACCTCTGTTTCCTTCCCATCCCAATGTGACTCTCGTGCCTGGGCCCACGCTCCCTGCAACTGTGCCTCTCCACTGCACCAACGCTAGTGGCAGTAGGGCACCCACAGGGAGGCAGAGGTGACAGAGGACCTGCTTCCCTGGAAGGGAGAGGCCTCCTTCCTCTTGGTTTGGGTTAGCTTAGTATTTACAGTCCAGCCTGGGTGCAGGCCAGGAAGGCACGGCATCATCTTGCTCAGTGCATAGCACACGATGAAATGCCACCAAAACCCAGGAATGGGGCGGGAGGGAAAGGAAGGCTGGCGGAGGTCATTGGAAGCACAAACACAAACTCAGTCTTGCTTTAAGGATGGATTGTTTTAATTGACTTAGTGGTGGAGTTAGCTGTAAGGAAGGTACAATGATCACAACAAGAAACCCTTCTCCACTTTCTCCGTATCACTCAGGTCCCTTTCAGTTGAGACGTGGAGAAGTCACACTCCACTCAGGAGGTAACCTGTCCTGCACAGCTTGTTCTGAAACTGGCAGCTCCCTAACCCTGACATCAAAAGGCAAGAAGAGATCACCACGCCTGACCTGCCCACTTGACTGCAGGCATTGCCCTCAGAACTGTCCTGGGCCACTGCCTCTCTGGCTGCTGGGGAGGGGGTGGGGCTGGTCAGTGCCAGGGTGAGCAGCGGCAGTTACCTAGCACAGTGAGGTAGGCCTTGGCCAGGTCTTGGTCTAGCTCGGTGCTGGCAACACACGTGTAACTGCCCTGGTCCCGCTCTGCCACACCAAAGATGGTCAGGGAGTCATCTTCCTTCTTCATCCTACAAAGGTACCAAAGAAGGGTTCGGAGGAGAGGTTAGGGGAGTGCTCAGGGCTGCCCACTGCTTTCTCCCCAGAGGGGGCTCTCGAGTCAGGAGGGCAAGGGAAGTTCCTTCTGGGGGATATGAGGCTCCCTCTCAATGCTTTGACAGAGGCCAGGTCTTCACGGTCACCTGGAGCATTCATCATACTTAATGGAGGGGAACAGAGAGTGAGTGGAGCTCAAGTGGCCGTGAATCACGTTTTTCACCTTCCAATGCCATACGTGTGCCTGCCCCTGTGCCTTTACTGTGCTGTGCCCCCCTCCCAGGTTAGGGCACCATGAGGCCCATGACCCCAAAGGCAGGTTGGTATTCCTTCTCTTCTCATACTTATAGCTTTATCTGTCTTCAGCCCAGAGTTGTCTCCTCTGCACCCAGGCTCAGGCCAGCCTGACCCCTGGCTCCTCGGAACTGTCTCCCATAGAGAGGGGAGGCCGCAGAGCAGGATGGGGCTGTAGAGCTGTCAGCACCGAGTGCCAGAAGGTTTGCAGAGGGGGACACCCTCTGCAAAGAGTCAAATGATGGCTAGAAACCACTGGTACCATGTCCAACTGCAGGGCCCTGCACAACTTTGCTCCCCCGAGATGGAAGAAGGTAAAGCAAAGTGAGCCCTGGGGAGGGAGGCTTGGAACAGCGGTTCTCAACCCTGATGCACACTGGAACCCCCAGGGGGACTTTTAAACACCGCCAGTGTCCTAAGTCCTACCCTACACCAGTGAAATCAGGATCTGAGGAGAGGGGCAGGCATGGGTGTAGTAAAAGCATTCCAGCTTCAGTCTGAGAACTGAGAGCTGGCTCAGATCAACCCTGCCCTCTGCTGAAGGTTAGGGGTACTGCAAATAGGGCTGAAAGGCTGGAGCCTGGGATGCAGAGGAGGAGCAAAAGAGAAGACAAAAAGGAAAGGGAAAAGAGGAGGAGTGAGGGGAGAGAGGGAGAGAAGTGAAGAGATTGAAAAAAGGGAGAGAGAGGAGGTGTAGGAGAGAGAAGCAGGGAGCTGGTGGGAGAGAGGGAGGTTGTGCAGGGTTGGGGAGGGGGTCTCCCCTGAAGTGGGGGAGTCGCCAAGGCCATCACCCCCTCTGCAGTAGCTCCTTGGTGACATGCATGACACGGGTTCCCTGTCCCTGTGTTCTTCCATGTGTCACCAACAGCAAGAAAAAGAAAATGTGCCTCAGACTAGCACTAGGAAGCGGGAAGGGAGGAAGAGAAACCTGTTTCCAATATAGAGCGGCTCGTCATCCTTCAGCCAGGAGACGGTGAGTTTCAGGGAGGGGTCATGCTTCACCCGACACTCCAGCTGCACCGTGGTGCCCCTTTTGGCCACCTGGTCCTCAGGCATCCGGTAGATCCTGGTGGGGTCTGTGGAGAAGCCCAGAGCACTCGCCACTGGCCTGTTCTCTGCCCAGCATCCCCATGCGGCCACACAGTGGCATATGCCTGCCCTCAAGGCCTCGGGCCAACTATGGAGCAGGGCACAAACAGTATGCTGTGGTATGAATGGAGCAGAGTTCTGGGTGGGTAATCCCAAAAGCAGGTAATGCCCCAAATCCTCTCCATCTGGCTCAGGAATATATGATATAATTTCTGGGGTGGTAGTGGGGAGTTGGTGTGAGCAGAAGGTTTCCCTTCCCTAATTCTCTTTGGACCACATGGATCCTAAATGGACTCCACAGGTGCACACTGGGGAGCCCATTCCAAGTTAAAGATAGGTGTGGTGCATTTTCAACGTGAATATTGCATGTGGATGACTGCGAGCAGGGCCTCCTCGCCCGTTTCCAAACTCCCACTGGCGAACCCTCTCCTTTACCTTTGACCTCCAGGCGGACTTGGTTTTCAGCTTTGCCCAGGATGTTGGTGGCGACACAGGTGTAGATGCCTTGGTCCTCTTTGCGGATCATCTTAATTTCCAGACTGCCATTCTCATAAACATGGTAGTTGCCACCATCCAGGTTGCTTCCTTGCCCATTCTTAAACCTCACAACAGAGCAGCAGAACACACAGCATCCTGAGACAGGACCAGCCCAAGGGCAGGGGCAGCAGCCAATCAACAGAGACCGTGGGGGCTGTGGAAGGAGCCCCATGCTAGGAGTCTGGAGCCCTGAGCCTCAGAGGGTCTGCCTCTAACCACCAGGTGGCCCTGGCAAGCCTCCATCCCTCTCTAGATCTCGGTTTCCCATTCTGTACAATGAGGGGGTTGATCCAGATGATCTGCCAACTTCCTCACAGCTTTGACTCTTTAAGATTCCTAGGTCTTGCTGAACACCTACTATGGGCCAGATGGGAAGGAGAAGATGAGACAAGTGACTCCTGCTGTGGAAGGCCTGGTCTCCTGGAACTTACCATCGCAGAGTGGGGATGGGAGACCCAAAGAAGGGGCAGTCCAGCCGCGTCCGGTTGTAAAGAATCACTCGAATGAGCTGGTTCCGAGGCGACAGCATCCGAGGCGGCACATCTGAAATTCCCAGACAACCGATCTCGAGTACTGAGTCTAACTCTTCCATTTCTTCCCCCTCAGTCTCACCTCTGCATGCCTTCTACTTACAGCAGCTTCCCAAGCACTGAGGCACCTTCCCCTATCAAACTTCCCTCCTTCAGGAAGCCCCTAGGGATGAGGTGGGGAAGAAGAAGCTTACTCCTTCCAGTGCCCTCAACCTACCCTACATTGAAATCCAGCTTTTGCAAAGGGTCTCCCCAAATTATCCAGCAGGTTATGTAGCTGCCCCACCACAGCCCTAAGGCATTTCCTAGCTACCCCTCCCACCACCCTCTCCCTGCCCAAGGGGTGTAGCAAATATACTTGGAACCATTTCCCACCGTGAGATCCAGCTGCAAACCCAGGGGAAGTCGACATGGATACAGCAAGGAGATGGGACAGTCCCACTCTATCTCATCAGGGGAGGCAGAAGACCAAGATTGACTGCTCTGATGGAATTAACTGTCTGCTTATCCAGCTTTGTGAATTTTAAGTCCTCCATCCCTCTTACAAAATTTTTCCCATCTCCATGTTTCCACTCTCCACCATCTTCTTACCTCACCCAGCTTGGCCAATCCCCAGAGAGGGAAGTGTGCCCCATGACATAACCAAGCCCGGGGGAGACTGCACAGTAGTGGGGAGGAGGGGGAGACAGGCTGCGAAGGGCACACTCACCCAGCACACTGACAAAGGCGTTGGCCAGCAGGTAGCCATGCTCGTTGGAGGTGTTGCACTGGTACACGGCCCTGCTGCTGATCTGGGTGTCCCGGAAGATGATGGTGTCTCCGGCCACCTCACGGTTTGGGTTCGGTGGTGCCGCTACAGACAAGAAAGAGATGTTCCTCATGAGAGATAGGAAGGGCAGGGTGAAGGGCACTTGGGGCTCTGGCCAGGGCTCCCAGGAACAACTGGGGTGCTGTGGGGAGCACCAGATGACAGGGCTTCTGGCCTCGCCACTGCTGGGCTGTGTGTGACCTTCAGCCCTTCTCTGAACCTGTGGGGTTTATTTCTAATCTAGTCTAGAGTATGGAATATGAATTCTTGTTCAACCTACATACCCATTGGGCAGGTGTGGTTGAAAGCATTAGCTTTGGAAACAGAAAGCAGTTTGGGTTCTAACCACATCACTTACTACCAGCATCACTCAATCTCTGTGAGCTTCAGTTTCCTTGTCTGCAGAATGGGAATAACAGATCACCTCTAGGGGTTTTTGTGAAGATAACCTGAGATTTTATGCATGTACAAAGTGATGAACAGAAGGTCTAACACATACTGTTATTACCATTTGAATCAAGTGTGCATATATTTAAATGTGTTTTGAAAAGGACAAAGCAATATACAATAGACAGAACCTACCACCCTCCCATCCTCTAAAGAGAGCATGCTCCAAACATTCACAAAGTTAAACCCATAAGCCAAAGCCTCTTGAAAATGGCGTGAGTCCTTATATTTGCCTAAGCTCACAGCTCCTCCCCAAAAATGGGTCCTAAACTGAGAGAGGATATTCTTGCCCACAGTTCTAGTGCTGCTGGCTTGGGATGCAGAGAGCAGAGGCTGGAGAGGGCTAGGGTCTTTGTTCTGCCCACACTTCACTCTGGGATCTGGGGTAAATCAACAAACCTTTCCGGGCCTCATTTCCTTCATCTGTAAGATGGGAAGAATCACTTCTACTTTCCCCTACTCTAAGGAAGGCTAAGATAAGAGAACAACGATGAGGTGTAAAACCAAAGAATTGCCACTTTTCTCATCTTTAACCACTAGAAAGTGACTTTCTTCCTAAGATTTCTGGACTAGGAAGCTGATGACTTAGCTTACAAAACGCATTCAAGATCACTCAGACCTGCAGGGGAAGTCAGCGGAGGATGCAGGAGTCGCCCTGCAGGCGCCACTCCACAGATAGCCAGTCTGAGCCCAGAACCGGGGAATCAGCAGATGGGAAAGGAAGACAAGGTTAGCATTCTTATCATCCATGCCGGGGTCACCAGTCAGTGAAAAGGGGCCAAGGAAGGCAGTGCCAGCAACTTGTACATCTCCTTGCCTGGCAAATTCTCGTGCAACCAATTTTCCTCCCAGTCACTCCCCTTACATGTTCCCTGGGGAGAGTGACAGGTGACCTTTCCAGGGCTGAGGCTCAGTTGCAAGTCCTGGGCTGCCTTTATTGAATGGTGCTATAAAGTTTAGCACAATTGCCTGCCTTACCCCCAAAGTCCTATTAAGATGGAGAGAACTGCAGAAGGCAGGCAGTGTTCATATCTCTGCTTGTAGCTGGGGGAGTAACATTTGCTGGGGATAACTAGGTTCAGTACTAGCTGGTGCAGTTGTATTGCAGACTCACGGCAACCCAGAGCTTCACCACTTCCTAGCCATGCGATTTTGGACAACTCTCTGCACTGACGAGAACCTTATTTCCTCACCTTAAATGTTTGAGAGTAAGCAACAACAGGGGTGCAGCATCTAGCACAGAATGTGGCACACAATAAATATCTAAAAAGGTAAATTCTTACCCTCTCCTCTACCTGTGTCCCCCCTTCTCCACTTGCTTCTACCAGCTGCTGTTCTTGAGTTAGATTCTGAGTTCTTGCCATCTGCGTTTTCCCCATTTGGCTGACACCATTGTTTACATTTCCTCTGACCACTTAGAGAAAGTAAGGACAGGACATTTTGAAAAGTAAATGCAATCAGAGAGTCTATGACGTGAAAACTTGACCAAGGCCACTGATTATAAGGGGCCTTGGAGTCATCTACTCCACCCACCTTGGCAGGACTAAATGTCCCCAAAGTCTAAGCTTACTCAATAAACTGCACCTGTGCATCTGCTCTTCTGGGGCAGTTCTTCCTCATATCTAACCATAATATTTCACATCATTGTACAACCCTGCTTCTTCTTTTGCCCTCAGCAGAGAGCAGAACTTGAGTAACCAACAATGGGGTTACTGAACTCTCCTCTACCTTCCAAGCCCCAGCTGTCACTCAGAGCCCAACTTCCAAGAGATGCAGCCACAGTCCCCAGGTCATCAACTGGGCTTCTTCAGGGGAAGAAAGCAGAGATTTAAAAAACCCCAAGACAGCAGAAATCCCTTAAGCATGGGAATATGACCACAGAGTTCCAGGCTTCCTGTTCTGTAACACAAAGAGAGGGTAGGTTTCTCGAGATGTCCAAAAAGATGGGCAACTGAGAAGCAGCCACCAGTGGGCTTCTCTTTTCCTGAACTTCTAGTGTGACCAACGCTGGCACAGTGACAGGAATCTGAAGCCTTTGATAGGAGAGAGATGAGAGTCAGATAGGACAACAGCTCACTACTTACATTGCAAAGGTTCCCCATTCACCATCCACTGGACAGTGGGTTTGGGGTTTCCATTGGCTCGACACACCAGTCTCCCATCCTCGCCAGGAGCCAGGATAAGGTTCTTGGGTTCATCCAGCCAGTAGGGAGCAGCTGGAAGACAAGACAGGCACAGGCAGGGGAGTTAGGTGGCATGGGACAGGCAGAAGAAACCAAGCAGTCTCCCTCTAGTGTGGCAGGAGCCCCTGAGTCCCAGCACCAGGCACTCACCACCTGCCCCAGGGCTTGTCCTCACAGGGATAACTTGGCCCAGCCTGTATCTGGCTGGCTTGGCTGCACAGATGCTGATCTGTCTATTTTGAGTTCACAGAACAATAGTTCTAAACTGGGGCTGCTCATTAGAATCCCCTGAAGAGCTTTTTTAAAAAAAGGGATGCTAGGACCTGTCTCAGACCTACTAAATCAGAATCCTCACAGGAGGCCTGGGTGCAAATGCTTTCCGAGGTCACTAGTGTCTGCGGTGTGCATCCGATGGCTCCACTGCCAGGGAACGTGGTAAAGCGGGCACCGTGCTGGTCCCTCTGGATCTGTGTTTTGCAAGATCAGACCCTTTAGGAAAAGTCTTATATTCATGCCTTTATGCATGGAACTTTGGTTAGAGTAGTTTTTTTTTTTTTTTTAGATGGAGTCTCGCTCTGTCTCCCAGGCTGGAGTGCAGGGGCGTGATCTCGGCTCACCGCAACCTCCGCCTCCCAGGTTCAAGCAATTCTCCTGCCTCAGTCTTCCGAGTAGCTGGGATTACAGGCACGCCCTACCATGCCCAGCTAATTTTTGTAATTTTAGTAGAGATGGGGTTTCACCATGTTGGCCAGGATGGTCTCGATCTCCTGACCTCGTAATCTGCCCGCCTCGGCCTCCCAAAGTGCTGGGATTACAGATGCGAGGCACCGCGCCTGGCTAGAGCAGTTCTTAGCTGGCCACCTCATTCAATTGATTGGACAATTTTGTGAATATGTGGAAATGTGGGTTTTTCTGAGAAGTGAGCCTTTCAGATCAGATTCTTAAAGATCTTGATACCCAACCCCCACCCCCTAAAGTCTAAGAACTCCCTAATTTGTGTATGGTGCTGAAACCAAGGTCACAAGATCAATCGACCATGTGCTAAGAAAGTTCCTGTACTCTGGTCTCGGACATCATCATCTCAACCATCCGTGCAGTCCCAGGCCAAACAGTGACCAGTGCAGCCTGCCACACATGGCTGGGACCCATGGCGACATGCGCTCTGGTGCCTGCAATCACTCTTTGCTTTGGGGGTTAGGAAGGGATTTTAAAAAATAATTTTGACCATAAGCACTCCCCAGTTTTAAAAAGCAGCACAGCATCATGCACAGGTACACAGACAGCACGCGCTCACGCGACACATCACGAACGGGAATGCAAAACGAAAGGAAAAAAGAAGGCTCTGGGAATGATTCAAATGGGCCGTGGGAGGAAATTCACCTGCTGAGGGAGCGTTGGCACCAAGGAGAGGTGGGTGATGGTCAGGGTGGATCTCCTTCCCTTAACACCCTCTGCCCCATGCACGGGCATGCACACACCCTCTCACGTCCAGTGAGTGACACCATCCATAGCAGATCGCCATAGCCACTGGCCAGTGGGCTGGAAGTCTTCCCCACTCACTCTGTCCCCAACCACCCTCAGAGGGAAGGGTGGGCATGGTGTTCAGGGTTGGCAAAATAATCAGAATGAGAAATACACACAACGTACCCTTTACTCTCACCGAGATCGTGTGCCGGATGCTGCCCATCTTGTTGGAGGCCAGGCAGAAATATTCCCCGGAGTCTTCCTCGGAGACATTGGTGATACGCAGGGCCTTATTAAAGTTCTCAAACTTGGCCTTGTCAGATGGGAGGTCCCCACCTTTCTTGTACCATGCGATGTCTGGTGTTGGGCTAGGAGAGGCGCCAAGCAGGAAACAAAGAAGTTATCACTAAACATGGCCCTTCTCCTCTTCTATAGAGCTGGGGACACCCAGGTGGCCTAAAAGTATACTTGGGCCCAGGGGATGCATGTCCTCTAAGAGCTGATCTTTCCTGTACAGAGGAGGATGCTCAGCCACAGAGAACCTGAAGGTTTAGCTAACGTCCCGCGAGATTCTAACGCATATACGGGATGCCTAATCACCTTTCCTCATTATCCAAAACAGAGATGGCCAGAATGGGATGGAGATGACTATGGTTTGCAACACCCTGCTTACTAGGGCCTGTTTGCTTCTCTTTACGCTGTGCTACTGGTATGCACTAAATGTGGCATTAACAAGATCATGAACAAGCTCCTATCCCCATCCTCCTGGAGGGTGGTTAGAAGAGGGGCTGCAAACTGCACATACACCCCGGAGGCGATGCATTCCAGCAGGAGGTCCATGCCACGAAGCACCATCTGGCTGCTCGCAGTGCCCTGGGGATACATGAAGCTGGGTGTTCTTTCTGCAACTCCTCGGGCTGAAACAGGAGAGAACAAACTCCTGTGAGCCTCCTTCCAGAAGGCAGACCCCGCTAGGCCAACGCTGTCAGGCTAGAAAGAAATGGCATCACCGCCCCTTCCGGATCCTCCCAGCTGAAACCACCCCAAGGACTTGGGCCTCATTAAGTGAGGTGTGTTAGGAAGCTCAGGGCTCCTTAGCCCCACCAGCATGAGGGAGAGGAGCTCTAGGTTCTGAAAGGATCTGCCTGGAGGAGCCCAGCTTCCCTCAGGTTCAGGGAATCTCCCCTTCCCTGAAACGGGGAGGGGCTGTCTGAGCAGTGCGAGATCTACTCCCGAGCAGCTTGTGTTGGGATCCCAGAGGCCACTGTGTGGCCCCCCAGAGCAGGCCATCTCAGCAGCGGTCCTTCTCCCCAGGCAGGGATCTGGAAGCAGAGAAGGCATGTACTGGGGCCACAGGACAGACAACCTGCTCTTTGGGACCCTGAAAACAAGGTGCTGGGATGGAGTCACAAAGCCTGCACAAACAATCAGAAATGCAGGGGGAGTTATTAATGGCTTAGCAAAGACATGGAGAGAATTAATGAGCAGAGATGACAGGAAATCACTCTGGGGCCAAGACCATTCTGCCTCCTCACTAATGACTTGGGAAGACGGCTGGGGAGGGGAATAGTAATTACATGTGAGTTGCTCAGGGAGAGGGTGAGAGAAAAGTGGCTGCCAAGTTGGAGGAGGTGATCTATAATTCAACTAGGCCGGAACAGTCATGGGTCTGAAATCAATGAGATTCATACTGGTCTTGAAGGCCAGGTGGCTCGCAGAGATTGGCATTTTCAGGATGGTTGTTTCTCTGTAGAAGGGTTGTGCCAGCATGGATCCACCCATGACAGAGTGAATCCCACCTTCCCCGAGCCTCAACTCTTCCCCCAGAGCTCTTCGTATAGCTGTAGGGGAATGGGTAAGATGGAAGGGAAAAGAATAAGAATTTTCCATCCGGAAACCCCAAGGCAAAAGGGAAACTGGAGGAAGTACCCCCTGGCCAAGGTGTACGATCATACACAAGAATGGCTAAAAACAAAAATAGAAGCTGAGTCCACCCATGGGTTTAACGGAGTCTTAGACTCAGCTGGACAAGGGAGAGGTGGAGGGAAGGCAGGGCTGCCAGGAGCTGGGAGGCCTCAGAGACGCCTGGGGTGAGGATGAAGACGGTTGTCCAGGGTTTAATGGGTGAATGGGTGCTGGTAGAGTGAGGACAGAGTGCGGGGGCACTTTATCCCCATGTAACTGGCGCTTCCTAAAGGAGCTTGCTGGGTTTGCTGGGGCCTGGCTGCACCAGTGGGGCTCCTGTTCTGGGGCACTCAACTCTCTCCCTTGGTACCAGTGGAGTGCAATTCATAGAGTTTGCTTCTATTTTATCTTTTTGTCAAAAGAAGAAAGGATGAAACATGTGCAGAGGGTAACTAGGCTGATGGTACAATACACAGTATACAGCAAATGCTCAACAAAGGTTTATGAGGGGAATGGACTGAAGGGGAAGAAGAGAACAAAAAAATAAGGCAGCAATTTAACTCATATTATTTCTCTTTCTGTAGATGCCTCATCTGTCCCACCAGCACACACATTACAATAGTGACTACTGAAGGGGTTAATCCATTATGTGGTTAATTGGTTATCATCTATATCTATAACTCTTGTAGCATCCAATTCTCAGTACCAAGGAAGCCTGACACCAACAGCTTCCTCCCGCCCACCGTCACGGAATCACCAAAACAACCAAGACACAGGGGCACTATGAGGAAAGGAGATTCTAGGGCAGAAGGCTCTGTTGTCAGGTTGGTGAATCCGTCGAGAGCTGGGAACCCTGGGATTATGTGGAAGAGATCCCAGCTCAGTCATCATACTCCTTCCACACCGGGACGAAATCTGCAGAAACTAATCTGTGACCCTATGGACATTTAATTTACACCATAACATGTGACACCACGAGCACACACAACCCAGCAAAGCAATAATGATGGGAAGGAGGAAAATTTAGCACAGAGTCCCGCTGTGGGTGCCTTGACATGCTGTAACTGTCACTATAAAAAGGTTATAGCAATATTGCGTTTGTAGGATGTGGGCTAGCAACAATAGAATTACCCTAAAGAAGGAGAAGCTACTGGAAAAAAGCCAAAGTTCAAAAAAAGGGAAGAGCATCCTAAAAGCCAGAGGTCATAATCAGGGCCACCATTCAGTGAACGTTTGCTAGGGACCATGCACTGTGCTGACAGCTCCAACCACACCACCATTTATGCTTAATCCTCACAGCAAACCTGGAGGGTTGTATCCCCATTTTCAGCAGAGGCAACTGAGGCTCAGTGAAGTCAACAGACTTGCCCAAGGTTACAAGCTAGTTATGTTTTTGATTATGTGCCATTTAGCATCAAAAACTTGTGCTTTCCACCCACTCTACATTGCCTCTGTCTAAAGATGGGCATCCCACTTGTTCCTACTTCTGACAGTCAGCTTCAGGAATATCTTTCTTATTCAAACCAAAGAAAACCCAAGGGCAAAAGAGGTAAAGGAGAAAGATATTTTTGTCTTGGTGAGGTGCTCTGGTGAAACTCTTCCACTGTGTTTTACTATTCTCACTATCTCAGCTAAGATCCCATCTCTCCTCAGTGGCTATTAAAAAACTCAGGCCCAAGGTGGAGAAAAAGAAGCTGAGGAGGGAATTCAGCAGCTCTGAAGGCACCTCAGTTGGATTCTTAAAGGCATGGAAACTTGAAGAAGATTTGGGGGACACGATATCATTAAGGAATGAGATGGATGGTCCTAAAGGAAAGGTTATGAAGAAATGCAGTCAATTGCAGCAAGAGGAACTCATATGAAAATTTAGGAAGGATAATATAGCTGGTGGCTTTGAGAGCCACTGTTCTCAAAGAGGGTGCCTAATTTCCTTCCCTGCAGAAGTAGAGACAGGAAAACTCTAAGACAACAGTGATTACTAGATGAAACTCTAAATGGTGGCAGATGACTATCTCGTCTTATCATGGGACACCCTCTTTCATCATGGAGGCAGGGGTCCCTGGAGCGTATTAGTTATTCGCCCTGATCTTCAGAGTGGGGTCTGACTTAATGCCTGATCAAACTCAGAGTTCATATGCTAAAGCTCATATCTGTGTGGATTCAGGAAGAGCTTCCCTCACAGGCCCATTTGACTTCTTGCCCAGGGACAGCCAGTCCTCTCCTGCTCTCGTAAGCTGTGGCTCAGACTGGGCTCATGGGTTTCTGGGGGAATATGGTCAGCGAGCAGACAACAGATGACAATGCCTTGATCATGCTGGCCTTAAAGGTCCAGTGAAAAATGCCTCTTGATCATCTCTTTGGAGGAAACACCAAGACTGCTGACAATCTTAGTTGCCCCCCTCTGTCAAGTGCTATGTGTTAACAGGACAAGATAGTTCAATGAATCAGACGTATCTGAGGACCTCTGCCAAAAACAGCTTTTAGGAGCATCTGGATCCTACATCCAGACCACTTTGCTGCTTTTGATTCTCAGAATTGAGAACCAGAGACTCATGGGGCCAGATTCTTGGCATCTCATCCACCTCTCTCACTCTAGGAATGGCTGACCAAACAACCCCAGAAGATAGGAAAAACTCTTTGTCTAGTAATATTTGATACCTTTCAGTGCCAGGAAATTTCTCCTGTAAGTCTAACCCAAATCCCATATGCAGTAGTTGGAACTTTTCTTCTTATGCAGTTCTCAGCACAGCTGAGGATCTGAACAGCTTTTGTCTCTCTGGTCTGCCCTACAATTTCTCCCTCTATGGTACTTTCTTCCTATAATTGCGCCTGCTTTTCTCCCCCTTGGCTTCTCTTTAAGTTCTCTGTGTCCTTCTTAATTTCAGAAACATAGAAGAACTATCCAGGATACAGTCAACACTAAACCATTCCCTTTAAAACCAATAATGGGTAACATTTGTTAAGTATCGAGAATGTGCCCAACACATGCTAGGAACCATAAGCACATTATCCTGTTTAATCTTCACAACAATCCTATGAGACAGGTAATACATCCATTTGGCAGATGAGAACATTAAAGTTCTGAGACTAAATGACTTACCCAGCATCACTCAATGGTATGTCCCGGACCTTGGATTTAATTCAAGGCAGTGTACCTCAGAGCACACACTCTTAACCACCTCCTTAATCTCCTCACCTGGGTGAACCCTAAGTGGTAAGTTACAATCTCAGACCAGAATCTCCTGCCACTCAGCAGGTCAGGGGGCACCTGGCAACGTTCAGAGGATACCAATCCACTCTAGAAATCACTAAAACAAAATAGAAGTATGGGGTAGCCCTCCTGCTACAAAAGGGACATGCCATATTTCAGAGCCAAACAGATGCACTGGGCACTTTTCACCAAGTCTCTCTGTCCAGATGCCTGCACTCCAGAAAGAAGTCATCCTCCTTCCTTCCTTTTCCCTTTGATATCTTGCTAGAAGCATCAGCCTAGCTGCCTTGTGTTCAAAATATGTCTCCCTTTGACTTTATATCCTTTCCAGCAGCTTCATACTTGGGTCAACTCCATCCTACCCTGGATTGAGGACAAGGGGTCAATCTCCACATAAACTCTTGTAAGCTTTGCTTGTTTCCTAGTCCTGGATGGGTCTCATAACTCCCACTCATTCTCGTGCAAGAATAGTTTCATCAACGGTCACAAACTGGTTTAGGTGACCAGAATCACTCGAACTTATTCCATTGATGAAACAACTCTATGCGTATGTTGCCTGCATGACTTATCTTACATAAAGTGAGGAACTTAGACCAGATGGTCTCTAAGGGACCTTCTGGCTCTGATACACTCTGGCTTACAGAATACTTCCTATAACAGATTACCTGGAATCTAATTTAGAACAAGGCCCATTCCATACCAGGGCTCTGGGGCTCTTAACACAATAGTGGATGGCCCCATTATCTTGAAAACAAACAATGCTTAGAATCCAACAAAGGTCCCCTGATTCCTTGGGTAGTAAATCTCTTTGGCAGGATCTCAGTGTGGTTCTAGCTGCTTGGTGCCAAGTTAGAGCCTTTGCCTCTCTCCCTGACTCCCGCTCCCTCATCCCATCCCCTACTCCAGTCACTCATCATCCTTTATATTAGCACATCGCAGTGCAGACACTTCCTATCTGTTTCAGCCCACAGTGATGTCCCTTGGAGACCTGCAGCCTCAGCTTCTGAGGCATAACTAATGATGGGGGCCAGCTGCCTCACCAGAGCCAGCAAATGATGGTGCCTCTGGCTGCTCAGGGAAAATAACACATATTTGAGCCATGGTGAGGGGTAACTCAGGTGTGGAAACAGCCAATTACCTTATTAATCAGACTGAGCAACCAGCTGTGTGATGAGTTAGAACCATGCCTCACTGTAATTGTTCCACATCTCGCAAGTGTGGACTGGTGGGCACTGGATTTGCATACACTACCAGAGGAGGGGAGAGGCCCAGGTGAGAGGGTACAGTGGATGGTTTCACCTCATTTACACTCATCTTGAAAGAGAACTCAGAGCTGGGCTCTTACTCCAGATGGATTTTAAAGAGACATGGGACCTCGCTGTGAAATGGTACTCCCGGTAACTAAGTTGAGATTACAAAGCAGGCAATTCCTATCTAGACACATAAGAGTTAACTGAACATACTAACAAGCGTTCTGTGTTCTTTTAGCCACCAAAAGGAACCAGACTTCCTGTTTCCTCTTCACTATGGAACTCACCTATTCTAAGATATTCTCCATCCGTCCATCCCTGATTCCTAAGCTTCTACTTTTCAGTAAAAGTTTCTGCTTTTCAAGAAGTTTTTTTGAAGTCCTACCCTGGTTTGAACAACTTGTTGAGAATTCAGCAACTTCAGGCATGCCTGTTAGAGGAGACCACACCACCAGGTGGGCCACCTCAAACCCCCACACTGCCTCCTGGCAGGCAGCCTTCTGGAGGTGTCACCTTGGCACCCTGGCTGGGCCAGCTGCCACCCAGCAGGAGTTAATGACGTGGTATCAGTCAAGTTAGGCAAACTGGGGTTAGCACAGGCAAGGTTACTCCCAAGGTTACCGCTGCGACTCACCACTGTACATGTCAGGGTGGTTTCTTAAGGACGAGTCATTATAAGGGTGGTCTGTAATAAACAAAAGAGGGTGAGCAAACAGGAGGCCACGGAGAAGTCACAGAGGCATAAACGGGGAGAGAAAAAACAAATGCAAAGCCACAAAAACAACCGAGGAGGGCAGCAGTGGTCTTTTGCAAAGGAAAGACACGGCATATTTGGAAAGGCAACACGCTCAGTGAAGAACAAGCAACACAAAACAGCCCACAAAAGGAGGAAAAAAAAAGGTTAAATCCTGCAAAAGAAGGCAATAATAAAATAATGTTTTTTTTTTTTAATTAAAGAAATTAGGTTTGAACTTTAATTATTTGGTCCTGCTATATTTTCAAACAAATGAGAGAAGGATTAGTGGTGTCCTGTAGCCGTCTTTTGAACAACTCCTTCTTATCAAAATCCTCAGTTCCCAGGACTCTGGGTCAGGCCAGCTCTTGGAGCAGCTAAAGAGAAAGGAGTGTTAGTGAGCTCCGGGGAAGAGCAAAGTCCTGCCTGGGCAGAAGCTAAGCTGCAGGGGGTTGGCGGTAAATGGGAGGAGGTCATTGACCAAAAGAGTGGGGCCAAGGGGCCCTGGCCACACCCAGCAACATGTGTCACTGGAGTCTGACCAGGTGGGTACCACTATGATCTTGCAGATGTCTCTGTTGGCAGAAAGCCCTCCTTGTAAGAGGATGCCGGGAGTGGTTCAGTGAGGTGGGGAGAGCATCCCTGAGGTTCAGGCTTTAGAATTTAGAAATGGAGCTTGGGACAGGAGAAAGTGCAAGCTGTGAGTTCTACACTTCAGACTAGGAAAGTCCTGCTGAACATTCTGGAGGTTCGAAGCTCTCTAGACTATGCAGGATTGAAGACATTCCTTATGGAGCAAGATCAGTGGCTTCAGTTCCAATGTTAGGTAATTCAAACTTGCGGCATTTACTCCTTAGTGAGAAAGACATTTCAGAAGAGGACGCATCATCACGCCAGTGGCCTAAAGGAGCTTTTCCCTCTCTACCTCCGGTCCCTCCCAGCGACTGGGTCCAAACTGTGACAGTACTAAAAGGGGGTGGGGTGCAGCTGACTGGAAGCCAAGCAGATGGCCCTGAGGAGCTCAGAACACGATCCAACTGCCTGAGGGACAACAGGGGCTCTGCCAAAACATTTGCATATTTGACGACAGATCCAATCCCATTACAACTAGTTGCAAGAGGTATGAGAGTCCTTTTCTGGGCCTGGCATTGCATTGCATCCCAAATCTGCTTACCACCTGGTAGGAAGATTTTCATTATTCAAAACTCTCTCTTAAGATGGGGTTTGTTATAAAGACCCAGCCTGTTTGGGAAGTCTGCTTGGATCCATCTGGAGCTAAAGGCAGGAACTAATCCACTATGCAACGAAGAGATGGGCTGGCCCAAGGGCAGGTTGGGGCTGCAGCTGGTCTCGGGAGGCAACTCTGTTCCTCCCCTGGGGGTGGATGGTGGCAAACACAGATGACACAGCCCTTCCTTCATGCTCCCATGTCACCAGGTGAAATGCAACCTCTCTCTCTCCAGAGAAGTAGCCCACCCCCAGAACTGACCTCATGGTTTGTGAATTCTGGAGCACATGTGAGAAATTCAGGGAAACTTATTTGACTGCTCCAAGAAGGTCATTTAGACATCAGGGAGAAGAAGGGATGTGCTCTGGTGTCTGCCTCAGGGAGGACCCTCCTCGCTTACCACAGTTGCCTCTTATTGCATCAGGAGGCACCCAGCACCTGTTACAGCATGGGCAAAGTGGGATGGGCCCAGCTTTGTAGCCCAACTCCACTGCTTATCTTTGACTGCATCCCAGGTTTTAAAAATGATTTCAGATTACCCAGTATTTTGCATTACATACCATTGTCAACTTCCTTCAATGCAGGTAATAAAAATGGGACATGATAAGATTTATTTCTTCCCAAATGGGCAAACTGTGACAGGAGCGCCTGGTGAGAATAGGGCCTTTGAAGCGGCCCCTGCCTGACTGCTTTGCCTCCAACCCCAGACCTGGTTCTGAAGGTACAAGAGAAAGCCTGTGTCCTCTCCAGACAGGAAAGTAGAGAGAGCACCACTGTGCTATTTTAAGCAACTGTGCCCAATTCTGGGCTGGCTCAGATGCCCAGAACTTGCTCCTAGCCAGAGCTGCCCCTGGGAGAACTCCAGGAAGCTGATGGGGCTCTGTTCCAATCACCTAGGGGGTTTCTCGCCATTCAGAGGAAAGAGTTTTCAGTGGAATAGAGGACCAAGAAATGAAGCATTAACAAACACCCCTTACTTTTTCGGGTAGAGAAAAGAGTGTTTCTGGAAAGTCCAACTTCAACATGTTGTTTAAATCTCTAACTGCAGAGGAAGTTAGTTAATTCTACAGAGGAAGACTCTTCACCACCTCAATCTCTTGGCCACTGCTCTACTCTGAGTGACAGTGATGGGCTCTGCCCAGGATGGCAGAAGGTCAACTGACTCAGTTCCAAAAGCAGCAGGCTGACTTCCAGCATCATCCGGGCAGGGAGAGAGGGGCCCTGGCGGTGATGCTGATGGCTGTCCAGTCTCAGCTCAGCGAGCATCTTATCTTGTTCTTGACATCCCTGCTCCTCCCCTTGCCAATGCTGTTAGTCCTGTCCTGACTGCTGAGGCCACTCCGAGGTCCTGGGCAGACCACACTGTCCTCCCCAGCCCAGCCAGCTGGCAGGACCGAAGAGACACTGCAGACAAACCAACTTCCTCCTCCAAGGGGTCTCCCTGGGCTTGGGTCAGGAATGAGAAAGCCAGGGACAGGGGAGCAAGCAGAGTGAAGCCAGGTCACCCTGCCAGTAACGCGAGGGGCTTGCTGCAGGTGTTAGGCAACCCTGCCGGCTACCACCTTTGGCAGCCCAGCACCAACGCAGATCAGTGCGTGGGGACACTGCAGAGGCAGGAGGCAGTGATTAGAGGGAGGCAGAATGGAGTTCCAAGACAGAACAGAGAGAGGGAAAAGAAGAAAGAACAAGAAAGAGGGAGGAGAAATAAAGAAGGAAGTGAAAAAGAAAAAGGAAGAAAATGAAAAGGTGAAAGAAAGAAAGAAAGAAAAAAAACCATGAGAAGGGGAAGAAAAAAGGAAGCTGCTTCCTTTTGGATCCACCTCTGTGCCATGGTGAAAATGGAGCATGGGGCTGTGTCAGCTCTCAGGACCACCTGCCTCCATCATCAGCAGGGACGGGGAGGAAGAAACAGAATGCTAATGGTCACACCCCCTACCTGTCCAGAATGAGAAGTGATGTCGCCCGAACCTCTCCTGACCCACATCCACCCGGGGAGCCACTGTCCACCACCTCTGCAGGGGCTCCAGGAAGCCAGGGTCAGCCTATTTTCTCTGACCTTTGCAAACTGCCAGCACCCACATGGTGATCTCTACTGGCCTCCCCGACCATCCTCACTGTCCAGAGCATCAAAAACAACACCCACAGCATGAGCCAGACTAAGGTCTATTCTTTGGGGGGCTCCTTTATGGAAGACGTGTTACAAATCCATGGTGTGCAGCAACATAGAGAACTTCCAACGTCCTGAGTGGGCTGAGACTTTGCAGCAAAAGCTCTAGGCTGCTTTGTCCTTGCCAAGAAGAACATTTCTGACTAAGCTTCTCTCTCTCCTCAAGGGAGAGCCACCAACGCTATAATGGGTCAGGAAATGCTGATTTGCTTTTGTACCAGTCAAACAGAATCAGGGAATAGAAATGAAAACAAATAAAACGAAAACATAAGCCTGCAACTTACAAACATAGCAATTCCATATGGTTCAGCATATACGTATTACAGAATCAAATACAATTTATTTTGGTGTCTCCACTAATTTTCATATTTTCTGCTATTTCTTGTAGAAATAAAGATACCCAAGCAATGAGAAGAAATAAAAGAAATAATCAAGCTGGGTCCGGAGAGGGGTTCTAGATGACCACTGGAAGCAGTGGTTCTCAGACTCTGGGGTGCACTTGAATTACCTGGAGGGCTCATAAAGAACAAAGAGGCTTAGGGCTGTTGAGGTGCAATAGGCTGGTTCTGGGTACGCTGCCAAGTTCTAAGGTGATTCTGATTCCCACCAGAATTTAAGAAGAATTGACTTAGGGTAGGACCAAGTTTAACTCAAGGTTTCACAATCAAGAGAGATCATTTAAGAGCAGCTGAAGTGGCTCAGGCACCATGAGTTGGAAGGATTTCTAGGTCAGCCTCAAGGAGAAGTCTCCCTCTAGACTCAGGTACCTAGGGCTGGGTGGGGTCAGTGGGCTTCTTTCCCTGGCCCACAGCCCCCGGGCAGGGGCCTGCACTTACTGGTGAGGACCTTGAGGGTGAAAGGGTTCTTCTGCTGGATGGTGTGGGTGAAGTGGAAGCGGGCGTTGCAACTGTAGTCGGTCTGCATGTCCTGCAGCATCACGTTGGAGAAGTACAGGTCTCCATTATGGCCCTGAGAGACACGTTTGTCTTGGGTGATGGGCTCCATGGCTATAAGAAAACAGAGGTACAGCAGCAGGTTAGTAGTAATAACAGTAATCATCACCACCACAGTCCTGGCAACAGAATACTTTACAGAGGGTCAGGTGGCGACCAGGAGCTTGACATCACTTGGTCTAGTCCTCTCAACTCTGAAGTATGGCTTATTCCCATTTTACAGATCAGAAAGCAGAGGATGTAATACGTTCAGCATTGCAAAGGCAGAGAGGAGAGCAGGAGTTTAGACGTAGACCTGTCTGCCCACCATGTCCATGCTCTGTGGCCACACTTTTCTCTCTCCTATTCACGCCACAAAAGATCTCACTGGCTGTGGGGCCAGCAGAAGGAACACAAGCCTTCAGGTGTTCCCCAAGGCTCAAATTCTCAAGCTAGCAGCGAGAGCACTTTGAGGCCAGGGACCATGATCTGTTCATCTTATGCCCCAGCACCTGTCTTAGGACTCGGCATATAGGAGGCACTCAACTGTCTGCTGAATTAAATGAAATTGAACTTGGCCTTGCTGTATTTAGTAAAAATGTAATCATCAATTATAATGTATACCTTTGTTTTTTATCCCTAAGAAGAAAGCACTACTGTGGCACCAAGATGGCTGAATAGGAACAGCTCCAGCCTCCAGCTCCCAGCGTGAGCGACACAGAAGACGGGTGATTTCTGCATTTCCAACTGAGGTACCGGGTTCATCTCATGGGGGTGTGTCGGACAGTGGGTGCAGCCCAACGAGCGAGAGCTGAAGCAGGGCGAGGCATCGCCTCACCCGGGAAGTGCAAGGGGGAAGGGAATTCCCTTTCCTAGTCAAGGGAAACTGTGATACACAACACCTGGAAAATCGGGTCACTCCCACCCTAATACTGTGCTTTACCAAGGGTCTTAGCAAATGGCACACCAGGAGATTATATCCCACGCCTGGCTCAGAGGGTCCCATGCCCACGGAGCCTCCCTCATTGCTAGGACAGTAGTCTGAGATCTAACTGCAAGGCAGCAGTGAGGCTGGGGGAGGGGTGCCCACCATTGCTGATGCTTAAGGAGGTAAACAAAGTGGCCGGGAAGCTCGAACTGGGTGGAAGCCTGCCTCTGTAGACTCCACCTCTGGGGACAGGGCATAGCCAAACAAAAGGAAGCAGAAACCTCTGCAGATGTAAATGTCCCTGTCTGACAGCTTTGAAGAGAGCAGTGGTTCTCCCAGCATGGAGTTTGAGATCTGAGAACGGACAGACTGCCTGCTCAAGTGGGTCCCTGACCCCGAGTAGCCTAACTGGGAGACATCCCCCACTAGGGGCAGACTGACACCTCACACCTCACACGGCTGGGTGCACCTCTGAGACGAAGCTTCCAGAGGAATGATCAGACAGCAACATTTTCTGTTCAGCAAAATTCACTCTTTTGCAGCCTCCGCTGCTGATACCCAGGCAAACAGGGTCTGGAGTGGACCTCAAGCAAACTCCAACAGATCTGCAGCTGAGGGTCCTGACTGTTAGAAGGAAAACTAACAAACAGAAAGGAAATCCACACCAAAACCCCATCTGTACGTCACCATCATCAAAGACCAAAGGTAGATAAAACCACAAAGATGGGGAAAAAGCAGTGCAGAAAAGCTGAAAATTCTAAAAATCAGAGCACCTCTCCCCATCCAAAGGAACGCAGCTCCTCGCCAGCAACGGAACAAAGCTGGACGGAGAATGACTTTGACGAGTTGAGAGAAGAAGGCTTCAGACGATCAAACTTCTCTGAGTTAAAGGAGGAAGTACAAACCCAGCGCAAAGAAATTAAAAACCTTGAAAAAAGATTTGATGAATGGCTAACTAGAATAACCAATGTAGAGAAGTCCTTAAATGACCTGATAGAGATGTAAACCATGACACGAGAACTACGTGACAAATGCACAAGCTTCAGTAACTGATTCAATCAACTGGAAGAAAGGGTATCAATGATTGAAGATCAAATGAATGAAATGAAGTGAGAAGAGAAGTTTAGAGAAAAAAGAGTAAAAAGAAATGAACAAAGCCTCCAAGAAATATGGGACTATGTGAAAAGACCAAATCTACATCTGATTGGTGTACCTGAAAGTGACGGGGAGAAGGGAACCAAGTTGGAAAACACTCTGTAGGATATTAGCCAGGAGAACTTCCCCAACCTAGCAAGGCAGGCCAACATTCAAATTCAGGAAATACAGAGAACACCACAAAGATACTCCTCGAGAAGAGCAACTCCAAGACACATAATTGTCAGATTCACCAAAGTTCAAATGAAGGAAAAAATGTTAAGGGCAGCCAGAGAGAAAGGTCGGGTTACCCACAAAGGGAAGCCCATCAGACTAACAGTGGATCTCTCGGCAGAAATTCTGCAAGCCAGAAGAGAGTGGGGGCCAATATTCAACATTCTTAAAGTAAAGAATTTTCAACCCAGAATTTCATATCCAGCCAAACTAAGTTTCATAAGTGAAGGAGAAATAAAATCCTTTACAGACAAGCAAATGCTGAGAGATTTTGTCACCACCAGGCCTGCCCTACAAGAGCTCCTGAAGGAAGCACTAAACAGGGAAAGGAACAACCAGTACCAGCCATTGCAAAAACATGCCAAAACATAAAGCCCATCAATGTTAGGAAGAAACTGCACCAACTAACAAGCAAAATAACCAGTTAACAGCATAATGACAGGATCAAGTTCACACATAACAATATTAACCTTAAATGTAAATGGGCTAAATGCTCCAATTAAAAGACACAGACTGGCAAATTGGATAAAGAGTCAAGACCCATCAGTGTGCTGTATTCAGGAGACCCATCTCACGTGCAGAGACATACATAGGTCCAAAATAAAGGGTTGGAGGAAGATCTACCAAGCAAATGGAAAACAAAAAAAGGCAGGGGTTGCGATCCTAGCCTCTGATAAAACAGACTTTAAACCAACAAAGATCAAAAGAGACAAAGAAGGCCATTACATAATGGTAAAGGAATCAATTCAACAAGAAGAGCTAACTATCCTAAATATATATGCACCCAATACAGGAGCACCCAGATTCATAAGGTAAGTCCTTAGAGACTTACAAAGAGACTTAGACTCCCACACAATAATAATGGGAGACTTTAACACCCCACTGTCAACGTTAGACAGATCAACAGACAGAAAGTTAACAAGGATATCCAGGAATTGAACTCAACTCTGCACCAAGCAGACTTAATAGACAGCTACAGAACTCTCCACCCCAAATCAACAGAATACACATTCTTCTCAGCACCACATTGCACTTATTCCAAAACTGACCACATAGTTGGAAGTAAAGCACTCCTCAGCAAAGGTAAAAGAACAGAAATTATAACAAACTGTCTCTCAGACCACAGTGCAATCAAACTAGAACTCAGGATTAAGAAACTCAATCAAAACCGCTCAACTACATGGAAACAGAACAACCTGCTCCTGAATGACTACTGGGTACATAATGAAACGAAGGCAGAAATAAAGACGTTATTTGAAACCAATGAGAACAAAGATACAACATACTAGAATCTCTGGGACACATTTAAAGCAATGTGTAGAGGGAAATTTATACCACCAAATGCCCACAAGAGAAAGCAGGAAAGATCTAAAATTGACACCCTAACATCACAATTAAAAGAACTAGAGAAGCAAGAGCAAATGCATTCAAAAGCTAGCAGAAGGCAAGAAATAACTAAGTTCAGAGCAGAACTGAAGGAGACAGAGACACAAAAAACCCTTCAAAAAAATCAGTGAATCCAGTAGCTGGTTTTTTGAAAAGATCAACAAAATTGATAGACCATTAGCAAGACTGATAAAGAAGAAAAGGAAAAGGAATCAAATAGACGCAATAAAAAATGATAAAGGGGATATCACCACTGACCCCACAGAAATACAAACTACCATCAGAAACTACTATACCTCTATGCAAATAAACTAGAAAACCTAGAAGAAATGGACAAATTCTTGGACACATACACTCTCCCAAGACTAAACCAGGAAGAAGTTGAATCCCTGAATAGACCAATAACAGGCTCTGAAATTGAGGCGATAATTAATAGCCTACCAACCAAAAAAAGTTCAGGACCAGACGGATTCACAGCTGAATTCTACCAGAGGTACAAGGAGGAGCTGGTACCATTTCTTCTGAAACTATTCCAATCAGTGGAAAAAGAAGGAATCCTTCCTAACTCATTTTATGAGCCAACATTATCCCAATACCAAAGCCTGGCAGAGACATAACAAAAAAAGAGAACTTTAGACAAATATCCCTGATGAACATCGATGCAAAAATCCTCAATAAAATACTGGCAAACCGAATCCAGCAGCACATCAAAAAGCTTATCCACCATGATCAAGTGGGCCTCATCCCTGGGATGCAAGGCTGGTTCAGCATATGCAAATCAATAAACGTAATCCAGCATATAAACAGAACAAAAGACAAAAACCATGTGATTATCTCAATAGATGCAGAAAAGGCCTTTGACAAAATTCAACAGCCCTTCATGCTAAAAACTCTGAATAAATTCGGTATTGATGGAACGTATCTCAAAATAATAAGAGCTATTTATGACAAACCCACAGCCAATATCATACTGAACGGACAAAAACTGGAAGCATTCCCCTTGAAAACTGGCACAAGACAGGGATGCCCTCTCTCACCATTCCTATTCAACGTAGTGTTGGAAGTTCTGGCTAGGGCAATTGGGCAAGAGAAAGAAATAAAGGGTATTCAATTGGGAAAAGAGGAAGACAAATTGTTCCTGTTTGCAGATGACATGATTATATATTTAGAAAACCCCATCATCTCAGCCCAAAATCTCCTTAGGCTGATAAGCAACTTCAGCAAAGTCTCAGGATACAAAATCAAGTGCAAAAATCACAAGCATTCTTATACACCAATAACAGATAAACAGAGAGCCAATTCATGAATGAACTCCCATTTACAATTGCTTCAAAGAGAATAAAATACCTAGGAATCCAACTTACAAGGGATGTGAAGGACCTCTTCAAGGAAAACTACAAAGCACTGCTCAATGAAATAAAAGAGGACACAAACAAATGGAAGAATATTCCATGCTCATGGATAGGAAGAATCACTATGATGAAAATGGCCATACTGCCCAAGGTAATTTATAGATTCAATGCCATCCCCACTAAGATACCAATGACTTTCTTCACAGAATTGGAAAAAAACTACTTTAAAGTTCATATGGAACCAAAAAAGAGCCCACATTGCCAAGACAATCCCAAGCCAAAAGAACAAAGCTGTAGGCATCATGCTACCTGACTTCAAACTATACTACAAGGCTACGGTAAACAAAACAGCATGGTACTGGTACCAAAACAGAGATACAGACCAACAGAACAGAACAGAGCCCTCAGAAATAATACCACACATCTACAACCATCTGATCTTTGACAAACCTGACAAAAACAAGAAATGGGGAAAGGATTCCCTATTTAATAAATGGTGCTGGGAAAATTGTCTAGCCATAATTAGAAAGCTGAAACTGGATCCCTTCCTTACACCTTATACAAAAATTAATTCAAGATGAATTAGAGACTTAAATGTTAGACCTAAAACCATAAAAACCCTAGAAGAAAACCTAGGCAATACCATTCAGGACATAGGTATGGGCAAGGACTTCATGTCTAAAACACCAAAAGCAATGGCAACAAAAGTCAAATTTGACAAACAGGATCTAATTAAACTAAAGAGCTTCTGCACAGCAAAAGAAACTACCATCAGAGTGAACAGGCAACCTACAGAATGGGAGAACATTTCTGCAATCTACTCATCTGACAAAGGGCTAATATCCAGAACCTACAAAGAACTCAAACAAATTTACAGGAAAAAAACAAACAATCCCATCAAAAAGTGGGCAAAGGATATGAAGAGACACTTCTCAAAAGAAGACATTTATGCAGCCAACAGATGCATGAAAAAATGCTCATCATCACCAGCCATCAGAGAAATGCAAACCAAAACCACAATGAGATACCATCTCACACCAGTTAGAATGGTGATCATTAAAAAGTCAGGAAACAACAGGTGCTGGAGAGGATGTGGAGAAATAGGAACACTTTTACACTGTTGGTGGGACTGTAAACTAATTCAACCATTGTGGAAGACAGTGTGGCAATTCCTCAAGGATCTAGAACTAAAAATACCATTTGACCCAGCCATTCCATTACATTCCAAAGGATTATAAATCATGCTGCTATAAAGACACATGCACACGTATGTTTATTGCAGCACTATTCACAATAGCAAAGACATGAAACCAACACAAATGCCCATCAATGACAGACTGGATTAAGAAAATGTGGCACATATACACCATGGAATACTATGCAGCCATAAAAAAGGATGAGTTCATGTCCTTTGTAGAGACATGGATGCAGCTGGAAACCATCATTCTCAGCCAACTATCGCAAGAACAGAAAACCAAACACTGCATGTTCTCACTCATAGGTGGGAACTGAACAATGAGAACACTTGGACACAGGAAGGGGAACATCACACACCAGGGCCTGTCGTGGGGTTGGGGGAGTGTGGAGGGATAGCATTAGGAGATATACCTAATGTAAATGATGAGTTAATGGGTGCAGCACACCAACATGGCACATATATACATATGTAACAAACCTGCATGTTGTGCACATGTACCCTAGAACATAAAGTGTAATAATAAAAAAAAGGTTCATACAAAAAAAAAGAAGAAAGCACTACTGATTATAACTGTAAGATATATACTAATCAACGATGTACGTCATCAGTTTTAAGAGGCCTTTCAATTTTAGAGGTGTTAAAATATGAAAATGTCTGATTAATGATATCATTGGAGTGGCTGAAAATGTTGACTATATTTTTTTTTTCCAAGTGCTATATCTGATGTAAACCCAAAAGACCAGGTTTCCAGGCTGTTAGGTTTGTTAGAATATACCTAAAGCTGACTACTCACAGCTATCTCCTTTCTATCCCCACAATTGTTTTTTTTTAAGTCACCATTTCTTAAAGCACAAGGTTAACGAAGCCACCTTCCCCACAATGGGCTGGTCAGCTCTTCTAACCATTCCTGATTTACTGTAGGCCTACTATGTGCCAGGCACTGTGCTAGGTGCTGGTGAAAGATGAGCAAGACTGTTACCGCTCTCAAATAACTTCCAGTTTAGTAGAAGAGGCAGCAGATAAATAAACAATTGCAATGCACCATGGTGAGCAGAACACACCAGTTAGAAGGGGATGAACTGCAGAAACGAACCCAGTGCATTCTAGGGGGTCCTAAGCTGGGCCTTAAAGGCTGCATATCTTATACCAGCAGAAAAGAGAGAGGAGCTGAGGTTTCTAAGGAGCTGGAAGAGTGTGTGCTAAAGGCTAAGAGTACACAGTCCACTCAGTGGCGTAGGGCGATAAGGTGGGAGAAGGGCTGCAGAGGCAGAGGGCCAGATCTGGAATGGGACTGGGTGCCAGGGAAAGGGATTCTGGACCATTATTTTGAGGTGATGGAGGAGCCAAAGAAGGGCTTTAAGCAGATGAATGAAACTATCAATTAACTATCACATTTTTAGAAAGATCAGGGAGGCCTGTATGGATAATTCTTGTTACCCAGGGAAAAACTGATGGTGGCTGGGGCAGGGGGGATGTCAATGAGGACAGAAAGAAGACAAGGGTCTAAGATCTACTTGGGAGGCAGAGTAAACACCATTTGGTGGTGAATGTGATGTGGGAGAGATGAGAGAGGGGAGGTTGAACTGTGAATTAACAAATGAGGCCAGCAGCCTGGGGCCAGGCAGCCTTCCCCACAAATGTGCACTGTGATGGGGGAGGAGAGAGACAGTGATTGAGCACAAAGCCATCCTCAACCTGCAAAACAAATTACAATGCTGCCTCATCAACAGGGCAGCCTCTTTTCAAAGTAGGCTGCTAAGAATTCAGGGATGGATAGAAGGATGGATGACTGGCAGGTAGGCAGGTGGGGATATAGGTTGATGGATGGCTGGATAGATGGGAAAGAAGGGATGGAAGGATGGGGAGAGGGGGCAAACAGGTAGGCAGAAAGAGGGAGGACAGGAAGCCAGAAAGACACACAGAGAGATAACAGCTTTCTATTTACCTTTATTAATGCTTCTCCTTTTATTTAAATTGAAAACATGGGAAGAAACTGAGGTCCGGAAAGGTTGAATGAGCCTCAGTCGAAAATTGAGCCAGAACAATCACTGAAAGATGTTACTCTGTCCCTGCTCCAGATACCTTATCTCCCCATCACTCCTTTATGAAAGGTTTCAATTCCCCATTCACCCTTCCTCCTACCAGAAGAGCGAATCAGAGTAAATCCAGACCAGCCAATAATTGAAAGAGGTGGTTTGGTATCAACTGCTTTCAATTGGCCAACTGGAAAAACCATTTCTCATCTTCTCCCCTAATCCCTTCTGTCTTACTCTTCATTTTCATTATCATGTTACCAAGTGCATACTGTGTGTCTGGCCCTGTTTTAAGCACTTTGGACGTATTGACTCATTTGTTCTTATAATAATCCTATTAGAGAAGCACTATGATTAGCTCTGTTTTTTTCCAGAAGAGGAAACTGAGGCCCAGAGATGTAAGCAATTTGCTCAAGATCACACAGCAGCCAGGCTAGAAAACAAGCCCCAGCAGCCTCTCTCTGCAGAGCCTGTGTTCTCAGCCCGGTTGCCACATTGCATCTGCTTCTCACAAATCAAGGTCTTCTAGCTCGGGTAAGCCCTTCCTCATTTAACACGCCCACCCCGCTCCCTAAGGTTAACATATAAACACCACACCAGGCCCCCAAGACTCACAGCTGCTCATCCAGAAGATGACCGGGGATGGAAGTCCAGGCGGGGGGTTGCACTGGAGCGTCAAAGGAGCACCCTCTTGGACCACGACAGGGTCTAGGTTTTCCTTCGGCCACAGAGGAGATTCTGGAGAGAAGTGGACAAAGAGGACAAAGTGAGGGTGATGGCTGGGCCCAGGGCAAGGAGCAGGGTCAGAGGCAGGCATGCAAAGAGGAGAAACAGAAAGGGCACCTGGATAAGGAGGGAGCAAGAGAGAGGGACAGGGCACATAAGCCTACTCGAGGGGCTGCCCTTGAGAGGCAGGAGAAGGGAGGCATCTTCAAAGGCTCCCCTCCTTTCCCCTCTCCTGTGCCCACAGTGGCCAGTGAAATTGTTGCAGACAACAACTTCAAAAGGAAGCTTTGGGAGCTTCCTTTCCAAGGAATTGTTCTGAGCTGGGGAAGATGCATAGAGAACACCAAGGCATCTGCAGGCCAAGGGCAAGTGCAGCCCTTCTGGAATGGCCTTCCACATCCCCCACTCTCCATTTACCCAGGAGCAGGGCATTTCAGCCCTGCCCCACGCTACTCACTAGACACCTGCAGGCGGATCCTATTGGACAGGGCTGTGCCAAATTTGTTGCGGGCGAAGCACTGATATTCCCCCTCATATTCCTCTGGCCGCCCGCCACTGCGGAAGTCAATCACCAGGGTCCCAGACCTCCTCCTCATGGACACCCGGGGGTCCTTGGCAATGTTGAAGAATCTGCTGTTTCGTGTCCAGTGGAAGCTGTGGAGAGTGGGGAGCAGGGGCAACCAAGACGAATGGGGTGGGCTCTGGGCTCCAGGCAGATCTCAGATCCCTAGTTCCTGACTCAGTACCAAAATTCCCTCTCGCAGCCCCATCGTGGCACCCCTATACCAACAGGTACCAGCCTGGCCGAGCAGAAGAACCATCTGGAGAGCTCAATAAAAAGCAAAGAACCATCTGGAGAGCTCAATAAAAAGCAAAGTCCCAGGTCCCACTCAGGTGACTCTCCAGGGCAGGGGCCTGGCGTTAGTATTTCTACCCAGCTAAGACTGGGACTCGTGGCTCTAAGTGTTAGATACTCAAGTAGCTACTCGGGGGTTATGTTAAACACATCATCGAGGAGAGATTTTCATTTCTAGAATCTAGAGTCTGCTGCTTCTTCCACCCCAGGACATTTCCAACCTCCTACTAGCAAGGCAAACTTAAATTCATATTCCACCCAACCTAAACACATCAGGGAGCTGGCCCTGCTCCTCCTACCGCCTTAATTTTACAATCCATTCTAAAGCCAAAGTGAATTGGCTTAGCTTATTTGTGCCCTGCTCAGTGAGTATAGATTACATAGCAGTGACCACGCCCTGTAGCCCAAGAGTGGCAGCTTTTAAAGAAATGGCAGCCTAGTAGAACTGAGCCCCTGCTGAAGAGCACTAGAATGGCCCCCTCTGCTCGTCCTGGGAGCTGCAGCCAGGGCTTCACATCCTCTGATGCCCACAATCTAACTTGTAAAAGAAGCAGGGAAAGCAGGAGCAGCTGGAACAGCAGGGGCTGCTCAGTGCCACAGGATCATTGTCCCTGCAAAGGAACCGCGGGGGGAAAAAACCAAACCTCAGAAGCAAGCAAGGTTACCACTACCCTGACTGACCCTTCAGGGTGACTCACACGGCCAGTGAGGGAGTCCCTGCTGGTTCCCAGGCTCACAGCTCTGGGTTCGAGACTGTCTTGTGTGAACCCGGGGGGCCAGAATAAAGCTGCTGCATACCTGGCAGCCTCTGCTTGGCCTCATGTCTCCTGCTGACAGACACACCCTAGATGGGGTCCTGTCACATCTGGGTCTGAATCTTGCATGAGGCTCCTGAAGGGCTCAGTCTGTGGATGCTACTTTGAGGATGGGGATGGGGGCGGGTAATAACGTCTGCCATGTCTCCGATGCTTATCATTTGATAGAAATGAATCTGGCCTTGGGGGATCAGAAGCGTGAGTTTAAATCTGAGCTCTGCCCCTTTCAAGCTGGGTAACCTTGGACCTCTGTACCTCTGTTTCCCCTCCTCTTCATACGGGCATTTGTCCTTCCCCAGAGCACTGTTAGGTGGTCGAACAAGACAATGTGAGTAACAGAACCTAACCCAGAGCCTGGACACACACAACAGGCTTTTAATTCATGTCTGTTGTCATCTCATTTGGTCTTAATGAGCACATAAACAGGTAGAAGTAAGCTCAGAATGAAAGACTTGAGTTGGCTTGGAAGAGGAACTTCCTATAAGCTAAATGTGGGGCAGAGTGGAGGAAAGAATGTTAAACAGAAACTCAGAAAACTGAATATCCAGTCCTGGCTTTTGGTGTGAACTCAAGCCACTCGTTTTCTGGTCTCCAGTTTCCTTATAGGCAAAATTTCCTGTTACCTCACTTGTGCCTTCCACCTAGTAGGTGCCTAATGGAAAGTTTTTGGAATGGATGAGTCTAATTTTCTAGCTGCCTCATTTGCCTTAGTTATCATCAGGCCCAGAAGCAAGCGGGTGGTTTCAATGCGTTCTTTTCCCCTCCACTCACCTGGGGGCAGGGTTCCCTTTTGCTTCACACTCAATCAGGATGTTATCACGGGGGTCCACGATGTGATCCTTCACTGACTGCTTGGTGATGGTCGGTGGCTGTGTCACTGCAACAGTGCACAGGGAGCACGGTCAGGGCTGCAGGGACTTCCCTGGGGTCCAGCTTGGGGAACAGCTGAGATGAAGAGCTTCAGAAGCCACACATGCAAGCAGGCAAGTGGGTGGGGTGCGGGGGGGCGGTGAACAGGGCCCCATTCTAGAGACCCAGCTCCTTAAATGGTGCCACAGGAAAGAAGGTGAGTGTCAAATATTAAGCAGAAGAAGAATCCCTTTAAAAAGATCCCATAGGCAGCCGGGCGCGGTGGCTCACGCCTGTAATCCCAGCACTTTGGGAGGCCAAAGCGGGTGGATCACGAGGTCAGGAGATCAAGACCATCCTGGCTAACACAGTGAAACCCCGTCTCTACTAAAAAATACAAAAAATTAGCCAGGTGTGGTGGAGCGTGCCTGTAGTCCCAGCTACTCGGGAGGCTGAGGCAGGAGAATGGCATGAACCCAGGGGGCAGAGCTGGCAGTGAGCTGAGATTGTGCCACTGTACTCCAGCCTGGGCAACAGAGCAAGACTCTGTCTCAAACAAACAAACAAACAAACAAAAACCCATAGGCCAGGCACGGTGGCTCACACCTGTAATCCCAGCACTTTAGGAGGCTGAGGTGGGTGGATTGTCTGAGGTCGGGAGTTTAAGACCAGTCTGGCCAACATGGTAAAACCCCATCTCTACTAAAAGTACTAAAAAAAAAAAATTAGCTGGGCGTGGTGGTGAGCACCTGTAACCCCAGCTACTCGGGAGGCTGAGGCAGGAGAATCACTTGAATCCATGAGGCTGAGACTGCAGTGAGCCCAGATTGCGCCACTGCACTCCAGCCTGGGCAACAGAGCAAGACTCCATTTAAAAAAAAAAAAAAATTCCATAGCATCCTAAGGAGAAACTGAAGGCCAGGTTTTTAGTTTACTCATCCTTACATTACAATGCTTAGCACGACATACAGTGCACAATAGTTTTTGATAAATGTCTGTTGAATGAATAAAGGAAGAAAAAGCAGCTAGATTTTCAGAACTTAGGGGTCATGGAGGTTCTGAGCCCCGGAGGCTCAACAAATGGCCAAACTATGGTGAGGCTAGGGCAGAGAGGGCCTTCAGTCCCCAAGAACTTCCCAGATCCTCCCCATCTAGGTCCCAAGTGCCAACCGTCTACCCTGGGGTCCTGTGCCAGCCACTGGAGGATAGGGAAACAGCTGTGGTACACATGAGCTTCCATCCAATGACCCTCTTCTTACCACATGCCCCTCTGTTTTTCCCAGCAAGAGAGTGCTGCAGGCAAGCCTCCTTCCTTCCCGCTCAGTAAGAGACCCCACTACAGGGCTCTGGTGTGAAGAGGCCCCAGCAGAAGTCTCAGCAGGCCACTAATCCCCAGGTATTGCCTCACGCCTCATTCCTCCCTCCCACCTCCCAGAGGCACAGGCACAGAGAGCCACGCAGGGCACTTACGCTCATTCTGAATGCTTGCTGTTAGTTCCGACGGGTTAGCATTGGAGAGGGAGAAAAGAAGAACATCGTTATGCACACAACCGCCCAGGCGTCCTCACGCCCCAGCACACAGGGAGTGGGCGGGGTGCACCCGGGGAGGGCGCTGAGCACAGGGCTGTCTCCTCCTGGCTGCAGAGCTCAGTGCAAGAACCAAGCAGAGTTGGGGAACGGACCCAGAGAGTGCCTTATGGAGAAGGTGACGCCTCCCCTGGGGGACCAAAACCACAGAGTTGGGCAGAAAGACTGGCTCTGATCAAAGGACAGTGTCACCAGGAAGTCCACATGTCCCAAGGTGACAATGCTGCTTGAAAGAGGCCTTGAAGGTATTTCCCTCCATCTGATGCCACTGAGGGAAGTGGGTTCCTCAGCTGACAGTGAACAGGAGAAGCTGAGGGCAAGACAGGTGCCAGGAAGGGAGTGGATTGGAACCACTGCTGCAGGGCAAAACTCCAAGGTCTCACTTCTCCCATAACACCTTCTCTCCTTGGCATCTCCTCCTTTGCCATCCCATGGAAGACTCTAGAGACAAATGCCCCTTTCATGGTACATTGCCCTATAGAAATCATGCTTCTCAATGGGAGGCTCCAGGGATGAAGCAGAGTCTACGGCTCCTTTCTGTGCTTTTCACAAAGAACGTAAGGAGGCAGGTGGCACAAATCTCCCCCAGCTCCTACCTGAAGTATGCATGTGCTCGTATAGGTGTGCTCCTGTGCAGGTGGGTGTATGTATCTGAGGTCTGGGCTTCTCAAATTTTAACATGCATATGCATCACCGGGGGCTGGTTAAAATGCAGGTTCTGATTCAGTTGGGCTGGGGTGGGGCCTGGGACTCTGCCCTTCTGACAAGTGCTCGGGCAACGCCACACTGGTGGTGTGTGAACCACACTCCGGATAGGAAGGTTTTAGATGGTGTGCTTTTTGTGGGGACAAAGTCTTGGTTAAAATGTGCAGAAAAGAGAACATGTGTTGCTGCGACTTTAAAATGTCTTTTCCTGATGATTATATCAGAAAGTAACATGACATTCTCATTTCATGCAGGTGCAGACTATTGTACTGTTGTTGCAGGCTGACTTTTTCAGAGTGAGGGCTCTCTGTGGGGAGTTGCGAGCTGCCAGCATCAGGGCAAAGTCATGGTGACCTTGAAGCCTTCCTACCTGACTTGAGTGAGACGTGGCGAGGATTCTGGGGGCTTAGCGAGGGCAGCCTGGAGAGGCCAGAGTTAAGCTCAGAACAAGGGGTGCAGGAAGAGCCACAGCAGGAGAGGGAAGGGAGACCCCAGAGGAGGGGCAGAGTGTGGCAGGACAAGGGCCCTGCTGTACGTGCTGTGCATGAAGGAAAGTCTTGAGACGAAGACTCATGAAAAGATCCAAAATAATTATTTTGTGTGACCCCCGGAGGACTGAAGAGACATTTGCTTCACCATTTGCCCAGGGCTGCCCGGGCAGGAGACAAAGGACTGAAAAGTCCAGGGGGAAAGCAAAAATCTATGGCTTCTGAACACATGCTCCCTGGAGCTCGTCTCTGTGGCATCTTCACCCATATATGATATTCTTGCCAGGGCCCCAAGAAAGGTAACTCTAGAAGGATGAATGACAGTTGGCTTGGGCGGGAAGAAGGGGCCATTCTTAGGAGAGGCAGGGCTGTCACTGGGACCCACTCCCCTTGGCCCTTAGCCCAGGCCCTTGGCTTCTTCATTCAGGACATTTTTGGGGTCTCACCCTGGGTAGCAAGCCTGACAAGGGATGTCCTTTGCCTGTTCAAGACTTCAAGCCTCTCTTATAGAATCAAAGGCTGACTCAATGGAAAGAGCCCTAGACATTGTCCAGGGAATCTCCAGATCCAAGGAAGAAGTCTCTTGGCTAATATCATATAGGAATTTTGCTGCAGAGCTAGAATGAGAACCAGCTCTCCCAGTGCCTGGTCCAGAGTTTTGTTTTGTTTTTTTTAAACAAATCCATCCTTGGCCAGAGAGGTGAGCAAGCCAGCTGGGGCCTCAGGACTCTGCTCTCCTTGACATTCTGGAGAAGGGTGAGTGAGAGGGGAGACTGTGGGTGCTGGAGACTCTCCGGGCAGCAAGAGCTGGTTGGATGCTGTCCCCAGCTCCCATACTATCAGGCCAGGGGCCTCTGGAGAATCTACTTGACTAAAGGGATGGCATCTGCAGCCACCACTGTGCTACTAAGGAATTTCTTACAGGGACAGAATTGACCCAGAAGACAAACTGCGACAGGGAGAAGACAGTGGGGACAGCTTGTCTAGGGATGAGGGTGACCAAGTTCCCACCCAGTGTCACACCACTCGCCTTCTATGAAGCAGTGGAAAGTGAATTCCACAGCTGTTCCAGCTCAGCTCTGCAGGGACTGAGGCAGATGCCTGCTCGGTCCGCGAGGTTTCTTTACTCATGTGCCTCTTTTCTTTCCCTGGCTCTGATACCTACGACCTCTGGCACCCGTCCCTCAGGAGATGGAGCATGTGAGTGCGTGTGACTGAGGTGTATGTGAGTGGGAGTGAGTGTGCAGGAGTGTGAGCACATATGGGTATGTGAGGGCATGTGTGAGTGTGCATGAGTGTGAGCATGTGAGGATATGCGAGGGCATGCGTGTGAGTGGGTGTGTGGGTGTGCATGAGTGAGCAGGTGTGAGCGTGGTGTGAGTGTATGTGTGAATGTGCATGTATGTGTGAGAGTGCATGTGAGCTGAGGCCATCCTGCAGCGTTATTTGTGATGGAGGTGGGGGGGAATTGTTTCTGCCACTCCTGGGAGGAAAATGCTGTCCCCTGATGCAGGGCCAGGGACAGAAGAGCCAGCAGACTCACTTTTTGGCAAACTCACTCTGGTTGATGAGGCGACCCTTGGCTTTTTTCAAAGGTCATACTGTTCTCCTTGGGGCTGGATAGGGAGGGAAGGAGGGAGGCAGGGGACGGGTGGGAGGGGTACGTGTGACTCTGCTGGCACAGCAGTGGGAGCTGGAGGCTGGGCCTTCAATAAGGGATTGTGCAGTGGTCCGGGGCTCTGCTCCAGGAGGCTGCGGCGCCCAGCCTCTCCAGAATAGAAGCAGTGCCTCTGCCCTCGAGACACAGATAATGTCCGCTGAAGGGGCAAACGAGTAGAAGGAACACCTGGCAGGGCAAGAACGTTAAGAAAGCCTGATCTTCCTTCAGCCCAGGTCTGGATGGAGAGTGGGCTCAGCTCAGCACACATAGGAGGTCTGTGGTGCTGGACCCAGTGAGATGGAGAGACCCGCTGAGGACAGCCTCTTCCCAGGGCAGCCGGGGCCTCTCTGAAGGGCTTGCCTGCTGTCTTGCATTCAGCTTCTTTTTTCTGTTTGTTTGTTTTTGAGGAATAAAAAGTCTTTATGGGCTCAGACCAGAAGCCCATGGATCTTGAGGACCTCTGTGGACTTGCGATTTTCTTCTCCACGTTCTTTTGGGCCTGTTTCCGCTGCTGTTTCTTCTGGTAGTGGATCTTGGCCTTTTCTCTCTTCTTTTCCTCCAGGGTGGCTATCACTGCCTGGTACTTCCAGCCAACCTCATGAGACAGGTACCCCAGGCAGGCAAACTTTCTCGTGGGCTTCAGATGCTCAGCCTTGAGGGCAGCAGGGACCACCATCCACTTTTTCATGTCAGGGGCAGTGGGATTCCATCAAACACCATGAGGTGGTCCAGGGTGGCCTGATCTCGGTTGGTCTTGTGGGGTAGTATGCCCCATAGGGTCTGTCAAAAAAGGCGGCTGGGGGCCTGGGAATGGTGGGGGCCTCGGGAAGGGTTGGTGTTCATCCACTTGCAGAGGAAGGCCAGATACTTTAACTTGTTTCCATTGAAATTGCCAGAAATGCCAATGCCCTTGCAGTGCATGACCACCACCTTCCAGCCCAGCAGTACAGGAGGCCCAGGGGATGGTCTCAGCCATACAGTGCCAGGACTTGCCCCCTCATCCCCTGTCATCTTCGGCGGTCAGCTTGGAAAGTGTGTTCAGTTTCTGCAGACTCTTTTTGGACATGTTGCCAGGGTCACTGGACCTGCAGCAACCAGGGAGGTGTCATGTGTGTGGGGCACGCTCCAGGCAGCCTGGGTCTCCTGCCCCGACACAGCCAGGGCACCTGGAATGGCACTGCAGAAGGACTTCCCTGTCCATCAGAGAGGTGCTGTGGTCCTATCGCGGCTCTGTCGCTTCCTTGTCTCTAACCCGCAGGCTAAGGATAACACCTATGTTGAGGGTTAGCTGCCAGAACTATGTGCGATGAGGCACCTGCAGCACTTAGCTCTCTCCCTGGTGCATGACACCTGCGATTCCAGTGGTTTCTAAGGAGAAGGACTCAGAGGAGGCAGGTGGGGGTGGGACATATCAGGTCCCAAATTTGGGGGTCAAGAGACTCGGGTTCTTTTTTGATTCCACCACCCATTTGCTATGTGACTCTAAGCTAGTAAAGGCTTGAGTTTCTGGGAACACAACACGGGGTGGGGGTCATCCCAGGGACACTGGAATGGGGAGATGGTGGGAGATCAGGACACTCTCAGCTCTACCCTACAGGTGGGGCTTTAGAGAGCCTGACTCCTTGGGGTGTCTGCTGTGTCTCCATTTCCTTAGAGCTTTGGAATTCTGGATTCTTAAGATAGACACCAAAGCCATCTATTTATAGGCTCACCTTGCAGGGACCCCTCACCCACTGACCCTGGGGGATCAAAGCAGCAGGTGAGTGAGTGAGGAGAAACGGCAGAAGAGAAAGGAGCCTTCACCACTTCCCTGATAACCCAATTTCCTCTGCACACCCTCCCACCAGGGACTTGGCCTTACCAGGCTCCTTATTAGACTGTCTGCCTGGGACTGTTAATGAGAAACTCTCCTTGAGCCAGCCGCACAGACAGTTACCATGGGAACAGGTCCCTTCACAACTCTCCTCTCCTCCCTCCCTGTGCACGTGCACACGTGTGTGGGCATGCATACACACGCTCACATACATGCAAGTCCACATACCTGGGGGTATTGGGAGGGCAGCAGGGGCTTTGCCCATCTTATCTCCGGGTCTGACTTAGAGTTACTACTGGTGTTCTATCATCCGAAGTATCCTCTCCTCTGGGGCAGCTATTATTGGTGAAGTAGGGTGCCCGGAGGGCTGAGATACCTCCAACTCTTCTCCAAACTACGCTAACTCCAGGACCAGGGGTCTGGCTTTGGAAAGCTCAGGGAGGACTTCTTGGAGTTTGTGTTACTCTCCCGCCCCCTCCCCAGACATCTGTTAACTGGAGAGAGCCCAAGCCAGTGTTGGTGTCATGTGGGTCCCCTCTGTTCCTTGACATAAGGAACAGGGGTCAGAGATGGCGTGCTCACATTTTAGCCTGGGGATGCTAAGACAGTTTGCCGGAAGTGTCAGAGTTGTGGTAAAGGTGGCACACACCTAACGGCAGGGCCGAGGAACTTGGCTGCCAATAAATGGGCCATTGATGAATGCAGCAACAGATATGGTTGGTGGAGACATGGCCGTTAGATTTGCATTTTAAGCCCCTTACTTTATGATTCTGATGGTCAAATAATGCCCCCTCCATGAGAAACAGAATGACAGCGATTTTACTTTTTATTTTATTGCGGGAAAGTTGAAAACAATGAGAAGGAATCCATGCCTGGTTCTCCCATGTGGCATAATGGGGCTCTATTTTAATGTCTCCTTTAGCCATATCTTTTGCAAAGATAATTCTGCTCCCAGCCCTTCCCAGGCCTGTGTCCTCCTGATTCCTCCAGCCAAGAGGGCCCAAAGGGTGTGGATTTGAATATATCAGACATTAGAAAGGCAAGTAAGAACTGTTCCACCATACTTGACCCTGGAAACTGCTTTTCCGGGCAAGTCAAGACCACAGAGGACCTGGAGAGGTGAGCAGAGGGAAAAACCCAAGTGGCACTCAGAATCCCAAACTCCGCCACCTCTGGTCCCACTCAGCTGGCCCCAGGCGTCCCCAAGCATCAGCTCAGCCATAGCCCTGAGAAACTGGCTCTGCAACATACAGTCTCAAACTTTCAAACATGAGCCCGTGTCAGGTCTTTGGAGAGAAACCCAGCTCTGAATCTCAGAATCCACTGCTTCCCCTCTCCTCAACCTTCTTTGAACGATCTGAACTTTGACCATCCCTCCCCTCCCACCGCTCTGCCCAAAATCAGGAGAAAAAGAGAAGAGGATGGGGCAGGACTCACGATCCATAGGAATTTCGATGGCTCCGCCAAGACTGAGGAGGCAGAGGAGGAAGGCTGCATGGACCCAGGGCGGCGGTGGCTGCCTGGCCATCCTCGGCACCCGGCCCCGCTCCCTGCTCCCCAGCACTCGGGGTCTTGTCACCTTGAGCCGCTTTAACTGGGCCTCCCGGACAGAGCTCAGCTGTGGAAAGAAACATAAGAGCAAGTGGGTTTTTCATGAACTTGCAGTTTGCTCTAGCAATCCTACAGGGCTTTGGAGGACCCAAGGGCCCCCTTGGTCACAGAGTCATGTTCTAGATAGAGCAGGGTTTCTTAACCTCCACACTATTGACATGTGGGACTGAAAAATTATTGGTGTGGGGAACTGTCCTGGGTATTGTAAGATGTTTAGCAGCATCCCTGACCTCTACCCACTAGAAACCAGTACAGCCCACCCCCTTCACCACAACCAATTAGAAATGTCTCCAGACATTGGCAATTGTTCCCTGGAGGGCAAACCCCCCAGCTGAAAACTACTGTTAGAGAAGGAAGGGCAACTCCACAAAGAACAGTCATGAAAACAAACACTGGCCTATTGGCCTGCAGGCCCAGCAACCAGAAGATGCCGCGCACCGATCTGGTAAGAAATGCACCAATCTACAGCCTCTCTGAACCACATGTGCTGAGTATGCCTGGGGATGAGCATATTTGCAGTAGAGGCACAGAGATGAGATCGCACTGATGTCCTTTGATCCCAGGATGAAGGGGGCAGGGTGACACTGGCAGGCCTGGGGAATCATGGGTTAGATAGGTGAAGACATGGTTGCACAAAGGACTTTTTGTCATTTTTGCAGAAAAATGAATGATTTCTGCAACTATTTTGTGCAGCTAAGGAACAGTGGTCCCTGATATTGTCCTTTTATAGATAATGGCAGTGGTAAGATGACGACCAGAAAGAAGTGGGCTTCAGGTGGCTGGTAAACAACATTTAAGACGGTTCAGTGTTCATCCTCAAGCACAAGAAATCATTCCAGGGCTTACAGAGATGGTGTTAAAAATGGTTGTCTAAGGAACCTAGAATGGATCCTTAGAGTCAAACCTTTCTTCTCCTCCTCTAAAAAGAGAAGAGCAAGAATGGCCTACAGCTGAGACTCAAATACAGTGCTCAAGATTACCTGAGGTTCTGAAACATACACTTTAAAAAATTGGTCCAGTTGGCTATTCTACTGTGATGCCAAGTCAAAGAGGAAGGCAGGAGGTGGCTTCTCCAGAATTCCTCCAGTTTTCCTAGATTCATAGCTACCTATCAGATGGACACATCATTCTCCTGCTCCTATTTTATTTGGCAGCAAATTGAAGCCCACTCTCAATTGTGCACATGCACCATCTCCCATCCACCCTGACTGAGGGTGCAGAAGATAAGAACAGGACTCCAGTGCTTGCTCTCTGGGAGGGTGAGAGATCCTGGGAAACAAGGCCATCCTTCTAGAGACCTGCAGCAGAAAGCAGGTCACTGATTATTGCAATAGGACAAGGGACTTCCCCTGTGCCAGGATATGGGGCAAACTAAAGGATTCTTATTCACATTTTTGCAGTTTCTATCCTGGAAGCTGGGCCCAGCACCAACCCTCAACTGTGTATATTTCTGGACTCCATCCACTTGTTTCCTTTCCCACTGCCACCACCTTGGTTTTGATCACCAACATTTCATGCCAGAGTTACTGCAACAGCTTCCTAAGTGGTCTCTCCACATCCACTTTCCCCCTCTGTGGTTTGTGTTTTACTTTATTATTTTTAATTGACACATATAATTGTACACAGTTATGGGAGGCAGTGTGATATGCCCCTCTGATTTACTCTCTACTCATAACCAAAGCTGTTATTTCTAAAGGCAAACAGAAATGTGCTACTCCCCTAGTGTAACTCTCAATAGCTCACTGCTGCTTGGGAGTTAAAGGTAGTGTCCTTGACATGGTTCAGAGGTCCTGCATAATGTGCCCCCTCTGCTAGCTCACTGTTCATCCCTCCCTTGCATCCTGTGTTCCAGCCAAGACTGCTCTTCTACCAGCTCCCTCAGTACCTCATGCTTGGTCTTGCTTACTGACTTTTGCACCATGAAGCTCTGTCTAGAACACTCTGTCTGCCCTCTCTCGTTAGTATCTTCCAGGTATGACATATGTGTCCTTCATCTGTGCTCCTGCACACACTTTGCTTCCCCCATTATGGCACATTTCACTTTGTATTCATTCCAAAAGCCACTTGTCTATCTCCCCTATGAAAATGAAAGCTTCTTTATAAGGGAAGGTACTCTGTCTTGTTTACTGTTCTAATCTTAGAATCGATCATAGTACCTAAAACATAGCAGATCTTCGAAACCGTGAGATGGATGGATATATGGATGAGTGAAAAAATGAACGAATGATTAAATCGATGAAATAAGAAGCCATTTGGACCATCATGTGCTTTTTAAAACCCCACGTTTCCCCAGAAAACCACCAGGCGGCGCAGGAGAGCACATGCTGTGGACCTGGGTGGCGTACTGTGAAGGCTACTCATTAGTGGAAGAAAAAAATCCGTCTCTACACAGACGGTGCTTTCTGGAGAGGAAACCAACAAGCTGAAGGAGGGTTGAGAAAGTAGAAAATCTCCCAAGGAGGGATCCTCTGGCTAGAAGGCATCACAGGAGGTCTTTGGTTCATCTTCCCAACTCTCTAAGATGGTCCTTATACTGTCGCAGAAAGAATCCACTAATGCCTCTCCTTGGCTTATACATCTCCAAAGGCCAGACTTACATGAGGCAGCTGAACCCTTAGTGCTGAGGGAACCTGCGCTAGGGGAAGGCGCAGCAGGGGCGGCAGGGAAGGCGCAGCAGGGGCGGCGGGGATGGTGCCCGTCAGGGCTCCATGACCAGCGTGTTTGGTTTAGGAGCTGCCAAGCAGTAGGAAGTGAAGGGAAAGAGAAGGATATTTTATTTTGGGAATCTTGATAGAACTAGGAAGCCAGAAGCTATTCATTAAAACAGATACACATTGGCAAGAAAAAAAGCCCAATTGTACGGGACATTTTGAATTCACTATTTAACAACAGAGTGGAAAAAGAATCTCAAGATAACCACATTTAGCTGTGTAGCAATTCTCTCCCCCTTTCCTCTCTGGAACCCAGTTTTTCCAACAAAATCTTACAAGATGAAAAGAATTTAAAGAAAACGAGTTTCATACAGTCCCCTTTCTTTTCAGATGAAGAAACAAAAGCCCAGAGAAGGGAAGTGACTGGTTTGAGTTTACCCAGCTGGTTAGTGGCAAAGCTAGAAAAAGAACCCAGGTTTCTTGACTCCTAGTCCAGGGATTTTCCATCCATTTTTCTCTTTTTATGTACAGGAAAAGTACCAGAGTAAGGTTGTTATTTAAAAAAGAAATGTATAGCTTGGCAGTTCCTCAAAAAGTTAGACACAAAATTACCATATGACTCTGCAATTCTACTCCTAAGGTATATGAGCAAAAGGATTAAAAACAGGCATCAAACAAGTACACGTACACGAATGTTCACAGCAGCATCATACACAACAGCCAAAGGGTGGACACAGCCCAGATGTCCTCTAAGGGATGAATGGATAAACAAACTCCAGTATGTACATACCCTGGAATATCACTCAGCCATAGGAAGGAATTCAATACTGACATGCTCCAACTGGATGAATCCTGAAAACACGCTCGGTGAAAGAACCATGCACAAAAGGTCACAGGGAATGATCCCATAGATATGACATCTCTAGGTCTTATCTATAGAATAGATACATACATAGAGACAAAACACGGATTGTCTCTGGTGACCAGAGGCAGAGGGGAAGGGAGAAGGCGGGTAACTGGTTAGTGGGTATGAGGTTTCCTTTTGAGATGCAAATGTTTTGGAACTAGACAGAGTTGTGGTTGCACACATTGTGAATGGACCAAATGCTACTGAATTGTGCACTTTATTTAATTAATTTATTTTGGAGACAGAGTCTCACTCTGTTGCCCAGGCTGGAGTGCAGTGGCACCATCTCGGCTCACTGCAACCTCCGCCTCCCAGGTTCAAGTGATTCTCGTGCCTTAGCCTCCCAAGTAGCTGGGATTACAGGCACGTGCCACCACACCCAGCTAAATTTTGTATTTTTGGTAGAGACAGAGTTTCACCATGTTGCCCAGGCTGGTCTTGAACTCCTGACCTCAGGTGATCCACCCAGCTCGGCCTCCCAAAGTGCTGGGATTACAGGTGTGAGACACCGTGCCCAGTTTTGAGCTGCACACTTTAAAATGGTTTATGTTAAGTTTCACCTCAATAAAAAAGAAAAGTATGATATTGGTCTCCATTATGTGCTCATAAAGATGGGACAGAGGATGAAGAGGGCAGGTTATTTGATGTGAGCATATAAGGGCCCTCAGCTCCCCAGGCTGGGCTCACTCAGCATGGAAGACAGGCACATGGTTTGCAGCCCTTTCCATCCATTCTGAGGAAATTTCCATCCAAGTCAAAGGAAGGAGTGAAGCCACCATCTTTCTGAGTATGAGAGTTCTAGTACTGAGTTCAAAGAACCCAATGCAGAGTGACGGCAGAGATCCCTTGCCTGAAGGTACCCCCATATCAGCAAGGCTTACAGTTCCCCTGTCCCGATGACCAGGAAGAAAGGTGAAAGGGACAGGCTTGCTAGCCTACAGCAGTCAAGTCCACATTTCCTGTTCAACCTTAGTCATTACACAGTCTTGCCCTACGGCTCAGTCATGCCGCCTCTCAGGTTCCTCTCCCAGGCGTTCCAGCCACACCAGAGGTGACTGCTTAGGTGCAGAGAAGTGCAACATCCAGATGCGGGGGTGGTTGGTTTTAGTGACATCACCCTGCGGAGGACCAGGAAACTCCCACATCCCAGGAGGGAAAGTAAAGGAGGGGGGGTAGGTTGAGCCTGAAGAAGAGGGGCCACAGTGATTGTATTCACATGCTGGGAGAGAGTGTAGAATTTTTCTGTTTAGTTCCACAGGGGCAAAGCTAGGACCAAACAGGAGGATGTTTCAGAGAGACAGGTGCTTCCTTGAGTCACAGGAAGAATTGTCTGATAAATGCAGCCGTGCCACAATACCATTAGTGAAAATTAAACATACTCTAAATATGATATGTTTGAAGGATCCTTTTATATATAACAACACAAGAGGTAGGTTGTAAGGATATAAA